TATTGCCTTTTCCTTTTTCTCAGAGAAGATATCATATTCTCCAATTTGGCCACCCCTTTTATACTATCAGATTATGGTGTCAGTCACTACCAAAAAGAAAAAATCTATCAACTTACAACATTGTGTTATGGTTTCCTTTAATTATCATCATTTTTTTTCTAATATAAGAAATTGTTAGTAAAGATTTTGTAAATCTATCTATTAACTAAGACATATGATAGAAGTCTTAAGCATTACTTTTATGTGACATTTAATAAAGCTTAAAAATACTATTTATTTTCCTATGCTGTTAAATAGGGCTCTAAATATAATATTTTAAAGGCCTATCATAGAATTACCTAAGAGAATGTTTCTTCTAGGAAGTATTGTTTAGGTTGTACAAAAGACAGCCCTTCTTCAAAGAAGTGCTAACTGCTATTCGGTGCTTCTTTGAAGTTTAAAATGTTAATCATACTTTTTTTTAAAAAGGTATTAATTTTTATACAATAATAATTTTTGAAAAAAATATATTATTTTAGGTATCTCCATAATAATGTTTTTTAAAACACATTTTTTTCTTTTAAAAAATATATTAGAATTAGGTTTTGTTCTTTAATATTCATATTTATTTATAATTTACCATTTCATTAGAAACTAAATTATAATTGACATTAAATAATTATGTTAATGACAAGTTGCATACTGTGTGCTAATTTTGGCCACCAAATTAAGATAACATTTATGATTTAATTTTTTTTAAAAATATATTAGCGGTACATTAGCATATTCCATACCAAAATAGCATCTCATATTCACGCATAAAATAAAATAAAAAAAATAAAAACAACACATTTTTTAATAATTTTTTAAAACTTTTAATTATTGATTGAAATTTGTTAAAAATCACAATGATTTAAATTTAATTTTTAATAAGATTCACTTATAATTATATATTTTTAATAAATTTTAATTAAAATTAAGAATGTGTTAAATAATATATTGCTAGCACTGCTCTAAAATAAATATTTAGCAAAATTGGAGAAGACCCCAAAAGTTTGGTCCATGTCTTTGCATATGTGAGGGAAGGTACCTTAAAGAGAGAAATTGGCTCTATTACTGAATTTTATGTATGAAATAAATGCAAAGTATAGCATTATTCTTCTGATTCATTTTCAGCTTAGCATCACTGTCAAGCATCATTGTCAACAAGCTGCTCCATATATCCACTTGCAATTGATTGCAATGGTAAGGTAATTGCTTTTCCATGGCCTTGTACATGTTAATTATAATATGAATTTTTTCTTCAAAATTAGTACTTGTATTCAACCTTGTATATATGTGTGTACCCTCCCTAGCAAGGCACACATGTGATGGCTTTCTGGTGCAATTATGCAGCATTGTGTTTGTTCAATTAATGTCTTGATGCTGGTTGGAGTCTATCTTATATGCTGCATGTGGCTATGTACGTTAATTGGTGATTGTGATGCCACACTAAAAGATGCATATGCACTTTTGGCTTTGTCGAGACGGCGGACATAACGATATTCCTTGCTATAAAAAAGATTCTACTCATCCCACTTGAAGAATGTTAAATCATTAACTCATGATATCTATAATCTTAAGAAGATGTAAACCACGGATATTATAAACGAAAATTAATCATTGTAATTTTTTTAATATTTTAAAATTTTAAAAATATTTATATATACTTTAATGAAATTATTAACTTCATTTACTATTAATATAAAATTAACGGTGATTGTTTTATGTATAATACTCTCTTGATCTTTACTTAATTATAAATATAAATCTAAAAGAAAAAAGTTATAGTTAATAATGATAAAATGAATTGTAAATTTATAATAATTCAAATATATGTTAAGCTATACTTTTTTTTTATGCATTTTCAACATCATCTTAGCTATGAAACATCAAGATTTGGATTCACTCCAACTGTAGCAGATACTGAATATACAGTTTCATTTTCGTTTAAACAAAGATTGACTTGTTTAAGCAAAAATGCTAACATATTTTTTTAATGCAAAATTAGTTTAAACAAATTTTGCGTCTTCTTTTTCAATTTTCTCTTCTTTTTTTCTTCATACCTAAAACTCTTTCTTCAATTTTCATATTCAACTCTCTTTAACCTCTATATTCAACCTTCTTTATTTTCTCATACCCAACTCTTCTCTTCTTTTCCCAACTCCTTCTTTCTTCCACCGCATGTCCAACTTCTCTCTTTCTCTTCCCACTCTCACCCCACCCATGCCTATTTCTCTCTTTTTCCTCTATACCTAATTCTATATCCTCCTCTCCCTTCACTACCATCTCTATACTATTTGCTCTTCTTATCTCTATCCATCTTCAGTTCTTTCTTCTCTTCACACCTAGTCTTTATTTTCTCAAATACATAAAATTCATTTAAGCCAAATTAATTCGTTTAAGTTAAAAAAAATTACTTAAATTAAATTTGTATAAAAAAATTTGTCATTTTCTGTATTTAAATTTAAACGAATTCATTTTTACTTAAGTGAAAATAAAATTAGATGTACAATTTCTGCCACAACTAGAGTGAATCCGAATTCAAAACACTGAAAAATAGCATTGAAAACAAGTTTATGAATGTAGAGACATCACCAAAATTAGGGATTGACTTATTTGACTTTTTGCTATTATCATAAATTTAATGTTAAGTGGTTAACATTTCCTTTTTGTTGGCTTCTGCCCAATTGAAGTTGTCGATTTTGACAGTTAAGAAGCTCATCGTGCCCTTGTCACTTAGTTTATTTTATATTTTATATTTCACTTAATTTTTCTTTTTTATTAATTGGTAAAGATCAAGCAAAGTTTTAAAATATGGACGACTAAGAGTATGTTTGGGAGAGAGTTTTTGGAGAGGAGGGAGGAGAAAACTTATTTTATATTTTAAATAAATATATTTAAAATTAATAATTTTTAAAAATAAAAGATATAAATTAATATAATAATAAAAACTTAATATATTAATAATATATTTGTCATCTTAAATAATATATAATTTTTTAATATAAAATTAAAAAATAAATCCTCTCCTCCCTTTTCCTCCCAAAATTCTCTCCCAAACATACCTTAAAGACAACTTTTAATCAATTAGTTGGTTATCCAGAGGAAGCCATTATATATGGGAATATTGATATAGACAACCAAGAAAATAGAATATCAATTTTATTAGGAAAATCAAAGGATGGCATTTGGAGTCATTAAAATATGCATCCTATCTCATCACATACACATAAATATATAATTTAATGTTTTAACTATTTTATACATTATAGATAAATGTATTCAAAATTACCAGATAAAGTTACTTACAGATTAATTAACATGATAATATAAACATTATAAACTCTAACGAGATTGTCATTATTCTTTTAACTAAGATCCTTCGTGTTGCGTGCTAGATTTTGGAATGCATAACGCAGGAAAAAGAAAAAACAACACACACACATTGGTCAACATTTATATATAGATGACATAAGAGTTATAGGTTGAGTAACAAGGCTTTTAATGAAGCCCTACTACATTAACTAACCCAAGTGACAAGTAGCCCCAAATATGAGTTGGCCCATTTGATCTTGCTAAATGTCTTATATTATTTGACCCTTATATTAATCTAAAAAGAAAAAGAACATTATAAGTTTAATTATAATCAACTCATGACATTGGTGTCTAAGAATATTTGTTTTTGTATGTGACTTCATAAATTCTTCTCATATCACCAATAATATTGAGTGAGTTTAATAACTCACTACTACTGATCAAATGATCTAACATAAAACTCGTTCATATCAATTTTATTATGCAGGTTAGGCTAGGAACATAGGTAATAAACAACCCATTAAAATAAAAACTCTGATTTCATTTCTTCTTCCCCTCCCTCACGCTTCTACTATCATGCTTTACATTTTCTTTTAACTTTATTCTGTTTGTAAAATTTTTTGTTAATTTTCTAAATGATCTGATGGGTCAGCCCACAAGCTACCACTTAATAAGATGGACTACAATTCTCTGTTCACTTTTCAAAATACATCATTCTCTTTGTGTAAACTATTTATAACACTCATATAATGTTTTTATTATAAGCTAATGTGATTGACTTACTATTTTATTTCCATAACAAGGAAGATGTAATAATTAATCCATTCAAATCCTCATCCCAACCCATCCTTACTATCCTTATAAACAACAATAATAATTCTTATCCATTTAAAATATTTTAAAATAAACAATTAAAATTATATTACATGATTATTTTAAAATTTAGTAAATTTCATAAATATAAAAATAAATATTTTACTTATTAAAAAAATCAATATTAAATTTAAAATAAATATATAATAAAAAGTTAACATAATAAAAATAAATCAATCTTTAAAATATTTTCATTGAAAAATAATTTAGTAAAATTAGTCGTCTTAATTTTAATTTGAGTTACTGTTTTAAAGATATAACAACTCCCAATTTTGGCAAATTTATTACGCCCATGGCTTAATAGCTCTATCATACCTATCATAGCTTCCGCCATATTTTAATTACAATTATAGTGGGCGGTTATTAAGAGAAATATTTAATTTCACGCGCTTTTTAAAAAAAGACAAAATAAAAGAATTTTATATTTTTAAAATCTTCTTAATAATATTCCTACTACTCTATAAAATAAGTATTAAATAAAATTATTCATGTTAAAAGTATAAAATATATTGAAATACTTTCTTTATTTAATAATTAAGAAAATTTGTAAGAATAAAAGATAAATATTTATTATTCTTTTATAATTTAATATGATAAATATATTTTTTATTTATAAATACTTAAATTCTATTATATCCCAAAGTCAAAATATATAATTTTTCTTTGTGTGACGGTTCTGATGACTTGTGGTTGTGCCAGATGTGCCTTCCCCATGTAAACACAAATTTTGCAATGATCATATCATAATTTTTTTCATTCATAAATCAAAATCATTCATTCACCTCTCTTTCGCTCTTTCGCTCTTTCGCTCTTCTAAAATATTCGATCCCTTCTCAGAGATTCAAACGCACCCATCCACAACTTCAATTCGTTGCCTTATTTTCCCTCTTCACGTGAGAGAACAATAGGAAGCTATCTCGAAGCTTCATTTCTCTCTCTCTCTTCCAGAATTTCTCCTTCTGCTGATCCACCAGAATTCATGGGTTCCCCCTTCAATCCAACGGTTCAAAACTCAACTACCTTTTACCTCTTCGATCACCGAAATTGAATCGCCGAGATCCAACGGTTCACGCTCTCTCTGGAAACGTTTATTCGTTTGATTCCAGTAAGAGAAAGAGGAAAATGAGGGTGGCCAAGTCTCAGGTGTGGCAGCCTTGCAAGAAGAAGAGGATTTGATAATCAATATAGAGAGAGAAAGTTAACGACTCTAGAGAGAGAAAGCGAAGGACTCTGAGAAGAGAGAGAAAAAAGGAGAGAGAAAATTATGACGTCACGTTCGGCGCACGGTGGCAGTAGCAGCAGCAGTAGCAGGACCCGTGTGGGGAAGTACGAACTGGGTCGGACCCTGGGCGAGGGTAATTTCGCCAAAGTTAAGTTTGCGAGACACGTTGAAACTGGAGAGAACGTCGCTATCAAGATTCTCGACAAGGAAAAAGTTTTCAGGCACAAAATAATTGGCCAGGTAATTTTTTATTTTTTTTTATGATTTCACCAAAATTAAACTGTCACAAATTCATAAATATTGAAAATTATAATATTTAATAAAAGTTCATTGTATATAAATTTTTATAACGTGTTTTTGGATACATATTAGTAAAATCTCGTTTTATATTTATTTACTATTTTCCCTTTCTTTTTTATTTAGTTTAGTTTTTGTTTGTTTGTTTGTTTGTGGGATTGTGTTAAATGCTTAAATGTTAGTAATCAAAATTATAATATGCTTTAGTATGTGGCTTTGTGTAAGCCGATATGGATTGTCTTCTTCTGGGGGTTAATGGGTTTCTGGGAAGTGGAGAAAGGGTTCAGGCGTTGAGTTAGATCGTGAAAGACAAAATGGTCAAACACAAATGATGTTTTCATAGTTCAAAGCTGTATATTTGTTTCTTTGTTTTAAATTTTATTGAATTGATTTTTGTAAAATAATTTTAAATTATTGAATATGATAAAACGTGTGCTTAATTAAATCAGTTTAAAGTGTTATGTTGAAAAATACTGTAATTATTAATTAAAATTTATTAAAAATATAATATTTGAGTTACATAATTTTTATAAATTTTAAAATATGTAATTAAGAGCATGTTTGATTTTTATTTTTAAAAATAAAATATAATTCAAATTTTGATCGGTTATCAATTGTATACCGAATAAAAGAGGAAGAGATAAGTAAAAGATGAGACACAGTCAGTGTAAGAAACAAAGTTGCGAGGAAAGACAGACTTGATGAGAAAAAGACAAATTTGCAACAGTTTGTGCTCTGTGTAAAGTGAAGTTTGTCGTGTTCTGAGCCCGCTAGTATTTCTATGTTTTGTTTGTTGGAATAGTGTTTTGTCTTTGAAATTATGGAGATTTTCATTTTTTTAAAACAAATTATGAGAAAAGAAAAAGAGAAAGGAAAAGAGATGCGCGAGATAAGAAATGTTATAGGATGAAGAAAAACAAAAGAATTGTAAAAAAAATATTGTAGAAAATTATTCAAGAGTAATATTACTATTTAGAAAAAAAAATTTAATAAAAAAAGGGGAAAAGAAGAGAATAGTTTGACATTTGTTTGAGTGAAGACTGCAGCAGAGCTGCCCAATCACTCTATACATATTGAAATAAGTTAACGACACCCTATTTTTGAACAGTTTAGTACAGAGAAGTCATAAGCATAACCCTATCCTTAATAGTGTAACTCGGTGCAGGAGATCCTTTGAAGTTACAGTTTGGCTGCACAACATCTTAACTAAAGAAAAAGAGATATTACTATAATATAAAATTTTACTAAATAATATATTTTAATTTATTTCAACGGTGAGATCAAACATTGCACTTCTCTAAAGTGAATTTTACACTTGAGAAGATCCTGACCCCTAAATCGTGCATTGTGTGTTCCAACCACCCACAGGCACCAAAGCATTGCCTAAACGGCACATAGCCACCAAATTTAGTGTTCTCATTTATTATAAGACATTTACAAAACCATAAAATTAAAAGAAGGTTCTTCCATACTAGCCATTATGATGCTGAAAAAAACTTTACTGTTTCTGAGCTGATTCTGCTCAGAGTACATATGTCACATCTCGGGAATGATTGGTGTAAAGCACAGAAATATGCTTTCTGCAACAAATCATTTGTGTGAATCCTTGTCAGCACAATTACCATACAGTTGGACTTAGTGCATGTTTAGAAGCTCATTAGAAAGCCTATAACTGAGGATCCAATGCAGAAGTTTAATCAGTTGCGTTGAAGTAAATTTAGATTCACTTGCATCTTATCTTAACATGTGTAAGGATTCTAATTGCAAAGTATGAAACTTGAGTCTCACATTGGAAGTGCGAGATTCTAGTGTGGAGTTTATAAGAGCTTGAACTCTTCAACTACAATGATTAGTTTTTGTGTTATGGTTTTTCTAAGGTTCTTATCAATTGATATCCAAGCCTTCCAACATCTCTCTTAGCTGCAATCGAACCACATGAGTGGTGATGCCGATATTGCAGTTTTGGCCTGGGACTAGTGAAGGGCCTAGTTCACAGCCAGCCCACATGAGTGCCAAGGTTGTGGAGAGTGATGAGATGTTAGAATTCTAATTGCAATGTGTGGGATTTGAGTTCCACATTAGAAGTATGAGATTCTAGTGTGGGGTTTATAAGGTCTTGAGCTCTCCAACTACAATGGCTAACTTTTGTGGTGTTTTTCTCCCAAAGTTCTTATCAACATGAAACCAAATATGCTATTAGATGGAGCTTTGAAATTTTGACGTGTTTGTAAATAAGTAACATTTGTCGGTTTAGCAAAGCGAGAAACTGGGAGGACTTTCCAAATCCAAACTCTCTTGTCTATATTGGCTAAAAGAGTAAATTAGAATTGGGGTAAAGAGGAAAGACACACTAACTCGCTAATGTCTCCATCACTCAAACTTTAGGAAAGTGAATTTACCAAGTCCAAATATAGATATGAGTAATACAAGAATTGATGAGCCAGGTAAAGGGGTTACATAGTTCAGGAAAAACCTGATTAATTGTATAAAATATTTATTTATTGATGATATGATCTCTCTCACATTATTATTAATAAGAAAATTATCAAGAGTAGTACTTGCGTTAGTATTGTTTTTAAGTGTTGTGGCAACAATTAAACAGGTCAATGATTTAAGTTTCTTGCAGCATGTTTTGTGTGATATTGCTGTCAAAAGTTTTGGAGTTAAATTTTAATTAAAAAATTTTCGCTGAATGATGAATCTCTCCACACATAGGCATGGGTAGCATGATCATGACAGATCCTGGTGTGAACAACCGATCTTCTGTAATTTTTAGTGTTTTCTTTGAAGCGTGAGTATTTTAGCCTTACCTAATATTTTCTGTTGTTCACTGATATGCAGATAAAACGAGAGATATCAACAATGAAACTGATTAGACACCCAAATGTGATACGTATGTTTGAGGTTAGAAGGCAGTAAATGATTGCTTCCAAGTATTTTACATTTTGGACAATTTATTTTCTGTTTTCATATTTTCCTGAGTTTAAAAGTCTTTCAGTTTTTCCTAACTGCCTTCCAAATTATAAATGGATAATTCCTGGTGTAGGTAATGGCTAGCAAGACAAAGATATACATTGTATTAGAATTTGTAACTGGAGGGGAGCTATTTGATAAAATTGTAAGGCATTTTTATATCTTTTCCATTTGCTTCTGCAGGCTAGATTCCTGTATATTAGCATTGTCTTTTTATAATCCTTCTATTTTGGTTCTTTTATTACCATTATCTTGAACCAGGCACGCAGCGCGAGGTTGAAAGAAGATGAAGCAAGAAAATATTTTCAACAGCTTATATGTGCTGTGGATTACTGTCATAGTAGAGGTGTTTTTCATAGAGACCTAAAGGTAAACATCCGCTTGTGTCATTAACATTTTTCCTTTGTTTCCCTTTCAAAGAGGGAGTGCTAGTGTGGGGTTCAAATTATATGTTTCTGAATATTTAGTAATCCATTCTGAGTGAAAGAATTTGTTTTTCTTAAGAGATAATAATGTACTTACTCAACAAGGGGTGTGTATTTGTAAGGAAAAGAGAATAATGCGTTCTTTGTTTTATCTACTAAAGCCTGAAAATTTGTTGCTGGATGCTAATGGAGTGCTTAAAGTATCAGATTTTGGATTGAGTGCTTTGCCTCAACAAGTTCGGGTGAGTATGCTGACTAATTTTTTAAAAAAGAAAATATATTTATGTCCAATTGGTAACTGATTATCAAACGTTAACAGGAAGATGGGCTGCTTCACACAACATGTGGTACGCCAAATTATGTTGCTCCAGAGGTATATTAGCTTTTGCTGCTAGTTACTATGACATTTATCTCATGAACTTTTTATTTTTTTTTTATCATTGCTTCTTTATCATCTAGGTGATTCACAACAAAGGCTATGATGGTGCAAAAGCAGATCTCTGGTCATGTGGTGTTATTCTTTTCGTTTTAATGGCTGGCTATTTACCCTTCGAAGAAAACAATCTTATGGCTTTATATAAAAAGGTGATTTTCACTCAATGTCAATTTCTTTCTGTGCTCCTGACTGAGCTCAGTTCACATTCTGATGTTGCTGATGGAGAGGATAACAAAATCTTGAACATTTAGCATTTTATAAACTTTATGGATTGGAATGAAAGAAGAAAATCAGCATTGAAACAGTGTATTATTATTAAAGAAATTCCAGGAATGCATGTGTGCTTATAATTCTATTTGTTTTCTTTGTTAGATTAAGTGCCTCTTAAGAATTAGATAATAAGCATAAATTATTTAATGTCATCAAGTTGTCTAGAAAAACCGCTTTATTTGGTTTGTGAATGAAAATGACCATTGATTCATTTTTGGCTTCTAGCAATACACTGTCTTTTGTTAACACCACCTACTTGTGCCACTATGATTTCTATTACCCAACTACCTGTGGAGAGGAGTTACCTATTGCTGAGTTGAAACCTGATCTGATATATTACCTATTGTTGCACTTTTCCTTTAATGATGCATATTTTCTGTTTAATGATAGTGCTGTCTCTTGTGTTTTTGTTTTTTTTTTTCCATTTTGAATGACAGATTTTCAAGGCTGAGTTCACGTGTCCTCCATGGTTCTCTTCAAGTGCAAAGAAACTAATCAATAAGATCCTTGATCCAAATCCTGCCACTGTATGTCCTTGTGTTATTTTTGTTTAATCCCATTCTTGTCTTCTACTAATCTAGCTTTTAACAAATACTCTTTATTTTTCTTCCTTCTTGCCAAATATGTGAAACCAACCTGTATCTCTTTTTCTTTTAATGATATGAAACAGAGGATTACAATTGCTGAGGTCATTCAGAATGACTGGTTCAAGAAAGGATATAAGCCTCCTGTATTTGAACAGGCTAATGTCAGTCTTGATGATATAAATTCTGTTTTCGGTGAATCTTTGGTAAGTCTTTTGGTTTTTCCATTACTCCTGATTAAATTTTGATCATCAAGGCTTTGGATTCTAACCTCTATCTCAATGTTGACTGTGGTGTACACAGGATTCACAAAATCTTGTTGTTGAGAGACGTGAAGAGGGGCCTGTGGCACCAGTGACCTTGAATGCATTTGAACTAATCGCTAAATCTCAGGGTCTCAATCTTGGTAGTCTTTTTGAGAAACAAATGGTATGTGTCTTTTTAAGAAAAATGAATTGTAGACATATTAATATGGCTTGATAGTCTAGAAACTAGACATAGAGCAAGTTAAGAAAATGAAAAAAAAAAAATTGTCTTTTGAGGACTATCATATTAAATTGCAATCAGATTCACAAATACTAAGAGTATCTTTATTTTCTGTTTTTAAAAACAAATTTTTCTTTTTAAAAGTAAAAAATAAATAAAATCTGTTTGTTAACATAAGTTTTATTTTCATTTTCTTTTTAAAAAGTTTTCAAAAATTATATTTAAATATAGTTTTTAAAAATTAAAAAGCAAAACAGAAAAAACCAAGGCCTAAGTTTCTTTTTTCGTTTTCCCTTTTCACATTATTATGTTATGCTGTGTGTTGATAGCAAGTTGTATGAATCAAGAATGCATAAGTTATTCAGTATAATGGTTAAGGTTACTTTTACTTTTGGCAACTAGGGACTTGTTAAAAGGGAAACAAGATTCACATCCAAATGTTCAGCAAATGAAATAATTTCAAAAATCGAGCAAGCTGCAGGACCCCTTGGTTTTGATGTTAAGAAGAACAACTGTAAGGTAAAAAAAAAGTCTATACTATTTACACATGCATTCAGAAAAAACACTACAGTAGTGATCTATTTAGTCAATGATAGACTTACCAGAGCCAATTTCTAACAAAAACTTCTTCCGAAGTTTCTAGTTCTGATAATATCTTACTATGCTTTTCAGTTAAAGATTCAAGGGGAAAAGAGTGGACGGAAAGGTCATCTATCTGTAGCCACTGAGGTATATATTTCAAAGTTTGCTTTCAATTCATGATCTGGGGTGTCCTTCATGTTAAATTTATTTTTGAATTCAGGACTCAGGACTGTTTCTAATGCTTGCTTAAGTGTTGCTTTGCAGATCTTAGAGGTGGCCCCTTCATTATACATGGTTGAGTTGCGTAAGTCTGAAGGAGATACTCTGGAATTTCACAAGGTAAGTTTAATGCACAAATTAATATACATGCATTGGTATATGGAAGTGAAATTAATTCCTCTGCGTCATTACCACTTGTGTTGTCTTCACCCAGTAAAGCATTATTTTTCTACACCTCCTGTTTTGTGGTCTCAAGAGTAACCAGCCATGGCTATCCTAGTTTCCCACTTTATGTCTTGCTAAATAATTTCTTTCTTATTTGCTCACGGGGACTAGCTGTCTTGCTTTGCAGTTCTACAAAAATCTTTCTACTGGGCTGAAGGATATTGTTTGGAAAGCTGACCCTATAGATGAAGATAAAGATGGTTAGTTTTCTAGCAATCCTGATACTTTAATTGGAAAATTAAGGGGTTTAGCACTTTTAACCAATTATTCTTTGTGGTGGTATATTGATTTGAACGTTTTGGCACTTTGTTCTATGGTTTTAAACATTCTTGGTAATATTTCACTAATTTTGGTCTCATGATCGGAGGAGTTTTAATATTGCTGACATCAGTACAAGTATAAGCTGGATTGTACGATAGTGTTTATTTGTGTCTGCTATAATGTGGTACTTGTTAAAGCTGCCAAAAGGGTAGTATGAAGTTTCTTTGGTTTTAGTTTCGAAAATGTTTAATTTGATATTAATTACTAAACATTAGCAAGAATAGTTCAGAGGATAAGTAAATAATGCATAGTGGCTACCTTAAAACCATTTTTAAATTCTCAGCAATGCTCTAGCCCCCTTCCCACCCCCCATTTTCATCCTTCTAGCATGCTAAGGGCTCATAAAAACATCATCAAGTGATTGGGACATTGCTTGGAACCCCGTCCTCCCAAAACATCTTATTATTTGCATCCAAGCCTATAGACAGTAGAGTATAACTGATAAAAACCCTAAAGAAGCTTTCCATTGAGCTAGGAAAAAGGTTAAACGTTGAAACCCTAAGGACCTGCTTGATTTGAGAAAATGCTTTTTGTTTTCATTATTTTTCACCAGTAGTTACAAAAATGCTTCTTTGTTTTCACTAATTTTGTTTCTAATGTTTTCTGGGGAAGCTAGACTAAGGTGAAATGCTGTTTGATGAAGAGGTGGTTAAGAAGCTTTCAAAATTTCTTGTTGGCAGGTTGTCTATGACAATGGACTCTGGTACCCCAAATTGAGTAAAGATGCCCCATAAGTGACCTTTTTAGATGTGTTATAAGAAATGGTGTCTAAAGGCTTTGCTTCAATCTATTAGGTGAATTAATCAACTGCCATGACCAAGAACTTTAGCTGACCTAGAGCCATGGGGAAGGATCCCAAAATGTTCATTTCCTAACTATAATCAAATGCCATGAACAAAAACTTTATCTGACCTAGATCCATGGGGAAGGATCCCAAAATGTCCATCACCTGACTAAAGAATGTCCTGGGAATAAAGATGGTGGATGGCTTCTTTTGGGGTGCCACATAGGTGTCACCAACACATCACATTTCTGGATGTGTTGTATATTGGGTCTTTTCCAACTAGTAATAGCCAACATGTAATGCCTTCTTTGCTAGAGCTTTTCTGCCTTCGTGTTGTCTGCAACTCTTGTAGTGGATTTTAGCCAACCTGTAAAGATCGTCGCCCGCACTACTCCACTCGAGGAAGGGGCATGAGAATCTTCATCGGTAAAGTCGACGTTGGACACTATTCCATACCTCATTCCAAGTTATCTTACTTCCTTTCAATCTTCGGGAAGAACTCTTTCCTTAAGGAAACCAAGGAAAGTTGTAAATCACGTGTTCTTGTTTGAGATGGTGAGCATGGGAGTGTCTTTATATACTTGGTGTAGTGATGATGTCTTGAATGTGAAACAACTGTTTCCTTGCCGCATAGTACCCACTAGTTTGGAAAGTATGTCTACATGGGCATTGTGTTCTCTAGGTACATGCTGAACCCATGAAGAAGTGTTTTGACAATTGCTTAACCTTGGCCCAGTACTTCTGAAGGAGTTCTCTGGCCTAATAATGTTCTCACACCTAGGAGATCATCAACCAAGAGGCAGTGCAGAGCATGATGAAAGTAGTCCTTAGATCCCTGGCCACTGTTAGCCTAACTAAGCATACTTTGTACTCAGCCTGCTTGTTTGAGGTAGGGAGCCTGAATTTCTACAAATGCTTGATGGCTGGCACATCCTTATTTTAAAATATGACTTCAACTAGGGATGGATGCAAGGAAGGGCGTGAGTGGGTCCCATCCCCTTTTTTCCTCATTTTTTTTTAAAAGTAAAGTTTTTAAAAAGATTATAGTCTTGTATCTATTAATATATCTATGTAAAAGTGAAATAAAGGACATTCTATGTTTTAGAATATCGGTGAAAAAATTATATTGTAATTATTTATACTATTATATATGTAAAGGTAAATAAAGTAAGGACATTTATAAATAATAATCGTCCTGTGTGGTACTTGTGTTAGACATGGATGCTTTTGAATATTTCAAACTACATTTTGTAATAATTGCCTCGTATTATGCTGTCTAATGGAAGTCTCTCCCATTCTTGAGGAATTTATATATATGGGAAGGGATCTATGGCTCTCCTTGGTAATAAAACCACTCAGCCAATTAGCTGTTAATTGACTGTAGGCTTTCATTTTGAGGATTGTCTTGTACTTGTCTGGCCATTATACTTGTAGCTTCTATCTCACTGTGGTTTTTAAGACCTTATCCATTATTATTCTTTGATAGGTTACCCTTGAATTCCTTAGCTAACAAGCATGACCTCGTAAAAATAAATATCCTTGCCTGCTATGAAGGCTAATTGTAGTTTGATCTAATAAAAAACATTCATTGTTCGAAAGGTGTTCAGGGATGGCTAACCCAATTAGGCGCTGTAAGGCAAAGGGCAATCAACTTAGGAACTTAACCTTACCTATATGCCAAGAAATCAATACAAAATTATTTATTATGAAAATCATACGCAAGCCTTCTTAAAATGAAAACATTTTATTTATGATCAATAAAATGAAAAACAATGGTAAAGATGATGGATCTTTTTGACATGTAGTAATCCATGCATATTTGAATTATCTGACATTTTCTAGTACATAAACCTTCAAAACGATAATCACTATTCAGTTTCTATTAGATACGTACGTGAAAGTTTTTGTATCAATAATCAATAATTACTATAATTATGGATCATATTTATCCCCGACGAGCGAAACAAGTCATGATATTTAGATTCTTGTTAGAGTTTTGAATCTAGTGACTTTATATAATATTCAATTTCATTTGACGAAAACGTTCATGCATAAGATCTCTCAAGATTTGGCTAAAGGCTCGGTTCCCATTGTTAGCCATGTTTTGATGTAACCCTTTGCTAACATTTATGAGAACCACTGAATTTGGAGCCGCTGGGAGGTGGTTTTGTTTTTTACCACCCCTTTTTTGTTAACTGCATCGCCATTTTCTGTCACTTTCAGAATTCAATTTCTAGAAGTATATTTAATAAATTTTAAAAATTAAGTTTTAAAAGTTATTTATACATTATTTTTGGAATTTAAATACAAAAAGTGTGTTTAGTATATTTTAAAGATTAAATCTAAAAGTGACAAAAAAAAGTTGTGAAATTAACAAAAAGAAAAAGATGGTGTAAAAAAAAACATTTTATCAGCTGGGATGAGATTGGCTTGGACCTATGCTTGTTTTCAAAGGAAGGTTCTGAGTTTGTTTTGGAACGTTGGGAAACCAATATAAAATGTTCACCAGAAAGAAAAAAAGAGGAAACCACTATATAATTTGCTTTGGTTGATTAATATAGATAAAAGGTTTAAAATATTCTTTTAATTTTCTTTTCTTATTTGTTTGGGTTTTCTGGTTCAACCACTTGACCTACTGTGGAATCATTTACTCTGAGAATCGGCCTTTTGATGAGGTCGATTCCTGATTCGAGTTATACGATTATGCATTATAATGCTAGTAATGTACTATCTCTTTATAGTAATGCATTATAGTATTGTAAAATCATTGTTTTCAGCATTGGTTTTCTTTTCCCATAATTTGGACTTGTAATGTAATATCTCTTTCAATTTCTCTGTCCAGGTGCTAGTCCATCAAATTAAGTTTGATATGCAAATTTTCATCTCTGTACAAAGTGCAATCACCAGTGTTATTTGCTAAGAGTGGGCAGATGCTTGAAGGATTTCGTCATGAATCTTTTTTCTTCGTATATGAAAATTTGCCTTTATTTGAACTATACATCAAATAACTTTTCTCTGTTTGTGCTCTGAAATTTTACAAATGCAAAAAGGAAAAGTGGGTCAACTGAAGATTTCTAACATTTGTTTATATGACCAACTGCTTGTGTAATCGACTTGGGTAGCTTTTATCGAACTTTTTTCTTTTTGGGCTGTGAGAAACAATTTGCCACATGATCCTTTTTCTTTGTATGAGATAGAACTAAGATCAAGGTTTCTTTTTGACCAAAAATATAAAAATCAATGTTTCTCATATTCTTATCATTAAGTTCTCAAATCACGTGATGATAAGTAGACATCTTTGATCATTAACTAGCCTCCGTTACATATATATTGTAATTAAAAAAAAAAGTACTAGCGTCATCAACCATTAATTTAGATTGTGTGTGTACGCATACAATTGTAATATACCCTTGGATAGGAACGTATCCATAAAATATGTAAAGATGAGAGAAGTTACTATTGATCACAAAATCACACCCATAGGAGCCAAATTAGTTTCTTTCTTGAGAACATGTTATTGATATATTCAACTTAACTTATCTCATTTTAATTAATTATATATTTTAATAAATACACGTTAGCTTATACATATACAAATCAATTAGTAATTCAAAGTGCGTTAATTCTTGATAAATCATTAAAATAAATTTTTAAAATTATTGATTATAAATAAAAATATATACTAAAACAAATAGTAATTACTATTTTAAAATTGGTAATGTATGAATTTTTACATACAATACCGAGGGAAGAAAAAAAAAAAGGAAAAGGTGAGACAGCAAGTGAACAGAAGAACTGCATATGGGCGGCATCACCTTTATTATTCTACCTTTAAATTTTACATTTAAATAATATTAAATTTTATTTATTTATTTATTGTAATATATCATTTATCATATTTATTATTTTTATAAAATTAAAGAAATAATTTATTAAAATCATAACAAAATTATTTATATATGCTAAATTTAATTTGTATTTTAAAAATATTTATGATATTAAATAATTAAAATAGTGAATTAAATAAATTTTTTAATTCCGAGACACCCCAGACCAAATATTTCCATTCTGATTCGATCACATAACAATCTCTGAAATCCATTTACAACCAATCAAATTTCAAACATATCCCCACGTGTCATACCACAATGCCATGACATCTCCACAATAGGACGTGCCCTTTGGTTGAAGTCTCTCTCTCTCTCTCTCTAATCTCAACCATGCCCCCAACTGCAGGAACCGTAGCTTTACACTCTTCCCTTTGCTCCATCCCTTCAGAGAAACCATCTTCTTCTTTAAGATCAACACTTCAAGTGGCTCCCAAACCCAAAAGCGTCCTCCAGAACCACCCACTTTACACCCCAACCAATGCAAAACTCTCCCTTGAATTCAAAGAGAAAATCCTCTGCCTTGAGGTAATGGGTGTTGATGCTGGTAAAGCACTATCCCAAAACCCTGACCTCCGCACAGCTACCATGGAATCCATTCACTCCATTATCTCCTTCCTTCTGTCTAAAGGCCTCCATGAGAAGGACTTGCCCAGGATCTTTGGCATGTGCCCCAAGATTCTCACCTCTGACATCAAAACTGATCTTAGCCCAGTTTTTGATTTCATCTTGCGTGAACTCAAAGTCCCAGAACACAGCTTTAGGAGGGTTGTCAATAAGTGCCCAAGATTGCTTACATCTAGTGTGAAAGACCAGCTTAAGCCAGCTTTGTTTTACTTGAAAAGACTTGGATTTAAGGATATGGGGGCCTTGGCTCATCAAGATTCTGTTCTGCTGGTGTCTAGTATAGAAAGGACCCTCATCCCTAAGCTCAAATTTTTGGAGGATTTGGGGTTTTCCAAGGAACAAGTTAGAAGTATGGTGTTGAGATGTCCAGCATTACTCACTTTCAGCATAGAAAATAATTTTCAGCCAAAGTACGAGTATTTTGCTTCTGAAATGGGGAGAAAACTGGAGGAGCTGAAAGAGTTTCCTCAGTACTTCGCTTTTAGTTTGGAGAACAGGATAAAGCCTAGACATATGGAGGTTGTGCAAAGTGGGGTCCACTTACCTTTGTCAGTGATGCTTAAAAGCACTGATGAGGAATTTAGGGAACTGATAAAGCTGGGGGGTGGATGACTATAATAGGAGCATTCTGTATGTGTATTTATTAATGTGAATGCATAGTTTCCCAATGAAGTTAGAATATTTGATACATTGTTTATATGCTTCGTATTTTCGACTTCCTTAGTAAAGACTCCATAAGCGACATACTTGATATTGTTGGCAAGTTGTTTTGTTAAATCTTTGGCAGCCCTTTTATGCAATGGACTATGTTGATTCTGGGAAGCAACGAAAGGTGAAATGAAACATGGAAATTTTATATTACCAGTAATAAGTTTTAGGTATTTTTATATTTATCAATGGAACTTGGAAATTTTATCAAATAAGTTAGCTGTTATAAAAGAAATTTCGTCAAGAATGGACTTCTAATAAACTGTCAGGGGTAAGAGATCAACGACAGAGAAAATATTACATGATGTAGGTGTAGGAAGTTTTGTAAATTAAGGGACTTTTTGGTTTAAAAAAATGTTTCAGCTCTTTGAAAAGACGCAATAAAATAAAAATAGTACATAAGTTTTGTAATTAAAAGTAAAAATAAAAATATCTACTTCTAAAAACAAACTGCCCCCTAAGTGTATGTTGCAATTGGACCAAGGCCTTGTTCACGGGGGAACTTATACCAGATACCTGAAACATTTCAGCTTTACAAATTGAAAATATAGACACAATAAGAAATCTCTGCCTTAGGAGAAAAAGCAAAAGGAATCTGCGAGTACGTAAGTATAAGCTTATCTAGCAGAAAGGGCTCAAAATGTAAATGGCTGCAGTTGATGAGACTGGAATGAAATGGGGTTCCTTTAGAGTATCAAAAACTAATTTCTTGGTTCCATGTCATCATATACAAATAAAATACTGAAACCAACCAAATAACTTACAGTTACCTACAAAAACATCAAACAACTTATGATACAAACACAAATATAACAGTAGACCCATCCGTCAACTATTTCTACAAATTTCATGTACATAATGTGTATTTGCTGCGTGGAAATGAACACTTCCATCATTCTAAATGTCTAGCTTGATGTTTGTCCACGAGCTTTAAACCAAAACTGAGTTATGGGGTCACCTGCTGTTTAGAACGAAACGTCTTCAGAAATGAATGCAGTCCATGCATCCTGTTCAAAAATAGATGTGAACTTAATTTCTTCGTTGATCCTAGGCCCATAATATATCATCTCTGAAAAATGTAATGGCAGAATATATGACATTTATTTCACATACCTGTAGAATGGAGAAGGCCTTCTCTGCTATATACTTCTGCAGGAATGTTGCTCCTCTTTGCTGCAGTTTGTCAGGATGGAGGGATAATCTTGCTTTCTGATAGGCCTTCTTCACTTGTGAACTTTCTATTAGGTTCATAAGAGGAACAGCATACCAGCCACTTTCAGGCCATAAAATCTGATAATGAAAACATTCAATTATGTCAATTCTCCTGTTATCTGCATGCTTTCGAAGGCGTTATAAAACTTCGGAAGATTCAATAAATTGTCAATGATAAGAGATCAACAACAAATAAAACATTACATGATGTAGTGTCGAAAGTAGTAGCCGGATGTCAGTTTCCTTGCCAGATGACCACAATCTTATATCTCTGTCCAACTTCTCTGTTTCTGTCTGTACTTTCTACCGACACAAGAAAACAATCAATATAAATCTTTATTCTCTGATAAAAGGAATGAAGACCGAAGGAAAAATCTAGTATGAACCATGTAATTTACAAAATTTAAGTTCCGCGTTATTTTTTACTGGAGTAGATCACACCCCATCAAACTTTTACTCTTTTTCTAATCACACAGCTTTTTGTTCTTTTTATTATAGTTAATTAGGACTATTTTAATCACATCCTTTCCATACATCATACAACTTGAACTACATTTTTTTCATTTCTTTTCTTGAGCAAGGGCTTTTATAAACTAGAGAAATGATCTTGTCTGAATGAAAAGTGGGGTCATTGAACATTTCATGTGTTTTTCTGGCTTCTTCTAACTGATATTTACTATTTAAAACAGCTTATAAAGGCCTTACAGACAAATCCAAAAATTGAGGCAGTGTTTTATTAGAATCAGCACGTGTATTTAGTTACGAATACTGTAATGCTTACCCAATACAATTCATTACCTTAGAAGATTTAACTTTTCCCATTCCTTCGTTGTCATATTCGCCTGCATCAGACCTTCCTGCATTATATTGTGCGTGTATGGATTAGTTTATATTGGAGATATGACGATGATGATGATGATTTATTATTTTCCGAGAGTGTTTTTATAAGAAAAGGCCTTTATTATGTATAAAATAAGAAGAAACATGCACAAAACTTTATCTGGTTAAAACAATCACCTTCGATCCCTGTAGTGTGCTCATTGCCATCATTTCTCAAGCTTGGTTCTTCATCAGAATTTCGTGACTGAAACTTTTCTTTGGCCCATGCAATTGCTTCATCAATGTCTGCTGCGCCACAATTTTCCTCTCTGTGGTTGGAGTTGACTTCTATGACATAGGAGCTCATAACTTCATCATCATCCTGTTCTATTACTAGCTCAGGAAGAATATAATCATGAACTGAAGATTTGACCTCAGGTTCTTGACAGAGTCCAGAGACAGCAGAAAATGGGGAACTGAGTTCCCAATCATCATTGGATACCTTCATGCTTTGATATGAGTTTGATTCAAGGCTAATTGTTTCAGGAGACGAGACTCTTCTTGAGAATCCTAAATGAGGACTTTTGAAGTTCTCCTTGTACTCATTATCCTCACTATGAATTTCAAATGGCTGACCATTGCATGGAAAAAGCGGCCTCCCTTGTTTAATTGGGTGTTCCTCAGACATCATAGTAGATGAGTTCCATCTGCATGGGACATTGATTGGCCTGTAACCATCACTAAGAGGCCTCAGAATTCCCTTAACCAGATTACATAGTTTCAGAAGGCTAGAGTTAAATCTTCAATACAATCAAGCAAAAACACCCTGCATATTGTGGAAAAACTATCTAGCTGGAGAAGTAAACCAAAAATCAACGTGAGACCACAAAGGATAAACATGCATTTATGATGAAATGTTTGCCATGACCACGAATGAGTTTGCTAATTGCTACTTCCTACTTCCTTGGCAAAAAGGGAAAGGTGAAAACTACAAGAAGTAAGCTACTTCAGGGTCATAGATCAATTAAATAAGCTTTTCAGACAAATATTTTCACTATTTTCTATACAATTAAGAAACAGAATAAAAATAAGGTAATATTTTTTTTAATTAAGAATAAAAATAGAAACAAAACATTTTCTGAAATCAAACAATCCTTTTGTCTACTAATACATTCAACATTATAAAGTTTAGCTCCCAAATTTACTTATTTTTCCAAATGGCTGCGTCAACAACCACATAAGACCGTCATTACCTACAATTGGTGGCATCAATATGTAAATACAATCGCAGCCTCAATTTCAATTTAAAACCATATAATATCCAACTTTTACAACATAGAAATTCAGTCTCAAGATAACTAATATGTTGAAACATTTCTTCACTTCCTAACCACCTGTTCTCACTACAATTCCATGACCACAACCATAGAAAGAGTACAACTGCAAATATAACTAATCACAGAGGACATAAATGTCAATTCATCACATAACAAACTAAAGCACAAAACAGTTAGTTCGTTGGGATTTCATTTTCAGTACCTGAGCTTCGAAACAAAGGCAGACAATGCCACGTCATCACCGATCGCCGGCCGGAGAGGGCTCAACTCCTCGGAACTAAGCACCGACGATGAATTGGACTTTGATTTTGCTTTCGATTGCGGCCCCGACCGCTCTCTTGACTTCCGGTCATCGTCAGACCCGAATATGTCGCTGTAAAACGCCTCGTTCTTCGCCGGAATCCGGAACACCGGCAAGCTCCGGCCTTTCGCCAGTGCCGGAGATGTGAACTCAGGCGGCCGGAAAATTTCCTCGTAGAAGGAACTGGACCTGGAGAACTTGTGCACGAGGAGGCTTCTGGGAGGGCCACCAAAGACGTCGGCGAAGTCGTCGGGGTCCATCGATTCCGGCTTGGAGGCTCCGGCGAAGATGGACCGCCGTGTCCGGGAAGATGAGCGATCCTCCATGGATCGCCGGCGTGGGAGGGCCGGCGTCAATCCCATTCGCATTCTCCACGACTCGTCCATTTTCCGGCGATGTTTTCCTGTGAGGTTCTTCTTTCCACTGACCGGAATATTTAGTGGAAGAAATAATGTGTTGCTTGTGCTTATATATAGAGTTTAAGAACATAAAACAAAAGATAATTAAAAAAAAATGAAAAAGAAAAGCAGTTTTGTGAAAAAAGCCAGTGATTGACTTTTACTCTTTTCTTTCAGCTTTAGTTATTTTCTAATAATCAACAAAGTAAAGTTCTGTAGATCAATTATCATAAGTTTGATTTAACTTAATAATATAATTAAAACATAAAGAGGAGAATTTTGTTGCTATAATAGTTTTATTAGCTTGAGTCAAATTAGTCGAATATTTAAATATTGAGGTCTTAGACAAAAAATAACCACTCCAGTTAATAGATAATTATATTCTTTTTAACATGTTAGTTAAGGTTTAATTTCTGAATATGTAAATAAAAATTATTTTACCGAGAGGGACCATAACCACTTTCATAATCCTTTTCAATGGAAAAATAGGCTTAGCATATACTAAATATATTGTGAATAGTTCAGTATCCATAAATCTTAGTTGTTAGTCATGTCACATCATAATTATATACAAATAATTTTTGGCCTAATTAGATACTTTGGGATTAAACTTATATGAAAACATTAGGAAAGCATGGTTGCTTAATGTTTGCATCTTGCCATTATTGTAGTTTGTTTGTTGAATGATCAATTTATGCTTTATATGAATGATTAGTGATAGGTGATGGGAAATGCATAGTGGAATAATGTGTAATAGGTAGACTTACTTTGATTATCTGGAAAGATGCATAGGCTGGAATTGAAGTCCCCACAGACATCATAATGCTGGCAATGTTTGATTTCCCTTCCTTACATTATGCTTTTCATTTTCTTTATGGGTGGGGGCAAGTGGTTTTGTTCTGTGCTAGTGCTCACCCTTTTTGGTTGTCCTCATGCTCTGAGTTTATAGAAGCCATGATACTGAGTGTATATTGATTTTAAATTTTAAGCTTGAGTGAAAAAATAAGAGGATAAAATTCATTTATGGAATGTACTGTGTGTATGTATGTATCTTGAGATGCAAATAGTTGCTTTGAATTGAGGGAATTAGATGAAAATGTAGAACCATGGATTTATGTGTATGGCTGGAGATAAAGTTGCCAACGGGGCAGGTGAGGGAAAGGATGATTGATACCTCACAAGGGGACAATGCATGCCTTAAATTGATTTGTGATCAGAGGCTTTATGCCTTACTCTTACTTTAATTTCCATTTAGAGATCATAATCAATGCATATCAGGTGAGACTATCATAAACCAACAGAGAGGCCTAATGATTCTTGGGTTAATTTCCTTTTTATTTTAGCTCTATAAATTAAATTTTAAAACTTTGTCTGTGCATAGAAATGAGCAGAAGAGAAACATAAGCTTGTGGTGCTAGGAACAAGAAAGCAGGGATATTATTAATGTGTACTTGTATAGAACAATTTTTTTATATGAAAAGAATTTACCAATTTATTGGACAATGGTTTGCCTCCTACATATTTCAGACTCCAACTCTTGAGCATGAATATACATTTATTTTAATGCTTTTAATTATAATTTTTTAATTGAATTCACTTTTATAATTTCTTTTTTACGTATCTCTGAATGTATAGTAACTCTCCTGCTTGGTAAGGTAGGTAAAGGGGTTATGTGGAATTAAAAACTGATGATTTAAGATAATCATAGATGCATACAATGAGAGTGGCCCATTAGACATTGGTGTTCACTGAAAGAGTGCTCTTGTCAATCTGTGCTGAAGTGCATGCCATTCATAAGAAGCTATCAAGTGATGTTTTCCAGCCTATACATTCTAATGTTAATAATATGTGGGCATTTTGCAAGTCAATTTCTAAGATCACTTTACACCACTTTTCAATACTTACATAAGATTGAATACAAATTAAGGTGACCCCCGTGCAAGTATAATAATGTTAAAGGTGATATAACACAAAGTAAGTAAGCATGTGTCAAACTGTCAATTCCAGCAACACTAATTCCTCCCTAAAGGGTGATTGTTCCCTTCTTTATGGTTTTCAGACTTATAAGTTATTTTTAATTTATAAGAAAAAAATTATTTATTTTTATATTAATTTGTTTGTAAGCGATTTTAAATTTTCAAATTATAAATACAATTATTAGTTAATATAGATCAACAAGCGTCTTGTAGTTCACATGAATGTATGGATATCTGTTTATTTATCAGAAGTTAAATTTCGTTTTGAAAACGCTAGCAAATGAGGTTTAAATTATAATAAATTATACCCTTTTTTGTGTATTGTATTCTTACTCATAGTACATATTCTTTCATTGTAGTTGTGGCATTACTTATCTTTAGCTTAGTCTAGACACAATCAGATCATGAGGTATATATTTACAGAATGCCAATGTCAGTCCTAAGACAAGAAAGAAATGCCAGTCCTTTGGATAGACAAGAAAGAAATGCCACAGGGAATAAAATGTATGTTATGTCCAAAATAGGACATTTTTTTAGTAGATTGATCATATATAAGTGAATGGAATAGAGCCTTTTATTACTGTGTCAACTTTTTAAATTATATGAATTAATTTATATCTTTAACTATTTTTTATTAAATAATTTTATTTTAAAATTTCTAGTTACATAAAAAAATTTATATATAAATTATATTTATAAATTCTTATATTAATTTAATATTTAATATTATACCAATAATTCATTGGCATACATCAAATTGATACAATATAAAATTTTTAAAATATAAAAATAAAGATCATTTGATCATGTTTTATAATTTTTAATTTTTAATAAAATTTGATATAAATAATAAAGATAATATATAATTATTAATTTAACAAGTTACATCAAGAAAAATACACTTTATATAATTTATTCATAATATAATTAAGAATTAGTGTGCCGAAACTAATGTATACTCACTTAAATTTTGAGAATATTTTGACAAGTTAGATATTTGATTCTATTATATGAAAATTAAAATTACAACTTTTTAACATATCTTTTTAAAAAGTAAGATCAACACACGTTCTCAAAAGCAAATATTTTTTAAGTTATCTTTTTAATGAAACAAGATGAACACATCTCTACTTACCTTTTAAAAGAAATAATTTAGCAAGCTATACATATGGGGGTGAATTGTGAAAAATTAAAGTTAAAGATTGCTAATATACTTCTTTTAAAAAGTAAGTAGGTATAGATTAACAACTAGTAGTGATAATATATGTTAAGAGACAAGATCCACATAGTCGTCAGAGCATAAACAAATTTATTTATATGCACTTAATCACATATATACTGACTACACATATTTATACAGAGCAGGAAATTTCACATCAATTAACATAACTATTCAATTCCAACAACTAATAACTATCACCTTAAATTACCCCCGCAACACATTTCTTTTTATTTGAAATTTTTACAATTTCAGCATCCTTCTCAACCCTTTTAATCTCTCAATCTTCAATGACTTAATCATAATATCCAAGTATCTGAAACTATTGATATTGAAAAGCATAATTTAAACATAGCCTTGCAATTCTTCTTCCTTTTTCATTCTTTTGAGCATCTATTGTACCCTCACTTGGGCCTAGAAAGCCATTTTTTAAAACATGTAACACATCTCAAAAGCCAAACAACATTTTCATTTCAACACACCACATATACTAATTACCATCAAGGAATGACATTTGTGTAGAAAAGTTTTCTTTGAACTAGTCATCAGATTTTTAAGAAAATCAAGATATGAATACTCACACACTCAAAGTCAAATCTAGGATCACAAAAAGCTTTAATACTAGTTTGTTGATAAAGATCGACATACTCACGAAAGAAGAAGAGAATAAGAGCAAAAATTTAATTTTGAAGTATTTATGCACTAAATCACATATACTCTGAATATACTTTTCTATACTAAACAAAAAGTCCCACATTTATTGTTCCTCAATAAAGAAGATAAAGAAGAAATTAATAAAAAATAAGAGAAACAAAAATAACAAAAATAGTTCAAATAATTTATCACCCAACCCAAGTCTATGTCTGTCATGTGTGATGGTTGGATCTTATCTTAGTCCATAGAGGTTGCCGTCTTCATTTTGACACGTTTTTCCTTTACTCACTATGTCGTACCAATTTTTTTGTACGAATTTTGTCCAAACTAATGTGGTCCTTTCTCATGATTGACCTATTATTAATTTTAAAATAATAATAAATTATAATAATTTGATGAAAATCAATATAGATTTTGGTTGTACAGTTTTCGTGTATCTTCCTTCGTTTCCTACCATTTATTACTTTGATGTTATTTTTATTTTCATAATAATTTTACTTTATCTTACGATTTTGCCCTTCTCTCACAATTCTATACTAAATTGATATTTATTTTTATGTTTCTATCATATCCTTTTTCTATACTTCATCACGCACACAATTTGAAATCAACAATAAAATACTCTTCTTTAAATTTTAAGTTATCTTTCTGAGTATGAAATTATATCTTATCACTATTTCCCTTTATTTTTTAAAATAAAAATTTTATTGAATATTTAATTAATAAATAAAATTTATTAAAAATTAAATTTATAAAATAAATTATACATAAATTAATAAACCAAGTCCAAACTTTAGAATTTTAATCAAATCAAACTTAAATTTTAAATTAAATTTGCATAAACTAATAAACAAGTTAGATTTAGAATTCAGCTATTCAATTTATGTTAACTCATTCATTTCATTAAAAAAATCATTTATGGTAGTACCTTAATTTAAAACAATATATTAATCTTGATTCTTGACGAGGACTGCTCAACAATATTACCATGGCTAGTTTGATGTAGTGCCACATAAGAAAAAAGTAACAATAATTATGAGAGTAGTAGTGCAAGACATAAGCATCAAGGAAAGGAAAAGAAATTTATGTCGGTAACATATGAGTGAAAGCTATTATACAATGATTGTACTTGCTTGATCGAATGTCTTAACATTTCTCATTTTAAGTATGTTGATTCAGTTGTTTTTGCTAGGAGAATTGAAGTCAATCTAATTTATACAAGTCATATTTCAGTATCGTATGAATTAATTTTATATAAGTTTAAATATATTTTAAATTTGTATAAGTTTTCTTTAATTTTGATTTTAATCTAATTACATTTTAAATGTTTACTACTACTTTTTTAAAATCAGTATTTTTCTAGATTATACGAATATTATTGGATTAATTTATTTTAAGTAATTAATTCTTAAAAATACTTCTATTTAGGAATATTTATAAAAATATTTTCATTATATATATTACTCGTTAGTGTATAAAATAGAAACTAATTTAGAGCATGGTATGCTACTGTAGGTAATTGAAGCAACAGGACACACGAGTGATGAAAGGTTAAATCATAGGCAGTAATGAAACTGAGACAAACACGGAAGACAATTCTTGTGGCCTTTTGCACGTAAAAGATGAAAACCCTTTATCTTGTGTCCTAAAGAAAATGGTCAAAGTTGCTTTCACCTGCACCACCATAACTTTCTTACATATTTATTTCCATTTTATTTTCAGTTATAATTATTGTGACTCCGAAAAATCAAAAAAATAGAGAGCAATGTTGGGAACATATTAGGAATTAATAGGATATATGTACCACATTGTGTTGTTACAATCAGCCCCCAACAACACAAACGGTCCACTGATAGAAGCAGAAAGAAAATCAATTAACTAACATAACTATTGAAGTTGAAATATACTGTGGATGTATAGTAATGATATTTTAACATTGAAGGAACAAAGTTGCTGCTGAGTCACAGATAACAGACCAAGATTTTGGGGTAGGAGGCACAATTGTGATCTTTTTACATTTTTAACGTAATTCTCGTGCCATTCTGTTCCCAGAATAGCTTCTGGTCCCAGTTTGATCTCCCTATGGTCAGGATCCTCATGATTGTCCATTTGTGATTTCATGCTCATATCAACAATGCTTCCAACCTCCATTAGAATAATGTTGTTCATTGGTTAAATCAACGATCCTGCAAATATAATCAACTATTCCTCTCTCACACTCCTTTGTTTTAAATATGATTATTAGGAGAGTGATTGTTATCGATTTTGAGATAAAATAGTAATTTAATTTAAATATAAATGAAATATATGATTCAGCTTAGATCAATTTAAAAATAATATTAAAATTGAACTAATTTTAACTATTTTTTTAAAATTTGGATTGAATCATTTTTTTATTATTAGTTTTATTTTTTTAAATGGGACACAACTTAATTTTAGTTAATAAACAAATAAAGTTTCATTAGTAAAAGCATGAATAGTATTTAAAATTAATATATAATTTTATGACCTTTTTTTATTTAAAAGACTACACTTTTTAAATAAAAAAAGTCAAATATATAAAAAATATGAAAAAAAAACTTGTTAAAAATATATTTAATCTTATTATAAATTATAATTTAACACTACTATGGTCGAAAACAACCATGGTCAAACATCACTGTTGTCGAAAACCATTCTGACCCGCTCCACTTATCCTAAATAAAGGAGAAAAGATAACTTCATTGGGAAAGCTGTTTCTAAGCAGTTTAGCCGCATTCTAATAATTGCAGCCAAAACTATGGTACAAGAAAAAATTTGGGGTATCATATCAGAACAAGCCCCACCAGCCTCAATGAGTATTTACAATTGGATTACAGATTACCTACTAATGGGATTCCTGGATTCAGTGTCATGATCAGAAGGTCAACCTAGAGAATCCACCCCATAAGTTTCTACACAATGAGTTCACATGCCTATCGACTCTGATGAATGAGTTGTCCTTATCATTTTATCTTATCCAACAAAGCCACCGATAAATTTAGCTGAAGTCTCTGGAAGTTATAGCGTTTGTTTTTCTGAATATGTAGTGCTACTCTACGAAGTAATTCAAGTTAGAATCTTCAATGCAAAAAGCTTTCTGTGACCCAGATATTATGAAGACCACACTTGGACTGGTCATTGACCTAACCATTTTATTTCCCAACATGGCGAGAAATGTCTAAACCAATACAGCGCTTTCTCTATAAGTGAGGTCTTTTACCCTTTCAAATTGATGAGATGCAGATGCAGAGTTAATACTCAGTCTCCAACCACATTATAAGCCTCAGCTTGACAGATGCCATCCAACTTCTTCTAGATGTTCCCAGAGTTGCATGACATAGATTGATAACATCACCCTTGCAGTTATGGAAGGCAACTCATTCACCTGTATTATGAGCAAGAAAGTTAGGGTACATTCTAACTTGTTTTGCTTCCCAGTGCTAAAACTTCCAAGGTTTTAAGTGACATCAAACAAAAGCCTTAGTGAACATACAAACATCCCAAGTCATTCAAATCAGTCATAACCACTTCAAACTCCTCCTCCCCCTTGGCCCTAACAATCCTCTTGATAGCTGTGGCATTTCGTCATTACATCAAGAAAAACACCTTTCACTTTCCCCAATCACTTGAAACAAAACTTAATTTTTAAGCACATCAAACTTCCTTAACAAAGAGAGTGAAACTCCAGAATTTCAAATATGATGTTTACAGGTGAATAGGCAGGAGTATATGGTCATTGCATTTGGCAAATTTTATGAGTATCAGGCAAGAATTTAAAGTCTGCCAGAATAATTTGATCCAAAAACTTTAAAGAGTCTTCCCAAAAGACCACCGATCAAGGCAAAGTGTGGGTTGAAGAAATCCCTTCTTCTATCATCTTCTCTCTCAATTTAGAGGCTTCATTAAGATCACCAATTCTACAGTAACCACTGATTATTATATTATAGGTAACAGCATTAGGAACTAAACCCTTTTGGTGAAGTTTATGGAAAAGTCTCTTTGCTCGATCCATATTTCCTAATTTGCATAAGCCATTTATTAATGCATTATATATAGTAATATTTGGGACAAGACCTCTCTCCAGCATCTCATTCCTTAAGTTGAAAGCACCATCCACGTCACCCGCAGCTGAACAGCCATGAATTAAGGCACCATACGTGAAATTATCTGGGAGAAAACCTCTAGACAACAAAATTGACGGAACACTCCTTGCTTCATCAATCTTCCCAGACTTGCAAAGACCATAGATAGCTATGTTGTAGACAATATTGTTAGGACGAGAATTACATAAAGCACTATTATCAAGAGAATCGGCAATTCTCTGAGCTTCTAGGCTTATGACATCATTTTTCACATACGTATCAGAACATTTATGAACTGTAAAAAGATCAAAATCCACCATCTTGTCTAGGATCCCAGTTGCTTCATTGATTCTATCATCCTTATAAAGACTGCTGGCTATTTTGCTACAGATTACTGAATTAGGAGTAAACCCTTTTTGAATCATTTCAAAATATAAGGTAAATGCCTTGTCCAGCTTCTCTTCATTGCACCAACCAGAAATAAGTGTCCCATAGGAAACAGAATTCAGTGATAATCCTCTTGTTTGCATCTCAGCAAGAAGATCAACGACATCAGATGACTTCCTAGATTTAAAAAGTCCATTAATTAGGGAATTGTACATTTCAATGGAAGGAGAAATTGCTTGTCTTTCCATCACATCTTTAATTCTAAAAGCTTCAAGAACACTGCCATTTTTACAATATCCGTCACACAAAGTCCTATATGTTATTTCATCTGGCGGGCATCCAAGTTCCTTCATCCTATCAAAAACAGCCTCCGCTTCCACCATTTTCCCCATCTTACACAACCCACTGATCATTGTATTGAATGTAACGGCACTCTTAGTAAAACCACGGCCTAAAATTTCCTTCCAAAGCATCATAACCCTATCATAATCTCCCATTTTATAAAAGCAATCAAGCAGAGTACAATAGCTGACCTCATTAGGAGCCACACCTCGCTCCACCATCAAATGCCAAAGACACAAAGCATCAGCATAGGAACCCACGTCAACTAATCCCTTGAGAACAGTATTATACGTCACAACTGACGGATCAATACCTTCCCTTAACATTTCCTCACAAAGCATAAAAGCTTTGTTCATCTGCCCTTCTCTGCAGTACCCATCCAACAGCGTATTATAGCTATAACAATCCGGCCTCACATCCCAAGCCACCATCTCCCTAAACACCTGCTCAGCCTCATAAACCCAACCATGCTTACAATACCCATTAACCAATGAATTACAAAGAAACACATTCATCTTCAACCCCACCCTCACCATCTCATCCCGAATCCTAACAGCATCACCCATCTTCCCCACCTGACAATATCCATCAACCAGCACGCCATACACACGTTCATCCACAACCATCTCCGTATCATTCTCCACTCGAAGAAGCAACCTCTCGGCCTCATCCACCCTTCCCTGCCTGCAGTACCCTTTCATCAACAAAGTCCAAGTAACAACATTCATCGAGACCCCTTTGCGCAACATCAAATCCAACACCCTCTCAGCCGCTTCCACATCACCCTTAGAAACAAACCCATTAATCAAAGCATTGTAAGTCACAACATTAATCTCAAACCCCATTCTATCCATCTTTTCCACAAACCCTACAGCACCATCTACACTCCCCTCCCGGCAATGCGCATTCACGACAATGCTACCCATATACACATCAGGCACAATCCCAACCTTCACAATTTGCTCAAAAACCATCAATGCAGTACTTCCTTCGCCAACACTAACCAACTTCGCTAACAAGCAATTGCAAGACCTCAAACTCGGGCTCCTACCAAGCCTTCGCATTTCATCGAACACGTGAAGCGCGTGCCGCGTCATGCCTTTCTCCGCGAAAGCCTTAAGGACCATGTCGAAGACAGTTGGAGAGAACCCAAACTCGTTGTAAACGCTAACGACATCGTTCCAAACGGCGAATGCGCGGTAGTTGTTGGTGCAGTGGAGGGAAACGAGTTGGCGCAGAAACGACCGCGTTTCGGGAAACATTTTGGCACGTGCGAGAATGTGGACGAGGAGGCAGTAGGAGGTGGGGTGGGGGCGGTAGTGAGGGTGTTGGGAGGCGATATTGAAGAAGGCGAGGGAAGCGGCGGGGTGGAGGCGGAGGCGGCGGAGGAGGGCATCGGTGAGGTGATCGGAGAATTTAAAAGAGAGGCGGTGGAGGGCGTGGGGGCGGCGGAGGAGGAGGAGGCGCGTGATTTGGTGGAGTAGTTGCGGTTGGGGTAGTTTGGATTGTTGTGGAAGGTTGGAGAAGAGTGGAGTCGTGAGGTGAATGGATTTGGTGAAGGGAAGTTGAAGATGGAGAATGGGTTTGTTGCTGATGAAATGGAACATTAGGGTGCCAACGTCGACAGCATCAGTTGGTAACTGCTGTTGGAGGCGATTCAGAATATCTTCAAAACTCAAATGATGAGGTCAATGGTGCTTTGCTTCTCAGTGGAAGATGCTATTCCATTGCCATACCAATGAAGGAAGAAGAAGAAGAAGAAGAAGGTCCACAACCATTGTCGTTTTGTTATGCAGTGCGCAGGGTAATGATGATCGCGCACTGCACTTTCCTTGTTTGAAAGGAGAGAATGTGAGGGAAGGAGTTTTAACAATGAGTGGGAAAGATGAGAACTTGGAATATAGTCTTTCAAAAATTAGTTTCATTAGGTCTTTTAAATCTTTGGCCCTTCAAATTATTATCATGTTAATTTAAAAATATATATATATCATCGAATAAATTTTTTATATGTTCAAAATATCATCATATTAATCTCTTTAAAAGAAATACTTAGCTTGTCAAAAATTAAACCTTTTAAAAAAATTTAAAATTTTATCAAATTTGGAAGACTTAACTAATGTAATAATAATATTAGTGACACTTTCATTTTTAGAGGATTAAATTAAATAATTTTTTATATAAAAATATGACATGCTTGTGTTTTGAGTCTATAGTCATACCATTTAAGATTTAGTCAAATATAACATCACTGGTAAATTGAAGTTTTTTAAGATCACTGCCTCCAACAGCTTCAGCAAAATGGAAGTTTGAATCAGAAATTACAATATATATTCATAAATTGCTATAAATGTTCCTAAGAATTTTTACTATATGTCCGATTATTGGTATAAATTGTTGTGAAGTTGGAATATATACTATACTGTTATATAAAAGAAAAGAATGATGAGGATAAACAAATAATCAAATAAGTAAACTCTTAGATGTAAAGTGGAATATATACTAGATTCATTCCTTGCTTATATATATATATAATTAAGATGAGCTTTGATTGATTCCTGTTAACAAAGGTAAGAATACAGGTGTAACCATACTCTCTTATTCTTAGCTTTATTAACAGGAATATCCATTTAATGTAAAATTTTATAAATTTTTAGATTAATTTCCAGTTGAGTCTTACTAGGGAATGTATATGATCATGATATATGATGTATCTCTTTGCAGTATTACTTGTAATCTTGATTGCAATAATATTTAATCATACTCTTGAATGGAGTGTTACCACTCACTAGTTTAAATAAATATTTGTTATTTGATCAAATTAGGTTATTTTTTAATAGTTTAAAAATAAATGTTATATTATTTGATAAAATATATTAAAAAATAAGAATACTATATCGAAAAACTCACTTTCAATAATATAATTGCTTATGTCAACTAAACAAGAGAAGAATTAAGTTTTTTCTTTCTTGACTTCCCTTCATATTTGTTTTATATTAAGTATATTAACATTGATCAAGAGTAACTAAAAGTCTCCCTTAAGTAACTCAATCTTAAATTCTAGCAATATTTTTATCCAATGATTTGTTTATTTTTTATTTTGTCTATTTCTTGTGACTTTTTTTTTATATTCTCTCTCTATTTTAGATGTGAAAATATCAATTTTCAATGACATAAGTTATCAACTACTTTAAATGTATAAATTAATTAAAATCATTTATCAAACATTAATCAAATTTTAATTTATCATTATATTTTTTATCATTATCCAATTTATTATTTAGTACATCTTCAGAAATTTCTAGATTATTTTGATAAATATTAATCATTTAGATGTGATAATTAATACTTTAGATTGATTGTTCTTATCGTTGTGGTGTAATTTAATATTAATTACGTGTTTTGAAAAAATTATATAAATTAAATCATTTTTATACATAAAAATTCAATTTAATATAACATAATACTTTATTCAATCTAAACCAAATCATAATGTGTTTTTATAATTACATTAAACGGCATTTTACCCAAAAGCCAATTTAAATCATATTATAAACCAAATCATAATGTGTTTTATGCACTGTAACTTTTATATGGACCAAATATTTAACAATTTATAAAATATCTACATTCAATTGTCATGTTTTATAATGCACTCAATATAATATTCTTATCCTCCATATCTTATTTATTTATTTTATTTTATATATTAAATTCATGTTTTTATTATCAAAAGAAAAATATTTATAAAAATTATCTTAACGAGAGAGCATTGAAATGTTTTAACTTTATGATAAATTTATCATTACTAATTATAGTTTTATGATTAAATTATTTTATAATATTTTTAAAAATTTATTTTATAAGTCATAGTATGCATCAAATATTATAAACACGTATAAATTGTGTTTAGAAATAGTAATTACAAATTATTAAATTATATGTATTTAAATCAACTTTTTTTATAAAATACTATAAAATTTTAATGAGATAATTTTAATATCAAATAAAAAATTCCAAATCACGTGTCTTTAAAAAGAAAGAATTTTTTTAATATTTTACTCTGTTTTAAAAAGGAAGATTTTCAAATCGTGCATATTGATGTAATGAGTAAGTCTAAAATTAGATTTTTTTTTTTTATACATAAAAACTTAAACTCAAGACTTTAGTTAAATAATATCAAGACTCAGATTAATCTCTATCAATAAAAGAACATGTTTTTGATTAACATTAAAGACATAACATTTATTGACTATAAGTAATTGTATGAAAATAAGTAATACTAAAAAAATAACGTTAACAATAGGTGAAACAAAATACATAGTAAACAAAAGGGCTTTTTTATTTAAATATTCCAAAATAAAAAACAATTTATTAAAATAGTGTATTTTTCAAACAATTTTCCTGTTTGGGGTGGGGCCGTACACGTATCGCCAAAACAGCTGGCGAAACTTATTATTTTAATATTATAAAACAAGTTTTGCTAAACGAAGGACGAAAGTTGAAGGTAATTTCGCCATTCACCTAGCGAAACATGAAAAAGTAGACACATTAGAGAGCGGTTCAGTTTGAACCGCTCTCAGAAATCCCATCTAAGAGAGCGGTTCATTAGTAACCGCTCTCTAATGTCCCTCTAAGAGAGCGGTTCAAACTGAACCGCTCTCAGAAGTCAATCTTGGAGAGCGGTTCAAAAAGAACCGCTCTCAGAAGCTCTCATAAGAGAGCGGTTCAAGAATAACCGCTCTCAGAAGTGGTAATTAAGTCCTCTTTCGCCATTTTTCCTGCGAAAACATTTTTAACACAGATCTTTTGGTGAAACCTGGTATTATTTATTCCCATCCCTGCCCCCTCTCATCAGAGGCTCATTTTGCAATCGAAAAACAGGAACGAGGAAGGAGAAAGGAAAAAGCTTAGTTTTATTTATTCAATTTTGGTATTATTTATATTTTTATATTATTTAAAATTAAATATTAAATAAAGTTTATTTGTAAAAATGTAGGATGAGTAGAATTGTTATTATTATATATTGGAATGGTAGAATATATGAAGGAAATGAAGGAGTGAGCTTTGATGGAAGTAAGAGAGTGATTCAGATACAGCGATGAATAAGTTTTGAAGCCTTGAAAAGAAAAATTCATTTGAAACTTAATCTTAATAATAATCAAGTAATTTGTAGATTAATTTCTCGTTTTTTGATTGATGAAAATAGTAGACAATATACAGCTTTAGATATATGTGATGATGAAGATATTGATTGCATGATAAGTGCATTTGAACAGTAATCTAGTAGAAATGTTATTGAGTTATATGTAGACATTGCTGTTGGTGGAAGTTCATCAGTGCCATTGCAGATGATCAATTTAAATTTATCAATTTCACAACAAAATGATAATACTGTTGTGAGTTGTGATCGTGTCGAAGGTAAAATTATAAATTATGTAAATGTTTTTATTAATATATGTCATATTTTGTATTGAAAGTGTAAAAATTTTTCCATTAAGGAGTTAGAAATGATGTTGATGAAGATAATGAAGATTCAGATTATGAGAGTGACACTGATGGAGATGATGAAGTAGATATTTCATTAGACAGTTCTTCCTCTACTGATGCTAAATGCGAGTTTCATTCAAACTTAAATACACAAGTAAACGAAAGTACAAGAGGTAATGTGCAATATTGTAAAAAATTATTTGTTTTTAGTTTAATATGTAAATATTAATGGTAAATAATTTTGCAAAATATAATGCAGGAGATACTGTGATTCCTTTTTGGAATGTTACTCCACAGTATAAGTATATTAATTGGGAATATCCTGATCAAGAAATGAATGAAGAACATTGTGAAGATGTCAATTCATGGGTTGAAGGAGATTCTTTATTCGTTGGGTTGTTATTTGACAGTAAAGAAGATGTGAAAAATGCATTAAAACATTACGCAATGAAGATTTATCAAAGTTATTTTGTGGCTGAGTCAAAACTAACATGTTTGTATGTTAAATGCTTAAACCATACTTCTGGTTGTCCATGGAGAGTGAGAGCTTCATTGTTGAAAAATTCAAACAAGTGGAAAATAACGAGGTGGGGTGGTTCACATACATGTGTTAATGTTAGAATTTCTCAAGATCATCAAAAGTTAGATTCCGATTTAATTTCTTCATGCATTCTCAGTAAGACATATTTTATATATGTTATTTAATTTTTTTACAATTACATTGTTATTAATTAGACCAATTGATTCTTATGTAGGAATGGTGAATGAAGAGCCGTCAATACATATTTCATTGATACAAGAGAGAATCTGCACTCAGTTTGGATACAAAATTTCATATAAAAAAGCTTGGATGGCGAAGCAAAAAGCTATTGTCAAAGTATTTGGTGACTGGGATGAATCATACGCTACCTTGCCACATTGGTTAGAATACATGCAATTACATACTCCTGGATCTGTTTATAAAGTTGAAACGAAGGAGTATGTGGCTTCTCATCAAGTGGATAACAGGTATAGAGTATTTGAACGAGTGTTCTGGTCATTTAAACAATGTCATGAAGCTTTTAAATTATGCAAACCTTTATTGCAAGTGGATGGGACGTTCTTATATGGTAAGTATCATCATACGTTGCTTATTGCAACAACTCAAGATGGAAACAATTGTGTCCTTCCAATAGCTTTTGCAATTGTTGAAGGAGAAACCTTGTCAGCATGGGAATAGTTCTTGGCATTGATTCGTTTGCATGTTACTGATAAGTTTGGAATTTGTTTGATATCAGATAGGCATCAAAGTATCAAAGGAGCTGTCTCAAATCCACACATTGGGTGGCAACCTCCAAATGCATATCATGTATACTGCATTCGTCATATTGCCAGCAACTTTAATCACCGATTTAAAAATATCGCCTTGAAGAAAGACCTCATAAAATTAGGTATGTGATTATAATTTATTTAATTTAGATATATGTTAGAGTTAATTAAATGTTTAGCCAAATTTAATCCACTGGTTTAAAAATAATGTTTTATGTGTAGGTTATACACCATCCAAGGTAATATTTGAGCAAAAGTTAAGTAGATTTCGTAATGAATCTGAAGATATACAAAGGTGGATTGATTGCATATCAAAAGAGAAATGGGCATTATGTTATGATGACGATGGGCGACGTTATGGTCACATGACCACAAATCTTTCAGAAGCTGTGAATAAGGTGTTTAAAGGTGCTAGAAATATACCCATAACTGCACTGGTTAAAGTCACATACGGATGTTTAGTTGAATATTTTGTAAAGCGTGGAGAAGAAGCCATATTTGACCTTCACAATGGAAACATGTTTTGTCGTACAGTAATGTTGCAAATACAAAAAAATCAACAAGAGGCTTCATCACACCAGGTTCGTAGGTATGATGTACACAGGAAAACTTTTGAGGTTGAAGAAGCATTTAATCCAATCACGCAAAGCAGTGGACACAAATGGACAGTTATATTAGATAGAAGATATTGCGAATGTGGAAGATTTCAGTCCTATCGATATCCTTGTTCGCATGTCATAGCAGCCTGTATAGCTGTAAGTCTTAATTTTTGGCAATATGTTGACCCAGTTTATTTAATAGAATATGTTGTCAATGCATACTCTCCATAGTGGCGCCCCCTTGGTAATGAATGCAACATCCATACAAACAGTGAATGGAAGTTGGTGCCTGACATTGAAAGAGCTAGAGCTAAGGGACGACGTAAGTCAACTCGTATTAGGAATGAAATGGACTGGGTTGAATCACAAACTAGACAAAGGTGTTCACGTTGTAACGAAGTTGGTCATAATCGACGTCATTGTCGTCAACAAAACTGAGTGTAATATGTAAAGCAAAAAGAACAAACTCTATACGAGGGCCAGTGACGGAAAGGGAAGCAGAAAAATCAAATGTGGAAATGGAGGAGAAGGGGGAAGAAAAGAAGACGGGGCTGGGCGAAATAACTTTCGCCACAGCAGTTGCGAAATTTCCATGACCGTTGATTGTAACTTTTTACAAGTTTCGCTCTGTATTTGGCGTAACAAGGTCAGCTTTGCGTCGATTTTGGCGAAACTGTCGCGAGATTAGAGAGCGGTTCAAAATAAACCGCTCTCTAAGAGGACTTCTGAGAGCGGTTCTTGTGCAACGGCTCTCTTAAAAGCACTTCTGAGAGCGGTTCTTGTGAAACCGCTATCTTAGTAGAACTTCTGAGAGCGGTTCATTTTGGAACCGCTTTCTTTCATCGACTTCTGAGAGCGGTTCTTAATGAACCGCTCTCTAATGCTCCTACGTTGTTCTACTTTCGTCCTTCGTTTGGCGAAACTTGTTTTATAATATTAAAATAATAAGTTTCGCCAGCCGTTTTGGCGATACGTGTGCGGCCCGACCCTAGACAGGGAAATTGTTTGAAAAATACACTATTTTAATAAATTATTTTTTATTTTGCAATATTTAAATAAAAAAGCCAAACAAAAGAGATAAAGATAATCAAGAAAATTTATTCCAAAATAATTAATAATTATAATTTTTTATTAATTATGTATAATTAATTAAACTTATATTTTATTTATTACAAATATATTTTTATCTTGTCTTTTTATTAAATTATAATAATAATATATATTATTAATATAATCTTAGTTTATAACGCATAAAAGATAAAGTAGTATAAGATAAAATTAAAGGACCAATTTGCGATAAATTAAATGTGTATTTAAATTTATATCTAAATTATTATAAAACTACGTCTTGATTAAGTGATTGATTATAATTTTTAAAATAAGTATATATTAATTTACATACTTTTTTATCAAGAATCGAAATATAGACTTGGCTTATGAATGACATATTCAAGTCAAATTCTTGACAGAGAAGAACAAACAGAGAATTCTGAGAAAAGAAACCTTGATTCCTAAGTTTTCAAACATAAAGAAAACGGTTTTGTGCTGAGTCGTGTACGGTTAGAAGAATACGAGGGAGACAACATTCCTCATTACTACCCTAAAAGGCACTTAGTACAAGACCATAGTGTGTCAGCTTTACCTTTTTGTTCAGTCCCATGAAACAGTTTCAGAAAAGCACAAAAGAAAAGAGCAATCACAGAGATCACCATCCAATTAAATTATGTTTATTTTGGCTCCCAAGTGTCAGATTAATACTAGATCATCCTTTTGCCTTTTACCATCAAGCACCTTTTTTTTTTTCTCTTTTTGAACTTCTCTTGCTTGCAAATTTCAAATTCAAATATCCAATGCCTCCTTTCTCAAGTTTTCTTATATTCTTCCTTCACTCTTTGATTCAAGAAAGCTATGATTCTCAAGTTTTTATTATATATATATAAAAGATGGGGTTGAGTTAAAAAGAAAAATTCTCCTTCACACGATCATCCTAGGGGCTTCTCTTGTTTAAAAAAAAATCTTTGCTTCTCAAACATTTCATATAACCTTCAAAGGAAAATCAGATCCAGGCATAGAAGCCAACCTGCAGATATGGGTGTCAGAAGTTGGCGCCTTGTGTTATTCTCCTTGTGTCTTTTCTTCAGTTCAGGTAACTTATTTTTTGTTAGAACTTTGGTCCTTAGCAATGTTTAATTAGGAAGATACCATATTGAAGCCATGAAGAGCTTAGCATTGGAAACATAATTAATCAATAGCCATAATAATAGAAGTTCATGTTAAGGCATGAAATCAAGATGTTTTTTCCATTGAAAGATCATAGCCACATAAACTTTTTTTTTAAAGTTTCAATTGCAATGATTCTCCTGATAAGGTTGAATTTGCATGAATTTTATGGTAACTGTAGGTAGGCATACATAGGCACATAGCTAATAAAACATGCATAAAAAAAGTATTCATTGAATGATTGGGTCAGATGTTCTGCCACCTTGGAAACAACCACAGAAACACTTGAGGTTAATTTATTCGGGTTTACTACTTAAATTTCATCAATTTCTATTAATTTTCCCTGATAAAGGGTTGAAAATCCTGCGTGTTCTTTTACAGGTCTAGTAGGTACAGCCAAAACATTAAGAGAAGAAAACCAAGAAATCTCATCCTATGAATTTAGTACTGAATTAGATGCAGTTCCTGTAGTGAACCCTACAACTCCAGGCACAGCAAATCCATATCCTACATTAAACCCAACAACTCCTCAAGCACCTTTCACAACAGGACAGACACCACCAACCTCCACAACCCCAAAAACAAGCCCTACAACCCCATACATGACCCCCATAAATCCATACACAAATCCAACAACTCCAACTTCAACCCCCCCAAGCCCAATTACAACTACTCCCACAACCCCAACCACTCCTACTACTGGATCAAGTGGTGGTCAATGGTGTGTTGCGAGCTCATCAGCTGCTGAGAACACTCTTAAGGTGGCTCTTGACTATGCTTGTGGGTATGGTGCAGACTGTTCAGCAATTCAACCAGGAGCAAGTTGTTATAACCCAAATACTCTGAAAGACCATGCTTCTTATGCATTCAATGATTACTACCAGAAGAATCCAGCTCCTACTAGCTGTGCATTTGGAGGATCAGCTACACTTATAAACAAAGATCCAAGTAAGACTTCTCATCAAACATAAAAGCTTTAGTGCCTCCTCTTGAATCATGATCATGATCATTGAGCACAAAGAATAAAAGAAACTTAACTTTTTCGTGTCTTAAAAATGGACACGTGAAAATTTGCAATTCTCGTGTTTCCATCTTAAATATACCTTTTCCATGTAGCAATCTCTCATAAATTTCTATTGCAGTACAACTTGTATGATGCTTCTTCTAATTGAACCTTTTTATTTACATACGGAACTACTATTTCAAATCATTTGTACCGTATATATTGCCTTGCCAATATCTTAAAGACTTTTCAAATTTCCGTATCCTGCATAGTCAGGAACATACTTGCATGAGTGCAACATAGCTTCAAGGCATAGTGTCCTATCATGTAATTTGACCTGATTCCAATGTGCTTCCTTGTGGTTCAACACTCGTTACGTTGCCCTTTGAAGTTTGTTCTATCAAACCCCAAGATGACACATCGAAATCCGGGTCAAATTAAATGGTGGGACACTAATTTTACAGTAACAAAAACAAATCCTTTTGGTTGCCACTTGCTATTCAGTAACCGATGAATATTCAAAAAAATTCTGCTCTTGATTTAGCATACTAGCTTTCTCACCAATGGCATAATTTGCAACTCCAAACATAGACTTCATTTACTAATCTCAGTTTTTAATTGGTATTATGCTGTCAACAAAATGCTACTATGTTATGCCTATTAACATGCTTCTCTAAATCATTTCAGGCAATGGGAACTGCCGCTATACATCATCCAAAACACCAAGGTGAGAATATGTGGCACCTATATCATATTCACCCAACTAAGAAAAAAACATGATATCTAAACTTATACTTTCTAAATTTCTAATATATATTGTTCATGCAGCGTTAGTTCACCAACTTTTGTAAGCCCCCCAAATCCACCAAGTCAACCAAGTACCATGACTCCAAGTACACCAACTAGTATGACCCCAACAACACCAAGTATCATGACCCCAACTACACCAAGTATCATGACCCCAACTGCACCAGGTATGACAATTCCTGGAGGAGCATCAGTGTATGGTTCAGGACCAACAGGAAGCCCCAATGTAGCAACATCTGCTTCTCATTCTGTGCTGCTACTATTTACCTTATGTGCCATCTGGGCTTCACTTCATGCAGAAAATTACATCTAGTGATAAACAAGGTCCAATCATTCTTTATGCTATCTGCTAGAATTCCCTCAGTCTTCCAGCAGCTTTTGCAAGACTACAAGGAGGCAGAGTCAAAATGACATATTTGTCATGTGAATTCTCGCATTAAAATTAGTACTACTGTATCTTATTCTTACATCAATGTATCCCTTTAGTAGATCATAAAGCCAGAGAAAATGATAGAGCCAAAAGAATTTATAGATTCTTGTAGCAGGTTTTTTACAGTATTAGCAGAGGTCAATAAATTATTAGATTATCTACTTCCATTTAAAATGTCTCTTGCCAGATAATACCTTAAACTAATATCAGCTGTACTTCAGAATAATCTATCATATCTCCAACAGTATGCTAATTTTTTAATAACTTTTCGTAGAATATAAAATTATAAGTAATTTATCACATTTTTTTTATTTTAACGAATAATATATTTTTGAAATATAAGTATATATCAAATTTTAAATAACATGCTTATAATTTATTAAAAGTATATGAAATTTAAATATATAATTACAAAAATAATATAAAATTATTCTATTAATTAGAATTTTTTTTTAAGAATTCACGTGTGCGGTGTGACTAATTGTTAAGTGCTGTCAACTTACATATTTTTTATGTTTTAGATAGGTATTTTTTATAAAAAAAATAATATTTTTAAATACAATGAGATACTAAATATGTCTATCTTTTCAAATAAAAGTTTAATTATAATTTTTTATTTAATAAGAGACGAAACCCTTTTGTTAAATTCAATTCTCATTAGTGGTAGTACATTTTCTTTAATAAAAAAAAAAATCGACACAGTGATATGTTAGGAATGAAGTCCCACATTGGTGGGAACTTCAAGTGGGGGCCCCTCCTTTGCTTATATAAAGGGTAAGGGTCCATCAAATTAAAATCATCCCAAAATTTCTTCTTTCCCTCTCTCGTATCACACTAATCATATATATTTAATAGTGGTGGTTCTTTATTTTGAGGGATAAATTTTAATAGAGAAGAATAGTATAATTTTTATTCTGTGATAATTTTCTGTTGCTTTTATTATCTCTCTTTTAGCTCTTATTTTTTTCTCATTTCTTATTTTATTTGTGTGTTATTATACCGTTACTCTGGTCCCAACAGTGGTATCAGAGTTTTTGGTTTAATTTATTCTGCTGCTATTGTCATTAGAGTAGTGTTGGTAAAATTCTGAGTATGCTCTGTGATTGCGGTTTAATCCGATCTTTCACATCAAAAAAGAGTTGTTACTGGAAAAGTTTGGTAGTGTGAAACTGCTATCTGAGAAAGTTCTGGCTAGGAAAGATTTGGTATTTAAGAGTGTCTATAGTGACCCACCTCTCTTTCCTGGGAATTTTTTGGTGTGTTAGTTCATGGTCTACCTGTGTTATTCCAGTAGACAATACTATTCATAGTGAGAAGTGCATAAGTCGGTATAATAAAGAGAGAAAATATGGCAGCAAAATATGAGATAGAAAAATTTAATGGGAGTAATTTCTCCCTGTGGAAATTGAAGATAAGAGCAATTTTGAGAAAAGACAATTGTCTTGATGCAATTAAAGGCAGACCTGCAGATATTTCAGAAGAAAAATGGAGAGAAATGGATAACAATGCTGTTGCCAATTTGCACTTGGCATTGGCAGATTCAGTGTTATCTAGTGTTGCAGAGAAGAAGACTGCAAAGGAGATTTGGGACACACTGATCAAATTGTACGAGATCAAGTCACTTCACACCAAAATATTGTTAAAAAGGAAACTCTACACTCTTCGAATGAGTGAGTCCACACCTGTGACGGACCACATCAACAATCTGAATACGCTGTTTGCTCAACTTACAGCTTCAGATTTCAACATTGTAGAAAATGAACGTGCAGAACTTCTACTCCAGAGCTTGCCAGATTCATATGATCAACTCATCATCAATATTACAAACAACAACATCATTGGTCATCTATCCTTTGATGATGTTGCCGGAGCAGTTCTTGAAGAAGAATCCAGGCGAAAGAATAAGGAAGACAGACTGAAAAGTTGTAAACAAGCAGAAGCTTTGACGATGATGAGAGGGAGATCAATGGAGCGTGGTTCCAGTGGGAGCCAAAATCATGGTAGATCAAAATCTCAGAGAAGGAAGAACCTCAAATTCTACAACTGTGGCAAGAGAGGGCACGTAAAGAAAGATTGTTGGAGCAGGAAGAGTGAAGGAAGGAAGAATATGGAAGCATCAACCTCACAAGATTGTGTTGCTAGTACCTCAGATGATGGTGAAATTCTATACAGTGAAGTAGTAAATTCTAGAGGCGGAAGACAACTTCATGAATGTTGGATATTGGATTCAGGTGCAACTTGGCACATGACTCCATGCTGAGATTGGTTTTCTACTTATGAACCTATCTCAGGAGGATCTGTATTCATGGGAAATGATCATGCCCTAGAAATTGCTGGAATTGGTACTGTCAAATTGAAAATGTATGATGGTACCATTCGAACAATTCAAGGGGTACGACATGTGAAGGGTTTGAAAAAGAATCTATTGTCCATTGGGCAATTGGATGACCTCAAGTGCAAGATCCACATTGAAGGTGGGATCATGAAGGTAGTTAAAGGCAATTTGGTAGTGATGAAAGCAGAAAAGATCACAACCAATTTATACATGCTTTTGGGAGATACGTTGCAAGAAGTAGATGCATCAGTTGCAACAAGTCAAGAAGATGAAACACTGATGTGGCATCGTAGACTCGGTCATATGTCAGAACGAGGTCTGAAAATCCTTGCGGAACGTAATCTCTTACCAAGGCTCAAAACGGTAACCTTACCATTTTGTGAACACTGTGTGACAAGTAAGCAGCATAGATTGAAGTTTGCCAAAGTGACTACAAGAAGCAAACACATACTGGACTTGATTCATTCTGATGTATGGGAATCACCGGAAGTATCCATTGGAGGAGCAAAATATTTTGTATCATTTATTGATGATTACTCCAGGAGATTGTGGGTGTACCCAATCAAGAAGAAGTCAGATGTGTTTCCAGTATTCAAGGAGTTCAAAGCAAAAGTAGAACTTGAAACTGGAAAAAGAATTAAGTGCTTAAGGACAGACAATGGAGGAGAATATGTAGATGGTGATTTTCTAGCATTCTGTAAGCAAAAGGGTATTTCAAGGCAATTCACAGTACCTTATACACCTCAGCAGAATGGTGTAGCAGAGCGGATGAACAGAACTCTCATAGATAGAACAACGGCTATGCTGAGAACATCAGGAGTGGCCAAATCTTTCTAGGCCGAAGCAGTTAAAACTGCCTGTTACGTGATAAATCGATCACCATCAACAACAATTGGTTTGAAAACACCAATGGAGATATGGAATGGAAAGTCATCTAATTATTCTTCATTACATGTGTTTGGATGTCCTGTGTACGTAATGTACAATTCCCAAGAAAGAACAAAACTGGATCCAAAATCCAGGAAATGTATATTCTTGGGTTATGCTGACAATGTTAAGGGGTATCACTTGTGGGATCCCACTGCCTGCAAAGTAGTTGTTAGCAGAGATGTAGTATTTGCAGAAAATGAGCTGCAAAAGGAGGAAAAAAATGACAGTACTGTTAAAGACACTACTTCAGTAGTGATAGAAAGGAAATATAATGATAATGACACCTCTGAAGCAGAACAAGAACGAAATGATGCCAATAATGGAGAATCTCAACAAATAAGACGTGAAATAAGAAGACCATCTTGGCACTCAGACTATGTTATGGCAAGTCATGATGCATATTGCCTTCTAACAGAAGAAGGAGAACCATCAACCTTTCATGAGGCTTTGAAGAGTTCAGATGCTTCTTTATGGATGACAGCAATGCAGGAAGAAATTGAGGCCTTACATAGAAACAATACATGGAAACTTGTTGAGCTTCCAAAAGGTCGAAAAGCTATTGGTTGTAAATGGGTTTACAAAATCAAACGAGATGGCAATGATCAAGTGGAGCGGTATCGTGCCAGATTGGTGGTTAAAGGATATGCTCAGAAAGAAGGCATTGATTTCAATGAGATATTCTCGCCAGTTGTCCGATTAACCACAATCAGAATTGTTCTGGCAATGTGTGCTGCACATGATTTACATCTTGAGCAACTTGATGTAAAAACTGCTTTTCTCCATGGAGAACTTGAAGAAGAAATTTATATGCTCCAACCAGAAGGCTTTAAAGAACAAGATAAAGAAAACTTGGTTTGCAGATTAACCAAATCTCTGTACGGTTTAAAACAGGCGCCGAGATGTTGGTACAAGAGATTTGATTCCTTCATTATTAGCCTTGGTTACAACAGACTAAAGTCAGACCGTTGTACGTACTACAATAAGTTTGATGAAAATGATTTTATCATTTTGTTGTTGTATGTGGATGACATGTTGGTGGTAGGTCCTAACAAAGATCGGATCCAAGAATTAAAGGCACAATTGGCTAGGGAGTTTGATATGAAGGATTTGGGATCAGTAAACAAGATTTTAGGGATGCAAATTCACCGAGATAGAAAAGACAGGAAGATTTGGCTTTCTCAGAAGAATTATTTACTGAAAGTCTTGCGACGCTTCAACATGCAAGATTGTAAGCCAATTTCTACCCCACTTCCTGTAAATTGTAAATTATCCTCAAGTATGAGTCCCAGCGATGAAGCAGAGAGGAAGGAAATGTCGCGAGTGCCGTATGCATCAGCGGTGGGAAGCCTTATGTATGCTATGATTTGTACTAGACCAGACATTGCACAAGCAGTGGGAGCAGTCAGTAGGTTTATGGCAGATCCTGGTAGAGAGCATTGGAATGTTGTAAAGAGGATCCTTAGATACATTAAAGGAACCTCTGATGTTGCATTATGTTTTGAAGGATCAGAATTTATTGTCAAAGGCTATGTTGATTCAGATTTTGCAAGAGATCTAGATAAAAGGAAATCTACTACTGGCTATGTGTTTACACTTGCTAGCGGAGCAGTAAGCTGGTTGTCTAAATTACAGACTGTTGTGGCTCTGTCTACTACAGAAGCTGAATACATGGCAGCTACCGAGGCATGTAAGGAAGCAATCTGGATTCAAAGGCTATTGGAGGAACTTGGACACAAGCAGCAGAATACTACTGTGTATTGTGACAGTCAGAGTGCTTTGCATATTGCAAAGAATCCAACTTTTCATTCTAGAACAAAGCACATATGTATAGAATACCACTTTGTCCGTGAAGTAGTAGAAGAAGGAAGAGTGGATATGCAGAAGATCCATACTAAAGAAAACATAGCAGATATAATGACAAAGCCAGTCAATAGTGACAAGTTTACATGGTGTCGGTCCTTGTATGGCCTATTAGAAATATAAGCAACATGTAATGTATTAGGAATGTGTGTGAAGATATGATTAACTTAATCATAATCATCAAGTGGGAGAATTGTAAGGAATGAAGTCCCACATCGGTGGGAACTTCAAGTGGGGCCCCTCCTTTGCTTATATAAAGGGTAAGGGTCCATCAAATTAAAATCATCCCAAAATTTCTTCTCTCCCTCTATCGTATCATACTAATCATATATATTTAGTAGTGGTGGTTCTTTATTTTGAGGGATAAATTTTAATAGAGAAGAATAGTATAATTTTTATTCTGTGATAATTTTCTGTTGCTTTTATTATCTCTCTTTTAGCTCTTATTTTTTTCTCATCTCTTATTTTAGTTGTGTGTTATTATACCGTTACTCTGGTCCCAACATGATATATACGTTTGAGTATTTTCATTAATTATCATACCTTCCTCCTCCTTTGTTTTTAGGGAAGAGTTTTCTTTTTTCCTTTTTAATTTGACGAGTAACGGGGACTGAAGATTTTGATGTCGAATCAAATAACATAAAACCATATTTATATAGAATTGATTTAGGTGCAAATCAATGATTTGGATTGAATTTACACGTACGCAAGAGTACCGAGTTGAAACGTAACTTAACTTACACCTCACAGCACAATATCAAACTGCATGTTCATATTTATGCACATGTTCATATCTATAACTTCCTTATAGATTTTATACATTATCCATAGTCACCACGACACTGTAATCTACGAACCCATTTTCAGAGTTTCACGTAATCTCGTGGTAGTGGTGGATGCCGACTGGAATATTCCTCCCTTACTTTAAAATCTTCCATACCCCACCACATTTACTACTTTTTCAATACTACTATTCACTTCTACACAATTGACTCTCTATTCATCTTAATGCAAAGTTAAGGTGAGGAGACATGAGTAAGATTCGATTTATTGATTAAGTAGCATTTAAAATTGTTTAATGTCGCTTTGGAATTGGAAGATCCCTGAGTTTCAGTCTTTCAGAGAAATATGATTTGCTATTTATAATGTATCATGGAAATTAATCAACAATGCTACTCTTTTTTATTATTATTAAGACATGATTATTAATGAGTAAGGAATTTATTTTAAGGAAAAAGCCTCTACTTGTCTTGTGCTAGACATATATACATGATTACTTTAATGTCTTTCCATTCATAACTGAATGCAGAAGAATACTAAGAAACAAGGTTTCTATGACAATGCATTGCATCATAAGTTGAAATTCTTAATCATATTCAATCACATTGAGAAGTTTCTACACACAAAAAATTCTTCACTGTTTCCACACTTTGATATGTTTTGTCCCACATACAGAAGTTATTTTTATTCTTTACTATGAACTCTTTTTGTTTTTTTAATTTATTTGTGGAAGTTAACCCACTTGGATTATTTTATGGTATGATGTGAATCCATATTTCCACGCCTTGTCCTGCTTGTGTTCAGCCATAAACCATTTCAAACAAGCTATGATGACTTAAGATACAATTGTGTGTCCTATGTGGTCTGTCTTTTTGTCACTTTCTCACCTCTTAATTACTATGATTTTGTAATATTTAGAATTATTTAAAGAAAAAAAAAAGCAAAAGTAATGAATAATATGTTGATTTCGTTTTATTTTTCATTTATTTTTTGAAAGACATTTCTCTAAAGAAATAAGAGTTCAATGCATAGAAGACAAAAACATCCTTGATTTAAATTAGAAATTCTTTACTTAGTAAAAAGAAAAGTAGTTTAAGACTCAGTTAAAAAATGGATATAGTGTAAAGTACGCGTAAAAACAATTTAAAATCTAGAACTTTACAAACAGGTTTAAACAAAACTAAATCAAAACAACAATGACTAATTACAATTTACCATAATTATGATATTATGATTGTTGTATATATGTTATAAACGCACACATCGACTAAGAAATTTTTAAAGATGAGAGGTAAGATAGGTAAATCATATGTAGCTAGTCAAGATTAACATTTCTCAATGGTCACATTTTAAAACGTGACACGATCATTATTTATTAGATAAATTCAATTTATTTGATAAAAATTAAATTTTATGTTATATAGTCATTCTTAAGAATGACATGTTTCATTTTCTTAGTAGAATAAATATGTATTATTCTGAATTTTTATTTTTTAAATTTCAATTACAGATTTTCATCTTATTTATTTCTTTATATCACTCTCTCTTTTACGCTTTTAAAATTGTAATTGAATCTTTTTGGTAAAAAAATTTGTTCAATTGAAAAATGTGTGTGCATTTTAGTATGGTATACATTAAAATAAGGATTATTTTATATTTTTCAATATTTTAAAAAGAATTAATGTTAATATTTTTATATGGTCTCACAAAAAAAGGGAGAGGGGACAACTAAGTTTATCTATTTATTATAATTTTTAATTAAAAATATTGATATAGTATAAAAATGTTTTATTAAAAATATTATAAAAATTAATTTGTAATTATTTTTAATATAATTTAATTACTTTATTATTCTATCAAATAAGTTAAGGATGCTTTTGTCATTTCGTTCTCTTTTTTAAAAAAAAATTTATCCAAACATCGATTAATAAAATTTAATACTTAACTCTGTATTTGAATTAATATTTTATGAAATTAGGATATTAACGGTACTTTAATTAATTATTAATTTTAAACGAGGATTTAGAGTAAGCAAAACGATAATCAGCTAAAGGACAAATAAAACAACTTGAGGATTCAATCATGTGATCATGCAATTTTTTATACATTGAATATGCGCAAACACCTCTATATTGAAGAGAATAAAATATATAATAACATACAAACCCACAATACAATGCTCACACACACACAAAAAATTATATTATCAATTAATAAAAATATTATATATAATTTTTAAAATAATGATTTAAAATTTAATATTTTTTAATAATGTATGATTAGATAATAATATAAAAAATTATAATATAATGTATTTTAATTAAAATTTTAATTATTATAAAAATATTTTGTACAAATTCCTGTGATAGAGATGCTTTCATAAAATGTTATTTAGTTTTTTTAATAGACAATTATAGAATTTAATATAAAAATCATTTAAAATCAGACATCACAAAAAATTCATTAAATTCAAAGAATCGGGGGCTAATTTTTACTTGCCATTCATTATTATCACACATAATAAGATTTAATACATGATGTTTTACTATTTTAGTTAATTACACATATCAATACATGGCCTTACATTAATGCCAATACAATTTAAAAAATATTAAAATAAAGATGCACGTAACATAAACTGGTTCTTATCCTTTGGGTAAGTGAAACCAGTTCTGACTGAAGCGCAGGGTTCATTTGCATCATTAATACGTTTCTTATTCTAAAAAATATTAAACAATTGTTTTAGGTGAGTTTTATTAGTTTTCCTTTTTTTTAATCTTTGGTAAGTTTTATAGTTTAATGTGCAAAGAAAACTTTGTGTTATGGACATCAAATGACCTTTAAATACAGTTGAATCCTCCACCTTCTGATCAAAGTCCCAAACCATTGTAGCCAAATTTCTCCCTCTCTCTCTCTCTCTCTCTCTCTCTCAATCATTCTCTGCTCCTTTTCACTCCTCTGGGGTCAGGGCCAATCATCGCCACGCTCTTGCTATGCTCCCTTCTCTCCCTCTAACAAAAGATTCCTCATTCCCAAACACTGCATCAACACACACACTCTCTCCCTTATTTTCTTCACTCCCTTGATTGCAACACGTTTCTCCTTAATTTGTTGCACACCCATTTCTTTTTAGGTGCCGAAGGACCAAGTTGTCGTGTCCCAGAAGCCCCTTTCTCTCTTCTCCTTCATCTCTAGGGTTTCTGACCCTATAACCCCCTATTCAGGTATTTCGTGGGTTTTCTTTGATCCACTGTTTCTGGATTTTTCAATGCCAAAATCTTAGTCTTTTTAACATTTTTTCTTTTTGGGGTTGATCGAATTGATCACGCGAGTTTTCGACTTGATTTTTGCTTTGAGTGTTGCGGTTTCGGTGATTGAGGTGTTTCAGTTATGGTTGCTCTGTAGTGTAATAATATTGCTGGAAGTGCTTTAATTTACGGTTTTGGGGTGAAGGGTGGTTATGCCAATTGGTCATGAGAAATGGGGTGGTTGGTTTTGAAGTTACGATGATAACTTGCTTTGGTCAATGGTAACTGTTTTATGTATGTTTCGTTTGGCCATGGGTTAAAAGATGTCTTTTAATTTGATATCTTCCCCCAAAGTCACTATCATTGCTTCTTCGTTGAATGGATTAAATTGAAGTTGTTGCATGTTTGGATGATGTGAAATTCTGGGAAAGGTAGTAACTTTTTTTTTCCCCTTTCTGATTTTGGAGTATCTATCTGTGACTCCTAATCTTTATCATGATGTCTTGGATGGTTGGAAATTATGAAGTCCCAGAGCATTTTGTTTTTTCTGGGCATGGTGGAAGTGGATGGTCACTAACTCTTTTGTCACTGAATTGAATCTGTTGAAGGGGAAGAGTAACCCGGGTAAAGAACTGGCTTTTGCACGTGGGGTTTACTCTATAGTCCATTTATTTAATTGGGTTTGATATTCACTTCTTTTTTCTTCACTCCTGCATCTTTGAATAACTTTTGTCCCTTTTTCAAAGTTTTGTCTTGGGTTTCAAGTTCAACCAAAACTTTGCATTTTCTTGCAGCTAAACCTAGTTGAATTGGTTGGTTTAGGACATCCAGATTGATGGGATTGGAATATTGTTGATTAGAAAAAACAAAAACATAATTATTAAGGGTTCTACCTGGAGATTGAGGGACTAAAATTAATGAAAAGGATCCCATTCACTTTCTCAAGAACATCAATAATGATTTCTCTGTGTATATATCGCTTATTCCTTTAGGGTTAGACTGTTTTCTGCCATGTTGACTAGGTGCAAACCGAAGTCAGTGATAATATTGAACCTGCATATTTGAAGTTGGGTTAATGTTAATGTCCATCTAACTTTTCATTGTAAAAGCTCAGCTGCAAACACTTTAATTCTTGCTGAATGAGCCAGGAATCAGGAATGTTGAGCCGCTGGATATAAGTTAGTTTGTAATCATATTAGTTAGTTTGTACTCTCTGATTACAGGTGGGACATTATGATTGTATTTCGTCATTTTGTTCTCATGGTATCAGTTCCTGTTTTCTGGAGTTGAAAGTCAATCCTTTTAAATTCCTAACGTGTCAAATGCTTCATTGATTGTTTTTTGCATTTTGATTTCTAAACTAGTGCCTTGGCACCCTTGTCAGGATCCTCATGGTATTTGGGGAACCTTTGGGGTCAGGGGAGGAAGTGGGGTTGTCAGGTTTAAAGCCTTACTTATATCTGCAATGGTTCTCCTTCTTTGTTCAGAGGGAAAAAATGAAAAGCAGATGAAATTATACTCCAACCTGTCTAATTGGTTATTGCATATTTAACCAAAAGCTCACTGTTCTTGTAGATGTATATATTTCATAATTATTCTTAATTCCTGTGTAAGCATTTTTCTAAGTTTTATGATGGCTGATAGCTTTTGAATGTTCTAAAATTTATGTGCCTATAGCAAAATCAAAATAACAATATCTTACTGTTTTGTGAATGAGGCAGAAGGGTGATGCAATGAAGCAGTCTTTTGATCCTTCGGCTTGGGGTAATTCTCTGAATTTTTTATTTATTTATCTGTTATTAACTTGTATAATGTGTTAGTATGTTGAATCAATTATAACCCTGTTATTACTTATAGGTCCTTCCAAGATTCCATCTATAAATATACCTGGGAAATTGGGTCATGGGGCATGGGAGGCTTTGTCTGGATCTGATTCCTACCATGCTTCATCTGATGCTAGCCTCTTTTCTAGCTCATTACCTGTTCTTCCACATGAAAAATGTATGTGCTGGTTATTTCCTAACAGCTCTGTCATTTGTGTACTCCGTTATTTATAAAATCTTTTTATCTGGTTTTGCTGACCGGCAGTGAACTTAAATGAAACTGCAAATGGCTATCAATCTGTTGATGACATCTCATCTAGCTTTAAAAAGCTCCATCAAGGTGCAGAGGGAAATGGTTCCCTTGAAGATGGTGATACTCGTGCAGTTGGACCCATGCTTCCTGATGATGAGGAGGAGCTTTTAGCTGGCATAATGGATGATTTTGACCTAAGTGGTTTGCCTGGTTCTCTTGAGGACTTGGAAGAGTATGATCTTTTTGGTAGTGGTGGAGGTATGGAACTAGAAACTGATCCACAAGAAAGTCTCACTGTGGGTATGTCTAAGTTAAGCTTCTCTGATAGTACTGTTGGAAATGGTTTGCCCCATTATACTTTTCCTAATGGTGTTGGAACTGTTGCTGGAGAACATCCATATGGAGAGCATCCTTCTCGAACATTATTCGTTCGAAATATTAACAGTAACGTGGAGGATTCAGAGCTGAGAGCTCTTTTTGAGGTAAGTTGAAGTTAGGGCGAGGCGGCGAGCTCAATCTAGAAGCTAATGCAAACTTTTGCTTTGATATTTTAGTATTCTATGTATGCTCCATGATACAATTACAACTAATGGTGCTCATAATTCTTGATTGCCTCTAGTGGATTATCTGCATATCTTTGTTTTAAATTCATTTGAAACAAGATAAATTATTGTGTTTCATATTTTTTGTTTTCAGCAATATGGTGATATTAGAACCCTATATACTGCCTGCAAGCATCGTGGATTTGTAATGATATCCTATTATGACATTCGTGCTGCTCGAACAGCCATGCGTGCATTACAAAACAAACCTCTGCGGCGCAGGAAACTAGACATTCATTTCTCAATACCAAAGGTTTTTTTCCCTACTTAAAAGTTCTTGTGATTTATTCATTCATTAATTGAATGCCCTGACATTCTTGTTCTCTTGGCTTTCCTTACTTCCACATCTTAGGATAATCCATCAGACAAGGATATCAACCAAGGAACATTGGTCGTCTTCAATTTGGATCCATCTGTTTCAAATGAGGACCTCCGTCAAATATTTGGGGCTTATGGAGAGGTCAAAGAGGTGATTATTTTATCCTTATTTACTGCTTGGTATCCCTGTTATATGTGTGTACACGTGTTCTATTTTTTAAACTTCAAATTAATTATCAAAATCTGCAGATAAGGGAAACTCCTCACAAGAGGCATCACAAGTTTATTGAGTTTTATGATGTCAGAGCTGCAGAAGCAGCGCTTAAATCATTAAATAGGAGTGACATAGCTGGTAAACGCATAAAGCTTGAACCTAGTCGGCCTGGAGGAGCTCGTCGAAAGTGCGTCCACTAATAACTTTACTGTTGCTTTTGTTTTGTTTTTCCCTCCATCTTTATAACAATCATTTGTTCTTTGGGCTGAATTTTGTGCTTTATGTTAATATAAGACAAAACTGATGAGCCATCTTTGACCTTTGAACTGTTGAACGGAGTAGCACAAATGATGTGGTTGGGCTTATCTGTCTGGTACCTCATGAGAGCTTAAACACTGTTGGAACTTTTTGAAATTTATTATTATTGGTAGGCATTCCTGTAAAATGAGTTTTACAAAATGGGCCGCCAAATTATCCACTATATATAAGAGTAGAGAAATTCATTGTTGAGAGCAGGATAATTATCATTGATAGCTGTTGCATGTATAACTTGCATATATTTGTTGCCGTTATCACAGATTGAAGCATAAACATGTAACTGACAATTCCTTGCTTTGTTTAGTTTGATGCTCCAGTTAAATCAAGAACTTGACCAAGATGAACCACGGAGTTTCCGATATCCAGGGGGTTCTCCTGTAGCCAACTCTCCTCCAGGTTGGTTCTTTGAGATGCTGCATATTCCTTGTGCCATCATCTTCAAGCTTACAACTTTTATTTACTGACTTCCATCACCTTGCATTTGTTTTCTCTCTAATGGAGTTGAGTTAATTAAATCTTCATAACAGGTAACTGGTTACAGTTCAACAGCCCTGTTGAGCAGAATTCAATGCAAACTATCAATCACTCTCCTGGTTCTAGGATCATGAGCCCAACAACCGGCAATCAGTTACCTGGATTAGCTTCAATTTTGCAACCACAAGTATCCAACAGTGTGAAGACTGCTGCTATTGGCAATGACATAGGAAGGAGCAGTCATGGAGAGCACTTATTTACCAGTATGAATTCATCCCATGGAGCTACATTTCAGTCGCATTCACTTCCAGAGCCAAAATTCAGCCAATATCGTGGAGCATTGCCCTCATTTGGTCCATCAACATCAAATGGGTCCTCAGTGGAAACCTTGTCTGGGCCACAGTTTCTATGGGGAAGTCCAACCCTATACTCAGAGCAATCCAAACCGTCAGCTTGGCCAAGATCATCTGTGGGGCATCCATTTACGTCTAATGGAAAGAGCCATGCATTCCCATACTCAAGTCAGAATAGTTCCTTTGTCGGTTCATCCCAGCACCATCACAATCAACATGTTGGTTCTGCCCCATCAGGTTTGCCTTTTGAGAGACACTTTGGCTTTCATCCCGAGTCACCTGAAACTTCATTCATGAATAATGTTGGATATGGAGGCATGAGTCTGGGGCACAATGATGGAAATTACATGGTTAATGTGGGTGGAGCTGTCAATACTAGCATCAATATCCCAAGAAATATGCCTGATAACGGTTCGTCAAACTTCAGAATGAGATCTTCTCCTAGGCTTAGCCCTGTCTTCTTGGGCAATGGTCCTTATCCAGGACTGCTACCTACCACCATGGAGGGTTTGACTGATCGCTCTCGGAATAGATGGATAGAGAACAATGGAAGCCAAGTTGATAGCAAGAAGCAATTTCAGCTTGACTTGGATAAGATTAAAAGTGGTGAAGATACAAGGACTACATTAATGATCAAGAATATCCCAAACAAGTATGATTCACTCTTCGAATTTTATTAACCTTTTTTTTTTTTTTGGATGCTAAAGATGATAATAGTTTACATTTATAACCTGCAGATACACCTCAAAAATGTTATTAGCTGCTATTGATGAAAATCACAGGGGTACTTATGATTTTCTCTATTTGCCAATTGACTTTAAGGTAAATGTTTTGTCCTTTTAGAGTTGTTTTTTCCCCCATTTGCTGTTTGGACCTTGACTTTTTATCAAAATTATTGAGCTGATTAATGTTTTCTTTTTCTAATTGCAGAATAAATGCAATGTGGGTTATGCATTTATCAACATGCTGTCACCCTCACTTATTATTCCATTCTACGAGGTTTTTACGGGAATATTTTGGGCTTTCACGTTTTTTTCCCACATTTTTATTATTTTGCTGACTTAATATTGTCTTTTTTTTTGCTTGAACCTTTTCTTTATCTTACTAAAATTAATTTAACAGTTATGAATATATTGGTATTTATTTAATAAAGTGTAATTAGAAAAGCTTAATGATATTTCCCCCTTAATTCAATGGCATATATAGTAATGTGTCTGATTTTGCAGACATTCAATGGGAAAAAGTGGGAGAAATTTAATAGTGAAAAAGTTGCCTCATTGGCATATGCTCGAATCCAAGGAAAATCTGCCCTTGTGAGTCACTTCCAAAATTCAAGTTTGATGAATGAGGATAAGCGATGCCGCCCTATTCTCTTCCACTCAGAGGGTTCAGAAGCTGGTGATCAGGTAATTGGTAAACTTTGACTGGTGCACTTGTCATGTTTTTTTCATGGAAAATGGTATTTGGAACGAGCAGCTTTTTACGTTGTCCATTTCTTTTTACCTATCACTTTTGAAAAATATTTTATTTCTATTTATCTACATTCTAAATTCCAAGATAAAATTAGCTACTATTTTCTCAATTATATCCTTATCAGAAAAGAGAGAAACGAGTGTGTATGAAACTGAGTAAGTGTTATTGTCTTTCTTTTATCTTTTGGATTTGTTGTCTCCTTCAGTGTATGATCACTGAGATTATTATTAATAAATCTTTTCATTCTTTCTTTTCAACTAAGAAAAATAGCCTAACTGATGCACGTTTGTTCATACTTTCTTGTAGATCATTCAAGAGCATCTTCCTTCCAACTCCAACAACCTAAACATTCAGGGACTTAGGCCAAGTGAATTACATTCAAGTGATTTCCCTGGTAGTCCTCCAAAGGAAGGCCCTTCTACGAGCTTGGATGCAAAATAGCAGTTATATGAGAATAGCCCAAATTGGTTGCTGTTAATGTTAGCTTTTGCATGTACATGTCTCTTTGGTGCTGCATATATTTATTAGGAAGGATGTAGATTTTGTACCATAGTTACTTTCCCAAGTATTTTGCCAGAAAGCTTCAGAAGGTTGGAGCATTTTGATTGTTTTGCTGCACAGGTAGCTTATCTGTGATAATGTACACAAGGTGGGAGCAAAGGCTGAAGAGTTGAGTGATTAGTTTCCAGGACTAAGATGTTTCTCTCCAGTTTTGCGTTTTGGTGTTTTGGCATTGAGCATTTTTTCTTTCTGAAAAATGTTAATATCGTTAGAGTTCTGTTAGGTTGGAGATTGGAAGTTGGTAAGTTTATGTGGGGGTACAAAATTGTATAGAGAGAAATAAACACTTCTTTCTATATTTTCGCTAATGTATTAGTACTCATGAAAATGAAGTGGAAAACACTTGTTTAAGTATGACGGCGTACAAGTTGTTCTCTATCTATATTCCCTGGAGACATTATTGTTTTGGTGCCTTGAAAGTGCTTCTTTGACACGCCCTAGTGGAGAAATCTACCTCATTAAAATTTATATGTATGCTTTTTTCAGATGTAAAAAGAAGTCTAGCAAAGAATTGGGATAAAAGGGGGTTTGGATAAGCAGTATTTAATATATTTTTTTTCTTAATGTAAAGACTTGTGATTTAATTTTGTTCATACAAGTTTTTGAAATAAGTTAAAATAAATTTATTTTGATAAGTTATATTAAAAATTTATTGAATAAGTTAAAAATAGTTAATAGAGTTATAAGTTTTACTGAACTTATAACTAGATTTCAGGTTCGGATTAGAAAAAAAAGAGAGTCAAGTTTGTTTGTTTTTTTTTTGGTTTATTAGTTGAGCATAAAAGAAAAAAAAATGATTTGATATAAAGGTGCTTTTGTGTCTATCTCATCTTTTCAAAATCTTTTCTCACATGGAGGATTGTTTTTTAGATGATCTGAGCATTTGCTTTCTCTCTTCTCTTCTCATATACATGGTGGTAGTCTTCCATTTTCTTCCCACTTTTTCCCTTTTACTTCTTTGTCATTTAAACGAAGAAAGGAGTAGAGCCATTTTTATTGACAATCATAAATTAAGAGCCCACTTAGGTTTTTGTACTTAACAAAATAACATTTTATTAAAATAATTACCTCGAAGTTGTTGTATGATGTTTGGTTATGCTTCTTTTCTTTTAAAAAAAATCAGATTCTTAATATAATAACTTTTCTTTTTTTTATTTTATTTTATTTCAAATAACTTTTTTCAAGAATCTATATCAAGGGACTATTTCCAGTGACTATTTCAAATAAAAATTAGTTTTTATGATTGTAACTAAACAAAAATCAATTTTTACTCAAACAAAAATCTTGAAAAATTAAATCGTTTTTTTATATAATCTTAAACTCACTTTTTTTAAAAAAAAAACTTAAGCCCTTCGTAATTTTTATCATCCTCTAAAATTTTAAAAGGGAATAATTTCATCATTATTTTATGGTAACACAATATGGACATATCATTTTGTTAATGATCAGCCCAAGGTGTTCAACTTAGCAATTTGTCCTCTTTGCCTGAACAGCATCCGTAATCAATACATATGCCATGGGTGCTTATATTTTTCTTCAACAATGATTAGATATAAAGGAGAAGGAAACAAAATAAGATTTCAGGTTAAAATCCAACTCATTAGTGATGTTTTCACAAACTTTCCCACTCATACTCGATTATAGTTAGCCAATCATTTGATTTTTACATTCTCATTGGTGAAATGACAGTCATAGCCTAGAAAAGCACGAAATATTTGTATGCCCATAGTCTTATAAAATATACACCACAAACATTCATTCCCGAAATGTTAGACTCATAAGCACCTCAAAATTAAATTTTAGTATATGTTGGCAAGGAAATTAATAAAGAACAAATGCTTTCTTCAACGAAAGGCAGGGTCGCCTGTATCTTATTATTGGATACAATATGTAATTGTGTTGGGTTTACTAGCTGAGTAGCTATTGCAAAGAAGGCCAGAAATAGGTAGAAACAAATTTCATGAATTGCATATTTCAAAAATAAAAGTGAAGGCACCAATCGCTATTGATTGATTTTTTGCGTATATGGGTAGTTAACTGTATGTATGTCTGAACAAGCATTTGTATATAAAGGTGGAAATGAAGAGCTTAGCGAATAGAGTTTCCTTTAGAGGCATTTCTCTCGAATTTTGCTCATTTTCGCATTTTGGTATTTTGACATTGAGCATTTTTTCTTTCTTTCTAAACTTGGTAATATGGTTAGAGTTCAGTTAATAGTAGGAAAAAAAATATTGAATTTAGAAAAATTAGAGACTAAAAATAAAAAAAATAAAAATTTGTAAAGATATATGGACTAAAATTATATTTCTCTTTTATTATCTAAAATTTGTAATGTTCAATAGTCGCTTTCTCTTTAATGGAACAATGACTTCTCTGAAATATCTTGTATTGAATGTCCATTATCTTTGACCATGTCTAATTCCAATCCCTTTCACCCTGTGCATCAAGTGGAATTGCCCTTTCATCTAAAAATCCTTTTATTAATAACTGTTGATAATGCAACATTGTCACACACTAAAGTTTGAGTGATTAATTATATTTTATGACCAAAGTGGTTTAAAGTTTGTATTTCTCATAATTAACTTTCTTTGCATTTTTTTCTCATATATAATATAATGAGACCAAGTTCTATTTTATTGGCAATTTTTGCATATTTGTTGTGTCATAGAAAATGGGTTGTACTAGAATAAGCTTGAAACACATCCTATATCTCGCTCGTACACTATCTTTCTTGTAGAGAAGGAAAGGAGCAGTGAAGAAATCTTTGAATATCATGTGTGCACCTTAACCTTGCTTGATTGCGTAAGATGACGGCAATGGTGGTTATGGACCAGTGACTTGACCTCAATACCCCATAGTGGTACACTCCATCATTGGAAAGTATGAGCGTTACAGGACTAAGAAACCACCTAAGACCATAGGAAGAACATGGTTGATGCTGAGATTGCAAAAGTACAGTGAGAGATTATCTATGTTGGAGGCTAAGATTGAATCTTGAATTCCGGCTTAATTTTCTTACAAATCATGGCTCAAGAGAGTACTACCTCTTTCCATCCAAGCAGACTCAATTTCATATAAAATATCTCTTAAAGACAACTCATCCTTACTCCTATGAAGCCATTAAATGATAATAATGAGATGAAGGTTGTACAAAATCAGTAAATCAAGTTGATGGAGCTTTTAATCATAGAACTGACATGTTGAAAACATCCATCAAAGTCAAGCTAGTTTCAGTTTCATGCCAAACAAGGCTAAGGAAAGTGTTGCTTCCCCACATCCAAGCTAACTCAATTTGATGCAAAACATCTCTCAAAGCCAATTTATTTTTGTAAATTTGAAGCCACTCAATGTTGATAATTGGATGATGGATTTTAATAATTCAACAAATCAAGTTGATGGAGCTAGTGATAAAAAAACTGTCAAGTTGAAAAACCGGCAACAAAGTGAAACTAGCTCGAGTTTTATTGCAAACATGGCTCAGGAGAATACTGCTTCCACACATCCAAGCCATTTCACTTTGATGCAGAAATAATGGGATGATGGGTTATACTAATTCAATCAATCAAGTTGGTGAAGCTTATGAAGAACATATCTTAAAGTAAAAAATAACTTATTCCTTCCCCTATAAAGCCACTTAATGACAAAATAAGATGGTGAATTTACTAATCAAGTAGCCTCTAGTCTAGATTCAACTAATCAACTTGGTGAGTTTGTGGACTGGGCTAATCGACTAGGTGAACTTTGAGGACTAGGTTAATGAACCTGTTAAGACTGAGAATTGGTCTAATCAACTAGGTGGTAATCTCGTGGGTTAGGCTAATCAACCTGAATAATCTCTCATGCAGAATGTTCGTTTCTAGTTTAAGAATGAGCAACAAGGAGAATCCCCGCCAGATTCCTATAATACGCTTTATTAAATAGGCAGTCTTGAGTGGACCTGAGTTTTAAAGCTATTTTTATTTAGTTTAATGAGTGGAGTTTTTTCAATTGTAAGTAAATTTTAGCCATTTTCAAGATGGGTTTACATTTATAAGATCATTAAAATTTTGATAAAAGCAACAAAAGGTGAACTTTTTAGTTCTATGCAACTTCTATTTAGAAGTTACACGGGCAAATTTATATCACAGCTCCGAAGGACTGCAAAGATCTTTGTGGCAACAACAATTACTATGTTAGGAAGAAGTATATTTTTTTTCTTTTTGTCAAGCCTAGTTTTCTTGTGCTGAGATGCTTGTTTCTTTTATCAAATTAATGTATTGACGTTTGCTTATTCAATGAAATTTTAAGCTTCAAAAATAAATAAATAAATAGAAAAAAGATGCACCGCACAAACCAGTTGTTGAGCAAATTTTACATGATCGCATCTTATTTATATATGAATTAATAATAATACAAATAATCAATGTCATGCTGGTCTTTGGAAGAAGGGGCATACAATATTCAAAACCCCTTTTAGTATTCTACTGTACTTGTTACTGTAATATATTTAAGCTGTAGTATAAAGGCATATATATTGGCTAAAATTTTGCCTACACAAGTATAAACTTCCTTTAGCCTATTATAAGATCGATCCTAGGATCAAAATGAGCATTTACTGTATCTGCCAAGCTATAAAGATAGACTACAAACTTCGCTGCTAATGACCCTCCTTACCCCTTCCGCTTATAGAAGCATTTAGAGAAGAAAGCTAATTTAACATGCTTGCCTCTGCTTGCAAATTTCTTTGCCTTTCTTTTCTTGTTCTAATTTCAAGATCAATGAGGAAATAACACTTATTTTGTTCTCTTACATAGTGGACATGACCATTCATCCTACTGAGGATTTTCCGGGACATGTATAGTCCTAGACCTTCTTGCGTAGTCCATTGATTCCCTCCTTCAAACATATCATGAAGAACATTGGAAGGGAGACCTTGACCAGAATGGGTCATTCTGCATGAAGAATACTGTAAAATAAGCCTCTAGTCCACATAATAATTTAATTGAGATGTCGTCTTCAAAGTAACCATCACAACACTTGGAAGAAAAATCTCACTATTTCTAGAATGATTATTCCATGAAATGGTTATATAATCACGAGTATAGACATACTTGCATTTGTAAAGGTAGGTGATATTAGGAATGTTGTATTTAAGGCGTTAACTTTCCAGATTAGGACTAGGCCTGAGTAATGTTTAGCATCTAAAGTGAGAGAAAGCAATGTTCATCTACCAATGATTACTATCAACTATTCAAATAGTAGAAGAAAAACATCTTCATAGGACTAGAAGCAATAGAGTAAGAATCAGTTTTGATAAACTGAAAAGAAAATAAAATCAATGCAATTGGTAAAATTAATCAAACTCTTGTATAAATTAATATTAACTTTTATACCTCAAATCTTTGAAAACCTTTCTCAAGTAACTTCTCCATAAGTACCTATGAACTCTACATAGGTCAGCAATCAGCATTCTTGCCTTAGAAAGTCTTGACAATAAGGTTTTACAATAAAAAAAGCTCCCGTAAGCTATCAAGAAATGGGCCTACGTTAGCACGCTAGTCATGACAGCCAATGGGTCTAAAAGTGAAGCATTATGATAAGAACCTTAAAAGAATCAATCACAAAAGTTATCCAGTGTAGTGGATTCCTTAAACCCCACATTGGAATCTCATACTTCTAACATGGGACTCTAGTTGAAATTGGATCCTAACATTTCACCATGCTCTGTTAACTATGCACTAGCCACTTTTGATTAGTCTGGACTGAACATTGAAATTGAAAAGTCCAAGGCCTTATAAACCTCACATTAAAATCTCATACTTCCAATGTATGATTCAAGTCACATACCTTGCAATTGGATCCTAACACATTAAAAAAAATCCCAACCACAAAAAGGAGAAAAAGGCTTAATATATTAAAGGGAAACATCTAGGTGACATTACGTAACAAGGAAGCACAGGCTTAACATAACTACAAGTGTCTGGAAACTGTCAGTACAAAGATCACCTAAAATGTGTGATAGCACATTTTACTTGGCACTCAATGGTGGGCTTCCTTTGTTGTTGAATGTGTCCTGCCTTCATTTCATGAAAAGATGGAATATACTTTTGGCTGGCAAAAATGCTTTCTTGTCTTCTATTATCTAGTGGAGTAATAGAGTAGGTTTAAATATGCCTCAATAGGTCACTTTTGTGACCCTAGATTTGCATATGGAGTTCCACAAAAGATGCTCTTCAGAACATATTATGGTGTTCTACCTACACATATGTAATCAACGTAAATTTCCATAGTCGATAAGTGCAGCCAATATAAGCAATAAGAGAGAAAAGGTGCACATGATTCTAAAATATGTGATAACTGGAAAACAAAGCAATGCAACAGGTGATGCATTTAAGTTAGACGAAGTTTGATCACCACTTGTCCCAAAGGTCTAAATGATATATAAAAATAGATTTAGACATTAATCAAACATAAATTTCAAGAGAAACAGAAATGGGAGAAATCAACTACCATTAAGTCTGAAAGTATAATATATGGTAAACACATCACGAGAAGGGAAAAGTATTAGCAACCAAAGTAATTAGCAGTGAATGATTTATGGGAAAAAATAAATTCTTGGTTTGAGTACCTGAATTTCAGATGGATAAACTCATTGCCGTCCTGTATTATCTTTAAACCAGGTGAAATCTTGATTTCTACCCAGCCCTTTGGAGATGGTGTGTGGCTGACTACATTAAGCAAAAAATCAGACAAAACCACCTGAAGCCTAATTTGGTCACCATATAGAGCAAGAGTTTTGATTTCATCAGGAATTTCATGAAACAACTGCAAATTTTTTCCTCTTATCAACATCATGACTTGACTGACAATGGCATCTAAAATATTTCCCAGAACAAATTCTTCCATGTTTAGCTGCAAAGTGCTGCTAGTAGTAGCATAAAATGTGAAAAACAAAGTCAGTATTATCATATGTTTATCTCTGTAATTTGAAGGCGTGATTTTATGTATGCATATGTATGTGTGGAATATAAATAAAAGAGCTATTTTAAATGTCAGACAAAAAAGGAAAGTACAACTCATAGAAAGAAAACTTACCCTTCATTTATACTTCCTAAATCTGTATCCTCAATAATTGCCATGATTTGCCTTTCACATGCATCACTAGTGTCAAGAAATTGTTTCTGGCTCTCTGAGATAGTTGTATTTTCCAGAAGTTTGTGTGTGAATCGTATACCATTTAGAGGATTCTTCATTTCTTGTAGTATATAAGCCAACTCCTTTGATTCGGAAATGTTTTCCCTGCCTTTAGGCCTGTGTCCTTCAGAGGGTGGCTTCAAATCTGATGATACAATCTGCAAGAAGCAGAAACAGCCAATCATATTCCCACTTGCATCGGTCCTCTTGTTTGCTGTTATATAAGCCTCTATAAATTTTCCATTTCTATCAAAAAATCCAAATGGTAACTTCTCAGAATCTTGACCGCTTATTCCTCGATAGAGTAAAATCATAAAATTAGTCAGTGTATCTTGACCTTTCAATCGACAAAAACTTCCAAAGATTTCACTGGGAAGCAATTTTCCTATGACTTCATCTCTATTCCAACCAGTTAACCTTTCCATGGCTGCATTCCACTCAGAGCAGCAAGCATTCTCATCAGAAGCAAATATGGGTGGTATCAATGGATTGAGACTTTGTATAATAGCTTTGTAATCACCTTCCAACTTAATGAATTTATCTAGAACCACTTTCTCATAAGTGATGTCTTGACCTACAAAACATACCCCAACAATAGCATTTGTGTAGTCCCTACTAGTGCAGGCATTAACCATGAGATATACAACTTCTTTTTGTTGATGAAGCCCAAAGTTTTTCAGTTTCAGCTCAACATTTTTGTCCTCCTGACCTGATAAAACAACAACAATCAATGCATATTCTATGATTACTTAACTTTTCTTCAACAATGATAAAAATATAAAAGCAAAGGATTTTGTGGGAGAAGGAAACAAAATAAGATTTCAAGACAAAATCCAACTCATCAGTGATATTTCCACAAACTTCCCCATGCATATTCATAACACAAATTTAGTTTTTTGTCCCTATTGATGAAAATAATAGCATAACCTACAGAAAATGAGATATTTTTCAGTCCAAAGCCTGATACAACTTATATTATAAAAATTCATTCTTGCGATGTTCAGAGACTCAACCACCATAAAATTAAATTTTAATATAAGAAGCTTAGGGAAGTAAAGGATAAGCAAATGTAGAATAAATGATGAAGCTTTCTTCAAAGACAGGTTCACCAATATGTTAGTATAGGCTTGGACATGAAACTAAGTAGGGCTCGGTAGTCGAACCTTTACTAGGATAAGTATGAGTTTCATGAATTAAATATTTCAGGCGGTCATGGTGGAATCAAATTCTAAAATATGCCTCATGAGCCATGACTGCTAGCAAACTATAGAACAATTTTTCAAACAATGGATCATGAATAACATTTGAGTTCATAAAGTAAACACACTGAATTTACAGTCATCTTTTGTACCAGAATCAATTTACCTTGCATGGCTCTGGTTAGAATATTTTTAAGCGCTTCACACGAGTCGGCATGTACAACTTCATTTACTAGGGATTTTCCCATAGCTTCACTGGCCTGCAGACCTGTCAATTCACCAATTTTTTCATTCCATCCATTGATTATGCCACCTGAATCAACCCCGAAAATTGGAACTGTTGCTGTCTCAATTAATCTCACCATTTCAAGTGTTACTGAACTGAGTTCATCCATCCCTCCTATTGCAGTGTCATTTTTCTGTATATAATTTAAAGTCTTTGGACCAGTGTTCTGTGTGTCTTGGAATGAATCTCTTATTATTAGCTGTAATGAGTGAATAGCATTGATTTCTGACACTTCCCAAGGCAAACTTTTGCTTTTGACTACTTCAAGAAAAGCTTTAAATGATGACCTTGGGTTCATTTTCCCGCCATCATCCTTATCCTCTGGATGGTGCTTGGCCCCTCCCCATTTCACTTCTTTAGCAGTGTGAGACCTGAACCAGAACAGGAAATGTCTTGAATTGATTCTTGCCGTGGCCATGCCACAAACCGCATCCCCAAGTGAAGCAGCACCAGGATAACCAGCATCAGCCAAACTATCTGTAGTCAAACCTGTTGAATCCCCATGATTACTAAGAAGCCATTCTGCAATGTCTTTCACCTGTGATTCTGTTGGAGTTGTGCCTAACAACCAAGAGTTTCCATCATAATACAAAGCAGCCCCGTCACACTTCACAATATCCATGATACTTGGGGATTGAGTCACAATACCAAATGGCGCATCACGCAGGAGCATGTCACACAGCAAGGTTTGTGTTTTAAGAATTCTTTTCTCTGCCATCTGTGATGCTAACTGAATCTCCATGTAAAGCTGCAATCCAAAAGCCTGCATTAGGAACTCACAAGCGTAGCGGACCGGGAAAGGCACATAGCGTGGCGAAGTGTGATGGCAAACTAGCAAACCCCAAAGCCTTGTTGTATCATTTCCATTGACTATAATTGCCATCACCAGAGAGGCAATTGAGCCCATGTTAGCCATGTACTGTGTGTGACAAACATGCGGTGACCTAAGGGTTGAGTTCACCAAGCAAAGAGGTTGCCGTAATTCTTCACTCTGAATGACTTTAACAGGCTTTGCATGGCAATCACAGATCATCCTGACCCGGTTTTGTTTGAACAAGAAGCGAGAAGCTTGAGGGACATCTGTAGCAGGATAATGCAAACCCAAGTAAGGCTCCAAATCTGACCTCCTAATCTCAGATACAACCTCACCATGATCATCCTCATGAAACTTATAAACCATAACCCTGTCATATCCTGTAAGCTTCTGCACTTCTTCAACGACCGTGTCACACAACAGACCGATATCTTCCCCAGGAAGAGATTGCAGCCTTGAAATTGCTCTAACAGCCAGCTTCTGTGACTGAACTGCCCCAGCAAGTGACAATGCAGGATCACTTGACCGTGCCGGCTCCAAATCAATCACAACTCCAACATCAATCCTATGAAGTATGGCATAAAATGGCTTCTGAGTGGTCCTTGCATATACCCAAATGGGGTTCAAAAGCGAAATTTCTCTGGAAGCCACAGCTTTTGCAAGGGAAGCCCCAGAAGGGGGAGTGAAAAGGGTTGTTGCATCAACTCCAATCAAACTCATGAACTGCTTAGAATCAAGTTGCCTCTCCAAACCCAACAATGAAGAGCAATTCTCACTATACCCAATAATTCTAAAAGTGGGTTCTTCAATTGCAAGCATACAACCAAAGGGTTGGACCAAGCCCCCCCTTTGAATTTTTGACAAATATGCAATCATTTTGTCCTCAGAAACTAACCTGGGAGGATCAAGAACCATCTTTGAGTAGTCAAATGATTTGCCAGACATACCAGATTGCTCAAACTCTGCAAGAATCTCAGCATCTGCACTGTACCGAGCAAGTATCTTGTCTCTCTTGATGACAGTGTTTGTGTTCATGTTGCTTTCAGCTGAGGTGCTGAAACTCGTGTCTTTCAGCTTCCCTCTACTTCCAAGGCTCATTTTCAAAGCTGCAAAAACACAAATATGTTATATTTGCTTACCTTAACCTTGCCCTTTGTATGAAGTTAGCTTGATTGTAAGCTTTTTTCTCTTGTGGCTGTGAACCTTGTTGTTTGCTAATGTGATATATACACACAGGTATATCAGATACCCTCTGCACGAAATTTTGAGATGAGAGATTTTATTCGAAGTGCATTGTTCTGACAAACCGACAATGAATTGCCATATGCACTTCTCTCTCCTACGTTGTATTCAATCAAATTCATGCAAATTTCCACCTTTTCTTATTACTTTTACTGCCCAAGACATAGGCATGGAAACAAATTCCTCAGTCAACCAGCTTTGTCAGTAAATCTATGAAAACGAAAGGAAGACAAATTGTAATTAATTAACTTAGTAACATCCATTTATTTTCATTTTTCAAAAAAGACACGACCCTTTGGTTTCTTTTTACATCTTTCATCTAAAAGTCTTAATTCAAACTTCACTTTTTTCTCCTCTTCCAAGAATTCAGTAAAACTACCTAGGACGTGTAGTGGCAAAATCATACCTTACTTTTCATATATTTGGAACCTAAGATCAATAGAATTGGACCCAGTAGAATTGGACCCAGGAGTTTTAGATTAGCTTCCATGGAACTTTCTGTCTAACACAACAATATGCTCTGTAAAGTTTACTTATGTTTATAGAAGTTTGAAAAGTTTAAGTTAAGATATATATGATAATTAAATTTTAATATATGCAAATAACTTCAATTGAGTCATAGTTTTTCCTTTTCTTTGAAAATCTATCTAAACTAATTTTTACTGTGTATTCTTTAATCGCAATTCATTCTTTTATAGTAGACATTGAAGCTACTTTTTAATTCGAAGATTATGAGAGTTCAAATTCTGAAAATAACTTTTTAAGTTAATTACCTCACTCATTTGACCGACATTTTCTAGTTCATGTTCTTTTTATCAATTATCACTTACTAATTGATTGGATGTGATTAGAGTTATTGACACGAGTTTGATGGGATGTAAAGTATGAAGTTCTATTTCTTTAAAGCTATTTTATAATAAGGAGTTCTTCATGCATGAATAATTTATTAAAATCATGCTCTTACATTAATCTTCTATAAATGCAACATAAATAATATTACATAGTTTATAACATGAACTATAACATTATTAACTTTGCATAAAGTATTGTACTTAATTTTAATAAAAATTGTTAATAGTGCACTTCTTTAAACAGAGATAAAAAAAAAATATTAATCACTTCACCTTATCCTTGAACAAGTTATGTAAAAATTGGTCTGTCCTTTGAAGGACAATATAATTTTGAAGTGAAAGAGTAATTGGGCATAACACGAATTGTGAACCACATAACTGAGATAAGAAATGCCAGTGCTGTCCTTGTGTTGTGTCGTGTGGCGTGGCTCACAGAATACGACGCATCGTTTTATTCTCTTCCTATTCGATGCCCAACCACCGTGAAACAACGTATATATTATTTATGGTCTCTTTTTTCCAACTGAATATTTTATTATTATTATTATTTTATTAAAAAATAATTTTTTTGTATTTTCATATAATAGATATTTTTATTAAATACTTTTAAAATTTTTTGAACTAATCACTTAAAATATTGATAATTACATTTCATTGTATAGTATTAATGGATATTGTAATTATCTTTTTACATTATTAATAGTTTTTTTTTTCATTACATGAGTATTAATAAAATTTTAAACATAATAATAATAATAATAATAATAATAATAATATATTATATAAATGTTTTATTATATCAATTTAAATCATAAAGATAATTGTTTAAAATAAAAAAATTTATAACAGATCTAAATTTTAAATTAAGATTGAATTTTTTTAAAAAATGAATGCTCAGTGTAGGAAAAGTCACATGACTAATAAGAAAAAAATAACTGAAAAAATTTTCATTTAAAATAATTTTGTTTAATAATTTATCAGTGAATTGTTTATTATTTGAAAAATATATATTAATTACTTAAGACTGTTCGCATTGATAATAAAAAATGGAATGGAAAGAAATAAAATAGAATGAATTTAAAGTTTATCATCTAGATTACAAAATAAATAACAGAGCACAAATCTGCACAATGAAAACTCATGAAATTTTCACCATTTTATTTTCCTTCAATGATGTTATTTTGTTAACAAATTACCAAAGTCAAACCAAAAGTGACACACATGCCACCTCCATGTATAGACTCTAGGATTTCCACATTTATAAAAATCAGCTCCAATATTAACTTGGTCAAATTATGAGTTGAGTCACTATTAAATAAGTGATATTAACTTGGTCAAAACATTTTCCAGCTACCCAATGAATATTTATACAATAATATACATATTGATATGAAATCCACTATTAATCACTTGATTCACTTAATTATATGAATTTTCAAGGAAATACCAAGTTATTTATTAAACTTAATTTTTATAAAATCAAATTTATCAATCAATAAATAATTCAAACAAAATATTTTAACTAGCACAAATAACACAACAAATGTACACACTAATTAGTTGTTTTAAAAAATATTAAAAATAGAATCACTGCCAATTCTGTTTAAAGTAATAAAAATGAAAAATATTTTTATTTTTAAGAAATATGTTTGTAAAAATTAGGATAAATTTGTGAGTCTAGAAAAAAGTAAAAAATAAATTTAATTGTAGAAAATATAATAACTCAAAGTATTTATTTTATCTATTTTTATTGAAAATATTTTTTTTTAATTTTAAGAAAGAAAATCAAACTTAATTCAATAAGAAAAATAATATTACAAAATTTTAATGGAAAATTTGTTGTTTTATATATATAAAAAAAAATAAACTCACATCAAGCACGGCTTAAAATATTGTAATTATAGACACTTGAAAATGAGAATTTCATACATTCAATAACAATATATTAATTTAATTTTTTGTTAATTAAATAAAATCTTGAAAAATAAGAATAATTAATTGAAGATTTCTTTTAATCAATTCATATGCACATGACTTAAGATGGTTTTCACAATAGGAATGACAAAATGGGTCTAACCTAATGAGCTAGCCCGCCTAACTCACCAAAATTGGTGGGCTGAGTTGAATGTTGTGAATCTATCAGCTCACCTATCTTAGCGAGTTAATCACAGGTTAGGGTAAGTTAACTTGTTAGGTCTAAAATTTTATTTTAAAAAAATAAAAAATAATTAAATATTAATTTTTATTAATATAAATTTTTTTATTTTTTATTATAAATTTTTTAAATTTTTATGGGTTAACCCATTAATTTAATCTTTTAGCGGGTTGACTCATTAGCCCACTATCCTATTCTTAAATGAGTCAAACTAGAAAATTTAACTCATTTTCAAAATGGGAAGAATTTGAGCTAATTTATTTTTGGCCAGGCTTTTAGTGGAGTTCGATGATCAGGACAAGCTTGCCTATTTTGACATTTCTATTTGAGGATGTAAATGGTGTATTTGGCCAAGCTACTACATAAGCTAGTGAAAAACTTAAAATATAGATAAAAGTCAATGAACAAACTATTAAATTAAAATATTTGATAAAATTAGCTATTGAACTAACAATTAATATAGAATGACAAATAAGAAAATAATTAATTTCTAACCAAAACTTAAAATTTAATAATTATATTATTTTAGATAATTATAAACTATTAAATTTAAATTGATTTAAAATCATTTTTCTTCTTATAAATTAGTATAATAAACTTTTTAATTTATTCTTATTCATAAAAAATTTTACTAAATAAAATGAGATAATATAAATAAATTTATATTTTTATGATTTTATTTTATAAAGATAAGGGATTTGCTTATTTTGTTAAAACTATCTATTAAAAAAAGTATATTTTTAATTTTTTTTATAAATAACTATGCTTTGAGCATTAAACTGTAATATAGAAAGAGATATTAGATTTCTAAAATTGAATGAGTAAAAGAGAAATTTAAAAAATAAATTGTACTTGTTACAACTTATTTTTAATTAATAGTTGTAATTTTTTTATTATCTTAAAAATTAAAAAATATTTTTTTAACTAAATAATTCACTTATTATCTATTAATATAAAATTAATGGTAATAATTATTTTATGTGTAAGAAAATGTACTAAATTTTATCAATTAGATAAAATACAATAGATTTTATCAAAATAAATTATTAGAAAATTAAAAAAAATGGTATTTTCAGTTAGTAACTGAATTCTATAAATACTAGTTGAAATAACATTTTAAAAAAGTAGTAAGCATGGCTAAACTTTTTGACTAATAAAATAAATTTTCAACAATTAAATAACATTTCAGCAATTATTTACAAACTAATTAAATGAAAATAAAGGAATAAATCAAAATTTGCACAAAATTATCATAGTCTTGTTACTTTTTTTTTTTTAAAGAGATTCAATACTTAATTTCTATATATAAAAAAAATAAAGTGTAAAGGCTTACGGCCTATTTGAAAGAGAGTCTAATTTGGAGTTAGAAGAGAGCAAAATGGTCAATTACATATATTTAGAGAACTTGTACTTTAATGTGCTCCATTAAGATTTAGCTACTATGTTTAATTTATTTATTTTAATATTAGTCATTACTTATTTTAAATTTTTATTTAGAATAAAATCTTGTTATTTTATTTAGTTTATTTTGATTTGGGCTTGTTACCACAAGAAGTCTACTACGGTTGTGTTTGTGTTGGTTTATGAGCATTAGACATATATAAGCTCTTGTAAACACACTTTTAATTAGTTTTGAATACAATTTGAGATTGAACACTCTTGTAAAAGCGTATGACTCTAAGTTCTTGAGTGGGCCAATTTTTCTTTTATCTTATCAAGAGGCCAAGACTCATGTGACAATCTTTTCTTGACTTATTAATCTTGTGATTGTGGCGCTATTTTTCATCTTCATTTTATTTTAATTTTTTTATTAATTACTCTTTGTTCCTATTTGTGCCCTAATATTTTGTTTTTGTCGTGTGCAATCCAATTCAAGATCGTTTAATTTGACAACATGGATTGTGATAGTCATCAATTGGTATCAAGAGCTTTGATTAGAATTAGATTAAAAAGTATTATTAATTGTACACTGTTCATGTAGTGCTTATTGACAAAAAAAAAAACACTACAAAAAAAAAAGAAAAAATTTGTCACATACAAAAGTGAGTTTTTGATATATTTCTTCAAATCTTTAATTTGTTTTTGCCTGGTTCCATACCCAAAAAAAATGGTTATTATTTGACATTATATAATCTTCTTTAAACTCTCCATTTTTATCTTATTTGCATTCTATTTTTTAGTGTGCTTATTTCTTGTTTAGTTCTTTTTTTTATTGTCTTATTGGCTTCCTTAATTTTATCTTAAAGTTTTCTTTTATTGACTTTACTTGTTTCTTGTTGATTGATTGTCTCTAGGTTTTGGTTAATTGTGTGGATTGGAAGTTGACTTTCTTAAAAACTTGTGACATCACTTTAGGGGAAAAAAAGTAAGAGAGAAATCCTTACACAAGAGTCAATTTAAACCGAAACACGAGCGAACATTTACAGAGTAAAAACACTTAGCGAGTAGAGAGAATCTTTTTTTTTTTTTTTTGGCATTAACTTATATTATTTTGTAGAATGTCTCAAGAAGGAAGATCAAGTAAGGAGAGCAAAAATTGAAAGACTTGCACAAAGATCTGAAAGAATGTTTGAGAGACAAAATAAAACAATAAGGAATATTCAAGAAGTGTTGGCAAATAATGCAAGAAGACGGTAATGTGATCGTTTTTCATATGCTCATAAAGATTCTAGTAATTTTTCACGAGAAAGAAGAAGAAATATAAGAGATAATGAAGAGAAAATGTATGATAAAAGGAGAGATAATAGAGAGAGGAGGAATAAAAGGAGGAGAAAAGAAGAAGATGGAAGAGTAAGAGAAAATGAAAGAATTTGTAGAGTTAAAATAATGATTCCTAATTTTCATGGGAGGAATGATGTTGAAGCATATTTAGAATATGAATTGAATATAGAGTAAGAATTCTCATGCTATGATTATAGTTAAGAAAAGAAAGTAAATGTGACTTCCCTAGAATTTCATGACTACGCCTTGGTGTGGTAGGATCAAATTCAAAGGGAGTGAAGAAGATATAATGAGAAGCCTATAGATACATGGATTGAAATGAAGAATCTCTTATGTGCAGGAGATTTGTTCCTACATACTATAATAGAGAGTTTCATACAAAACTTCAAGATTTAAAACAAGGTGAAAAAAATGTCAATGATTATTACAAAAAAATGAAAGTGGCCATAATAAGAGCTAATGTAGTCGAAAAAAGAAAAGCAACAATGGCTCGTTTCTTGAATGGGTTGAATCATGATATCCGTGATATAGTGAAACTTTATCCTTAAGTAGAACTTGAAAATTTGGTTCACCAAGCTATTAAAGTAAAAGTACAACTGAAGAAAAAAAGGACTTTGAGGAAGAGTGTTTTTTCCTATAACTCAAAAAGATGGAAGGAAGAAGTAAACAAGGAGTAAAAATCAATTAAAGACACCATTGTCCAAAGTGGTAAACATTAATTTTGAAGGAAAATAGTGAAATCTCAAGTGCAAGTTCATCTCAGTCAAAATATGCGTTAAGTGAAGAAGATAATGAGTTTGAAGCTTTATGCCACAAAGAATATTCTTATAGTAAAACATTTCTTAGGTAGTATAGCTAAAAAGGATAACACTACGTAAAGAGAAAATATTTTCTATTCAAGATATTTCGTACGTGGAAAGATTTGTTTTTTTATTGTTGATGGTGGTAGTTGTACCAATGTGACTAATGTGAGACTTGTTAAAAAATTGAATCTTATTACTACTCCTCACCCTAAGCCCTATAAGCTACAGTGGTTGAGTGATGAAAGAGAGCTGGTTGTTCATAGACAGGTTTTGATTATTTTTTCTATTGACAAGTATGAGAATAAAGTCTTATGTGATGTAGTGCCTATGGAAGCAAGTAATATCCTCTTAGAAAGACCCTGACAATCTGACAAGAAAGCTATTCATAATGGTCATTCCAACAAATTTACATTTGTACATAAAGGATGCATAATTACTTTAGTATCCATAACTCATAGTCAAGTACATGAAGATCAAATAGTCATTAAATTAAGAAGAGAGCAAAAAAAAAAAGATGAGAGAAGAAAAGAAAAGAAAAAGAGTGAGTTTGAGAGCAAACTTAAAAAGAGAGGAAAAAAAGTGAAGAGAAAAATCAATGTGAAATGAGAGAAAATTTGTTTGTGAGAGAAAAAAAAATGAGAAATGTTTTGTTGGCCACTCAGCCTATGTAACTACTATTGTGTAAAGAAAGTTCTCATAATGAATTTAGTGATTCCTTTGCTAATAATATTTTTGCCTATATGTGTTTCCTCTCTTTTACAAGATTTTGAAGATGTCTTCCTAAAGAAGTGTCTCATGGTCTACCTCTAATTAAAAGGATAAAACACCAAATTGAAAAGAAAGTGGAGCAACAAGCAAAGTATGTCAATAAGAGAAGGAAGAAAGTAATATTTGAACCTAGAGATTGGGTTTTGATACATATATGTAAAAAAAAGGTTTTTTGTGCAAAGGAAGTTAAAGCTTCAAACAAGAGGGAATGAATTATTCTAAGTCTTAGAGAGAATTGGAAATAATGCATACAAAGTGGACTTACTAAATGAGTATGATGTTAATGTTACTTTTAATGTATTTGATTTTTCTCTCTTTGATGTAGGTAATAAAGAGTCAAATTTGAAAACAAATTCTCTTGAAGAATGAGAGATTAAAAAGAATCAAAGAAGACTCATTGAAGATAAAAGTTTAAAGGTGTTGGAAGGGTTTTAAGAACCAATGACAAGGATAAAGACAAAAAGGATAAAGAGAGACTTAGAGAAAATACTTGTTGTCCTATTTGAAAGAGAGCCCAATTTGAAATTAGAAGAGCTCAAAATGGTCAATTACATATGTTTAGAGAACTTGTATTCTAATGTGCTTTATTAAAATTTAGTTTATTTATTTTAATATTAGTCATTATTTATTTTATTTTATTTAGGATAAAAGCTTGCTATTTTATTTAGTTTATTTCGATTTGGGCAAGAAGCCCGTTAGGGTTGTGTTTGTATTAGTTTTTAAGCGTTAGACATATATAAGTTCTTGTAAACACACTTTTAATTAATTTTGAATACAATTTGAGATTTAATACTCTTGTGAGAGTGTGTGACTTTATATTTTTGAGTGAGCCAATTTTCTTTGATCTTATAAAGAGGTCAAGACTCTTGTAACGATATTTTCTTGACTTATTAATCTTGCAATTGTGACGTTATTTTTCATTTTTATTCTATTTCTATGTTTTATTAATTTTCTCCTTGTTCTTATTTGTGCCCTAATCATTTTATTTTTGTAATGTGCAATTTAATTCAATATCATTTAATTCGGCTACATGGATTATGATTGTCATCAAGTTAGTAGCTAAATTAATTAATTAAGTATGTTAATGATAGTCATCTTTTTAGTTGCATCTTGTAGAGTTCATTGCAACCATGAGGATAATTTAAAATGCTTGTAAGGTAAATATTGACATTTATTCAGTAATGCATACAACACTTTAGAAGTGTAATTTATTGATTAAGATTAAAGTTTTTTTAAATTTATTTATAAGGTAAATAATTAGATTAATATAATTTTATTTATAGTAAATTAACACATTTCTTAATGTAATATCTTAATTTATCATTTTACTTCAAATTTAGTTATTTAGCGTAAGAAGGAACTTAAAAAAAATCTTAAAATTAGCCTAAAATATAGTTTTATAAAATCTACCTAGAGTTAAATTCTAAATGCATCACACATGTCTAAAATTATAATTATCATAAATCTCATAACGTTTAACTTAGACACTTAAAGAGTATTAAAGAAAGAAAAATTTTGTATTTTAGATAAATGTATATAAAAAATTATAAATTGATATATTAACTTAATATATTAATCATATAAAAAAAATTTAATTAAAAATTAAAAAATGTCTTTCTTTTTTTTTTTCAAAAATAAATTTAAAATATAAATAAAGCCTCTAATAAAATATTGTTTTTGCAAAGCTACAGTGTGCCTTTAGAGTAAATGAAGTCATTGAGATTTCCTCCAATGTTATGTTAGCTGTTTTAATTGCCTCTAGCAATACTTTTTGTAAGTGATTGTTTGATCTTAGAATTTTACATCTTTTATAAAAAAATAAATTAAACTCAACTACATCAAACTTTTTCTTACCATTTTTATAATTTACAATAAAAGATAATTTTCTTTACAATTAAAATAAAATAAAATAATTTAAAATATTTAATATATCTAAATAAATTTTATTTTATATGCTTAATAATAAAAAAATCAAGTATTTAAATAATTTATTTTTGACAACTAATAAATAAAAAATATTTTTTTTTTCCTACATGCAAAGTCCACTTGGATGAAGTTGACCACAAACTTCAATAACGTCCACAAGCAGCGAAAAAATAAGCGTTGGACTTGTAATGGAGAGTGTGAGGGACACGCACATGATAAGGCGCGTGGGGAAGCACCGGCCTTCCAAAAGGCCCTCTCTTTCCGCGAAACAGCACGTGTCAACGCGTCACGCTGAGCTGGTTCCACGCGCCACGTGGCACTCTCCTAACGGTCGAAGGCACAGATCCCATCCCAGCCGTCAGAAGCGTCACCCAACAACACATATACTACTCACAGGTTCCCACTCACCATTCTCTCTCTCTCTCTCTGTCCGAAATGGAACTCTAGAGAGAGAAACCAAGGGTTGGTTCAGTTGCTACCACACAGGTAATCAAATATGCCCTTTCCAATTTTACTCTCAATTACGCTCTCATCACTCTGTAACACTTTTTCAGCTAAATTACTGTTTTTTTAATATATATATATATATATATATATTTATTTATTTATAATTTTCGGGAACTGTTTGTTAGTTATGCTGGTGCGTAACTAAAACTTGCACTTCTTATTTATTTATTTTAATTTGTGATTTTGAGAACATTTTGTGGTTCGTTTTTTCATTTTTATTTTTATTTTTTGTTTTCGTGTTTGCCAATTGCGATTTGCTTAATTTTTGTTGGGATGGTTTTTGGGGTTGACTTCCGATTTGGCTATTCAATTCATGAATGGTGTGTGTGTGTGTGTGTATGTTGGAACTGGGGTTTTGGGTTTTGACTTTTCAGTGTTTTTGCGTGTTTGAGGACATGGATTGTGTTGAACGTCTAATTCTGGCTCTGTTGTGACTTGTGTTTGTTGATGATTATTATACTTGGAAATTCATTAGAAATGTCGAATATTCGAAAATGGTAAAAAATGTTTTGTTTTTAGTATGTAAATGTGATTTTCAATCTGGTTTCGGAAAACAGCGAGGGATTTTTTTAATTTGGTGTTTGTGGTTTGAGTAATTTTGTTAGGACCTAGAAAGATGATGGGAGAAAAATTTGGACTTGGTCTAGATGACCGACTCAAGGTGCAGACTTGGAAATTCTGTATATAGATGAGAGACCAATCAATTCTAATTTGAATGTAATTTGCCAAAGAAGTACTTTTGTTGTTGCTTAGTTAATAATGTTACGGTTCTGAGTTCTGACTGGGCATCCTTTTAACCAAATTGTGTTTGAAGAGGGATTTTACTTTTATAGGCGCTCTTTGATTTAGAAGTCTTAAAGTGTTCGAGTAATTTGATGTAATTATTGGGCACGGAATGCTAATAGTTTTTTAAATTTTCAGTTTTCTTGCTTTGGTTTTATGATAGTATCTTCTAAGCGTCATTGTTCAACTTGTAATTTTACAAAGCTGTTATAATAATTATCTATTACTTTTTAATTGCTCTTTTTTCATGATATCTTCTTTTACAGTTACAAAAAATGAAGACTTGGACTTTTTTTAATTTCCAATTCTCAAATGCACATTTCTTAATACTGATTTTAAAATATTGCTTGGTACTTGTGTAATAGTTTTTTTTTTCATTTATTGAAAAAATGCCTAGCGTATATTTTACCCGTGTACTATATAATTGATAATTTGGTATTTCTGTGCTCTTTGTCCAACAGCCTCTGCTGCTTTGACTGTCTAGAGGGACCTTGGTTCCCCACAGATGTGCCCAGAGCAAGATTGTTATATCTATTGTAAGCACAAATCAAATGCCATCCTTAAAAATGAAGAGCAAAGTAAGCGTGAGCTGTTTAACAGAAAGAAAGGATCTTCATGTGTGTCCGAAATCAAAAATAATTTCTAAAAACCTATGTTCTAAAATCATGATTTCTACTCAAAAGGCTGAAATAGACACTACTATTCAAAACTGTCTAGATGGTAAGTAGCATTTTTCAATCTTTCTCTCAGATTTCTGTCTAAGTATCCATGTAAAATCTTTTTTATTTTTCTAAACAGTGTTTTTATCAATGATTTGTGCTTTTGCTTCTCTTCATGCCTTTTTTCAGTTTACTTTTGCTATTCTTTTACATTTTGTATAACATGCTACTGATTTTAACGTTTCATGTGTGTACAACATGCAAAATCACATCAGCTTATGACATTGAGATTTTCATTATTATGGACAATTCCTGACTATGTGTTCATAATTTATGAAAGTCCTATAATGAACTCCAACTGTTAGCTAGTTATAGAACTATTATTGCCAATATACCTGGCTAATAGTTATCTTAATTTGTTTCTTAATTAAGAAAAGCAGTTATCTGTGATATATGTGACTTTTGGCATTCTACTAGGAAAGATAAATTTAAGAGCATCTCAGCATGTGTTTCATAGGATGTGAATCCTCCCATGTTAGTTTTTCAAATGACTATGTCCTGTGAAAAATATGAAAGACATAAAGGCCCTCCTCCACTGGGTGCCACACCCCTATGGAGGGTCTCAGAAATTGTGCTAGGGAAGGTCTTTATGTCATTCTCTCACCACATGTCAGGGTAACATGGAAAAATCACGTGAGAATATTTAAGTCCTTTCTGTAAATGACAGAGATAAAAGACAAGGAAAACATGCTATTATCAAACAGGCCAAAAAATGTAGTTAGTTTATTACCATAAGGGTCGTCCTTTCTTAGACAAATTGGCTGACCAGTCTTTGCCTTGGTCATGTGATTTGAGGCTTCTGTGCCACATAGACGAGGAGGGAAGGAAAATCTGTTCTATTTGATATGGCTATGGATTTATGAAGTGAGATGAAAACTTTAAAATTGGTTTCTGATAAGCACTTTAAGTAGTTCTGAGCATGTAGTCTTTAGGTTTCGTTGTGATCATAATTTTGTTTTTTGTCACAACCAAAAGTACGGGAGAATAGGCTAGCTGTAAGGAATTGGAAATCTTTGGGTCAGAGTTATCCAAAGCTGCAGTTCTGCTGGCATCATTAATATTACTGCTATTAAATCATTATCAGAGGTTCGTCTGAAAGATTTTTTAATGTTGGATTATGGAATGGAGAAAATTGTTTTAATGAATTTCATTTGGTATAAAAGACTAATTTTCAATCTTTTGACTGAGTAGAGTTGGTCAGCTATAGAATTGGGAATCTATTTCTGGCAGTTTATTTCCTTTCTTGACATAATTTATTTCTGTGCTATAATAGTAGGTATTACTTTCTGTATAATTACAAACTCCCTTATTTTGTGGGGTTATGTTAAAGTTGATGCTGAAATTATTTTAATTCCTCGCATTTGATAGTTCTTACAATTTCTCTATAGTTTCCTCAAGGACGATGCCCAAAGATGTAGCATGCGATCAATCTATTGACAACAAAGAATTTCTGGATAAAGAAAACTCTGAATCAGAGCACCAATTTTCTGTGTGTTCCTCTGTCCTGGATAAAATGGTAGAGTTTGATTGTATTGGCTTTAGACAATCTTTATTTATTGGAAATTTACTTTGTTTGATTTACTAATAACATGGCGTTAGTCACTGGGCAGGGTGGGGGGGATTTTTGTTAGATATAACCCTTCACAGATATTGCCCTAAAATTAATGTGTCCACACTTTGCTAGGCCATGTCCTTCTAAAAGTGTCACAGGACTTTCTCTTGCTAAATTATCAGTTATGTATTTTTTTGTCATTAAGGAAATTGTTTATGAACACATTGTCTTTTAAAATTTACAAATTTGAATTGAGAAATCAACAATTGAAACTGAACATTTTTATTAGCCCTATGAGTTTTCTGGGATAATTTAAAACTCCCAAGTTTCCCAATATCAATTCTGGATACCCCTCAGCCCCTATCATCCTCTATTTATTTTACTAACTGACTGCTGCAGGGATTACCTACCAGGGCATGTACTGAACTACTGATAACTATACTCATACATCTGCTCTATGTATTATTCTCTCCTAGATAAAAGAAAACTTGCCATTTCTAGGAGCTTTGTTTTTTTGTTGTAGTGACAGCATGGAGAATTTGCTTCAAGAAGCTTTGAGTGTAACTTTAGCTTTGTGGTTGAAAAGTCGTAACATATTAGAACACATTTAGTGGAGAATAAAGGGTCACTGGTAGGGGATTTTTTGCTTCGATTCAATTTATGGAAGCTAACTATTTTCCTGAGCATTTTAAAAATAACTATAAAATTTTATGCTAACATCGATGACTTATCAACCATTACTCTTCATGTATCCATGGATTTTAAACTTTTCTATAATGCACAACTGACAGTTCTTTTCTTTTTCTAGGAACTAACCAACCCCTTTACAGCAAACTTAGAGACAATTTTTTCGCCTGCTTTTGAGCCCATTGAAGTCCATTCACAACATTATACTGAAAAAGATTCAGGTATGACTATTCTGTTCTGTGAATATATGTAGATATTTTTTTTCCCTTTATGTATTTATAGGGAGCATATCTAGTGGGAATTATTGTGAGAATGAGATGAACAAATTATGACTGTTGGATCATGCATGTGTGACCAAGATTAAAATTTTAAAAAGTCTAGTTGTTTTTGTAGGTCTTGGGCATTCCATGGAAATAGTTTGCTTCAAAAAATTTGGTAAAAGTACATGATTGTTGCTGGGAGAAGTTTAAACAAAGAGGCTAAAAATTTTGTGATTTCACTCACACCCATACATATTTATATACACACATATATGCATGTATGTATGTATTTTTTAATGTATGTGTTTTTGTGTGTGTACGAAAGTGTGTATATATATATATATATTTGCAAGCCATTTCCCCCCACATCCCTTCTTCTTATTTATAGGTAGCATACCTAATTGACTAATTTAGGCTATAAGATATTGTAAGCGCTAATGGTTGACTAACTATTAATTACCTAACAGTACTCCCCCTCTAAACATTCATCTTGTCCTCAAGGTGAATAGCTATGACAGTTGGAAAACAAAGTTCTATCAGGGTTCCATTTGTTTGAAGCCTTTTATGATTAAGCCAACCCAACTAATGCAGCTACGAAATAACCTCAAACCCTCTTAGGTTAAACACAAACAAGTGATTGCAATCAATCTCTTCCAAAGCTTTTCTATACTGTAAATTAATGAGATTTACAGTCCAGCTCAATTTCCCAGGTGGACCAAATGAATGAAATGTTTGGTTCTTAAGCTTATGTCTTCTAGATTGGACTGCCTAAATCACAATATTTGGCTACTTACTTCATGAATAGTTGATTGTTATTACTTATATATGCCAACTACTCTGTGATTCTTTTGTAGGGAGCATTAGTGATACAGACATGGCAGGAGTGGGAGCTGATGAGGGAAGAACCATATGTGGTTATGAAACATGTGACGTATCGGACTTCTACATTTCTGACATGATCATCACGAGCTTACCTTTTGGTGGAAATTCCTTTGATGATGATATCAGTGAATCCAACTGCCTACCTGATTATGGATCTGCCGAGCCATCCATCTTTACTGCATCTGAACAGTACATGATCCTGCCTGCCCTTGAGGATGATGTTAAAGTTGGAAATACTTCTGATATCATATCTTATGAAGAAGCTGTGATGGTTCGAGAAAGTGCTAGCTTGTATTCAGCAATGGGTCAGATAAGGTCCTGCAACCAGGAGTCTGATGTTAAAAGTGACTCAGATAAGTCAGAGTGCTTTGATCCACAGTCATTCATCAAGAATTTACCAGAACTATCAGAAGTTGAAGTAAATGGCCAGCCAGCTCTAATTCCTAATCAATCTCCAAGAAGAAAGTCGATAACACTAGTGCTTGATTTAGATGGTAAGAAACTACGTTAGTATGTTTTCCAATAAATATTAATAGTCAATACTTATTTAATATAGCATTGTATGATGGACACCATTAACTTGAGTGCTGTTTAGGTCAAACTCACCATTTCTTATTATGTTATGAATTATAAATTGCTTTAGATTCATAATACCCATTTTATATATATTTTTAATTATTACTTCTTCTTATTGAGAGATTAGCCTTCATCATGAAAATTTGTCACACTTTACATTTGATTTAAGAATAAATTTTGGATGATTTGTCTGTGTTTTTAATACTTTGTCTATAAAAAGGATATCTATATTACTTTTTTCTATTTATGGCAGTGTAAAGCTAAATTTATTGCCACTTAAATTTTGTCGATAATAAAGTTAAGAGCCCATTTGTAGACAAGATATGATAGGGAATGATAGGATATGAGAGTTAGATAAGGACAATAGATGATAAAAATATGATAATCTCTTATCCTATGATACCTTAAGATGTGCACTAGAATAGCAATTAGATAGCATTATGTCATGCTATCTTGTCTATTTCTAATCCTAACCTTCCTATATGATAAAATTTATGCTAGAGTGATAGATAAGATAAATTTATACGATAAACTTATTGTTGAGAATCTTTTTATTTTCATTATTATTGTAGTTACCATTCTTTCCTTGTATATATAAATCTGTTTGATTTGATATGTAATTAAGTTAATTAGGAACGATTGTAATTACTCATTCAATTCCTATATTAGGGGGGTTCAATTTTTAGAGCATTATATTATAAATACTATGGCTACTGAATGTAATTAATCATTCAGTTTTTATCCTAATCAATTCGTGTTTTTGTCTCGAGTCTTATCATATCTCATTGATTCAACAAATACAAAAAATATTATCCTATCCAGTAAATGAGTGCTAATAAGAATTGTGCCTAGTAAAAAAATTCGTAAGTCTCAAACGTCTACATGTTATTCTTATTAGCACCCATTTAAAAAAATAATAACTCATAATCACATTTACTTACAAAAAAATAATAAAACAATGCAGACTGTGAGCAGTCCTCGGACTAGCCCTTCCTGAGCTTGCATGGGTTTAGGCCTAAATGAGGAGCAGGTTAAAAAGGCCTATATTTATTTAGGCTTCAATTTTATTGCCCAAGCCTTCATTTTTTTGGGTATTTTTGGACTAGCCCATTGGATAGACCAGTTTTGTCAACTCTAACTAAAAGAGACAAAATACTTAGTAATACTAGATTACTTGTGACAATATGATACAAAACATAAATGCTCTAATTGTTATTTATAGTAATACTAGATTAAAGTCCTAACTAAATTAGGAAACAACTACAAGTCAAGAGATAATTGGGAATTGTGAAAATTAATCCTAATAAATTTTTCTAAGATATAATTGAGATACTATTGGATATCTTTCAATAATTCTAAATATTTTCTAAAATATTATGAAATCAAAGATACACTAACTTTAGCCATCTATCATGTTTTCTTATATGCAGAGACACTTGTTCATTCTACTTTGGAGCATTGTGATGATGCGGATTTCACTTTTACTGTTTTCTTCAATATGAAAGAGTACACAGTATATGTAAAACAGAGGCCTTATCTCCACACATTCTTGGAGCGAGTATCAGAGATGTTCGAAGTAGTTATTTTTACAGCCAGCCAAAGCATATATGCAAAGCAACTACTTGATATATTGGATCCTGATGGAAGATTTATTTCTCGCCGTATGTACCGAGAATCATGCCTTTTTTCAGATGGAAATTACACAAAAGATCTTACTATATTAGGTGTTGATCTTGCAAAAGTTGCCATAATTGATAATTCACCTCAGGTATAGAATATATCCCTCTCTGTTGTTGGTTCCAACTCAATGTCTTTCTTTTAGTTCCCTGTGTTGAAGTGCTTTTCAATTTCTGTTAAGTATTGAATTCTCACCACAATGTTATTATGAATCTTTGGGTAATTAGAAGTATTGTGCTTCCCCAATTGCTTTATATGAGGAGATTATCCAAAAGGCATGTATACAACTAGGTATATTAAAAGTTTAATAGCAGTTATCTTATGGAATCCTATAGCAAGCAATAGCTGAGCACTAGGCATTAACTTACCACGACGTGAAATGGAATAAACTTGCGATTCCTGACATTAAATCAATGATAGCCTTGTGTGTTTGGATCACAGGTAAAGAGAGGGAAAGGAAGGGAAATCAACTCAGACCTTGTTTAGAAGCTTTTAAAAGTTAGGGGAAGGGAGGGGGGAAGTGTTCCCTTTCTTTCCCCCTCAAAGCTTCAAAATTCTTCCCCTTCAAAATTGGGCTCCCTTCAAAATTGTGCTGGGGTTAAGGCTTTATTTTAAAGAGGAAAATAGCCCTCATTCTCTCCTTCACTTGCTTAAACATCCAAACAAGAGGAAATCACTCTCTTCAGTTCCCTTCCCTCTTCTTTCCATCTCTTTTCCTAGTTAAAAACATCCAAAAGCAACTGTCTGGCTTTGGATGGGGGAGGGAGATAAATTATTTTCTTCATTGAATATTTTTTGATGTTTAATCCTTTCACTTTTATAATACATTTCAGGTTTTCCGGTTGCAAGTGAATAATGGTATTCCTATAAAGAGTTGGTTTGATGATCCATTAGATTGTGCACTGATGTCATTACTTCCCTTTCTAGAGACCTTGGCTGATGCTGATGATGTCCGTCCTATCATTGCAAAGAGATATGGTAACAAAGAATAAGGTTTCTCATTAGACCAAATTTAGCAGATCTCCTTTCTTCTAGGTTTAAGAAAAATTTGCCCTCTAATTAGATGCTAAAGTCCCTTTTCTATTTGAGTTTGAGTTGAATTAACCTATACAATAAACTATTGGTTATCTTATTGTTGAGTCCAGAATTGGTTCCCTTTTCTTCTCTCAGTTGACAAATGTGGAGTTCTCTGTTTCTCTTGAAAGGTAGCTGTAGCAACCATCTCTTTTTCTTCTCTTCATCCTGTTAGTCCTTGTACAGTTGAAGTTCGAATATTCTGTGGGGGTGTACATGAAATTTATCATATTAAGGAATATAGTTCTGAAAGTTACATATTTCATGGCCGATCAATTGTTGTGTGCTTCTAGAAATGGAACCTGTTATCTAGTTAAGTTTTAGTTGGTCTTTGCTATTATTTATTAATTGTTTTCTTGTCATTTACTCCTCTAAGATTATGATTCAAGTATTAATTATTTTATGGAGCATCAATGCAATGTGTTGTCAAATGAGACAAAAAATAGTTTGATATCCTAAGAAATACTGAACAAATTATTCAAAGATAATAAATATGCTAGGAAAAAATTTAATAGGGATTGAGAAGTTTTAAATTATAACAATCAAGCTAACAATTATATGGATAAGATTGAATAGTATTTGTATATTAGTCTTTCAAGCGATAAATTATCACCTGGAGCCAACTAATTGAAACATATACCTAAACAATGCAACGAAATATATGATCATAGATATGAAACATCAACAAGTTTATGAGAATAATTGAATAATATAGTATTGAGGATAATCATAATCAGTAATTAAAATTTTATTTCATTTATTGTTTCTGTTGCATTTTAATTAAATGAAGATGAATGTCAATTAGTCACATTGATTATCTAAACATATCAACCAAAATATATCCTGATAAATAAGTGTTTTAGTTCATTGTCCTACTGTTTATGGTTCAACGAAATATTATTACCTTAATTTACACATCTATTCCAATTTTTCTTTATGAATGCCTTTTAGGTTGTCAGAACATTCATATGATCCTAGTTACTGTACAGAATGTATTCATACCAGGGCCTGTGTCTTTGGATTTTTTTAAGTCCTGTCCTGTATTATCTTTGTTTCCTTTATTTTGATATGCATAGACATGCATTTGATAAATGTTGTGGGCCTATTCTACAGACATGTCTTTCTTCAAATTTATTATGCCACCTGGCAGGGATGTGAAAATAATCAAAAGATAGATACAATAAGGATGAGAAATTAGGAAAACGAGCATCTGGGCTTTCGCATGTGGGGAAAAGTTAGAATAATAAAATATGTTCTTTAAACTATTAGATTTGACAAAAGCCAGGGCTCAACACCCAATTCATTCTAAATAAATAATTTAACTGTAAAACAAAATGTTAAATATACTTTCTTTAGGAGGTTTTATGCTTAAAACATTTTGGTAATCATATGGAAGAAAGCTGGAGACTATGCTCTCATAACCTGATAATCTTCTTGCTCAAATCAAAATTTATTCATATGGTTTCTGAAAGTTGTGGAAAAAATAATTGTGAAGAATGATTTATTAATATTTTGAAGGAGGGACTGTTATAGTCTGTTATCAGTTTATGCAGATATCTAATTGAGTATTTGACCGATGGTGTTGAATTACCAGAAAGCATCTCTACATGAAGATTCTAATGAACTTCTTACATGACTTTTTTTTCCATAATTTGAGTTTATGTGAATGGCAGTTATTAAAGATTTAAAAGGGTATCCCTGTTGGAAAGCCCTGAGCTAGATTAAGATCTGATTGACTAATTTTATATTATTGTATTTGGTTGGATTTGTGTTATACGAGAAATTAAATAAATTGTTGATGTTTTCAAGGCCTAAGTCTTTATCATAATTCAAAACTGTCACATAATTAAGAGAAAACAAGTATCCAATTACACACAGATACCCAAGGATCCTAAGCAGACTTTCATAAGGAACTAATGGTCATTTTATCATACGTGTACATTTTGTCTTACACTTCATCGCCATACATTTCGCAATGACATTTTTTGGACAAAATGGATGACTTGTGCTCTGTTTATATATTTGGACAACAAAAGTTAAACTTGACACTGCATTAACATGAAAGCCATGCTGTAATTGAAAAAATATAGATGTTTGAACCTATGTACATTTAATTTACGTTAATAGAGATTTAGGGTTTAGGGTTTAGGGCATAGATCCATAGACGTGTTAATCACCTTTATAATCATAAAGTATTTTGGCCATCTATCGGGTCTGAGTTGGAAGTCTTTCATCCTTTATTGTTTCAATTGAGTTGTCAAGATCTAAGGTAATAAACTAGCTTCCTCTTCTTTTTCTTCTTTTCCTTCTTTTCCTCTCTTTTTTAAATTTTGAACTAACTAACTAACTTATTGTTAAATTTCCTATTCAAGATTATCCTGTACTGAGCTCTGGTTCAAGCAATCATTTTATACATTACCTAAATAATCTTCTAAGCTTCCAATTGGCCTGTTGCAATGTTTACCTTTCACACTGTTTGCTCTTTGTAGATCTCAATACCTAGACCATTACCACCTAAGGTTCATATGTAGAAAGACTTATTGTGAGTAAACAGTTCAGAGTTCACACTGGTGGAAAGAGAATATTATAATTATATAAACATCCTTGAGTATCATACATAATCTTTTCTGCTATATATACGTTACTAGCAATAAATTTACTTTTATCTTCCTTTATGATGGTACCTGGGTGACACAACAAGCATCATTGATTGGGACTGCCGTATGTTGGTGTTTATTAGAAAAGAAACATAAGTTAAGATTGAATTACCTATATGACAGTGCGCTTGTTTTAATGGGTTATAAATGAATAGAATATCCCTAATGCTTTGGATGGCAGCTAGAAGATGTGGAAAACACAAGTTATCGAAAGTTCTGAATCTTCAAATATTTTATTAAGCTTAGATGTCTTATGCAGTCATTCTGATGTACACCTCTTCAGAATATCCACATATAAGTTAACCTTAGTGCAGTGGACTTGTTTGAGATAATATATTTTAGAAGGATTAAAATTATTATTATCATTATGGTATCAGTCTGCCACAGTGGATATGAAACTGAAATTAATGCCACTTATGTGAGCAAATGGAAATATTGGAGGCTAAAAATTTGTGCGTATGACATGACATTTATGCCTATGGATAATGTGCTGATTATGTGGTGTGTTGCTGGACAGAAAAGTGGTTTTGTGAAATTTTTTAATCTGCCCAACATTTCTTTAGATTTAAATTTTAAGTTGATGGACTTGCCCTGGACTTGCCCTGGACTTGCCCTGTGTAAATAGCTGACTATCACTGCTTTGATGATTGTCTGCTATTTCTTGCTATCTTCATTTGCTTTCATGATTTTGCATCCATTGTCTGCAGGTCTGTGAAGAAAATTTTATTAGATTATCCCTCTAATGGCTGTTTGATAGGTATGTAAATTTTGATTACATAGTCTAGGAGTTTTGTAGATATATGTTAATCATCTTGTCATGATATTTACCCATGTTTCACTCTTTACCTGAAGCAAGATGGTGTAGAAGTTGTAAAATCTCTTGAAATTGGATATCATTGTTAGTTTCTTTTTTCTTCCCTGTTCTTCATTCCTTGGCCATTGGTTATTGTCTTTACAATTGGCCATGTAAGCGTTGAGAAAATGCAAGTGATTCTCTGTTTCCTTTTGTGCTTTTGTATAAAATTTGGTTGAGGTAAATACTGAACATCTTCGGCAGAATCGTTGGATTGACTGTATACAAACAAACACATTAGTACCATGCAGCTAAGCTTGGGTCATTGTTTTGGTGCCTTTATTTATACCAAACTGCAGCTTGCGATGATTCTGTTTGGGATGTACTGAGTTATTATGTAACATTGTTTTACAGTCTGCAAAGATTTCTGTCTAGATCTTTTTCCCTTTTTAGAGTGATTTGATTTTTTTTAAAATGCAAATTAAGTTAATTTTGATATTAACAAATTATTAAGGCATGTTTTGCTATATCATAAATTCAATCATCGACTTTTTTTACGACCTCATTATCATTTGAAGGAAAAAGTTTATTTTCATTTTCTAATGCAATTTAAGAAGCTTCAGTTTGGTTATCTTTTAACAACTTTTGTATTAAAAAATTAATACCCACAAGAAAAAAAATTCAACAACTTAAAGGGATGTTGCTCAGATATAGAGACAGTTTTAGTGGTAATGAAATATTTTACAATTTGAATATGCGAGCGAGTAATTTGAATTTCACTGAAGAATACTCTCTCGGAAGTTTGGTTTTCCAATGATTAAATATCATATGGAGGATATCTTAACATTTACATATATGTGTAGTTGGGAGATTTGTTTGAACTAAAGAATTGGTGATGAGTATGTTAATTTCTGTACAGTACATGTTGGGTGCTACGAGCTGTATGCATGTCATAGTTGATTGCTACAATTATGAAATTGAAACAATTGTTATTTAATAAATATCAAGACTTATTATTTAATGTTATCGGATAGTAACTTGTAACATCAATCTATCTATAATATAATGTAAAAGCTGTATAACTCTCAAAATGATGAAATTAAACTCCAAACTTTAGTTTTAACGTTAAGAAACATATGTTCTTATATAAAAATATAACAAAATATTCACTTTTGAAAGTGAAATTATTGAAAATAAAATTAAAGTGAAAATTTGTAATGTAATTTTTTCAATTAAATGTGATTTATTTTGTTGAAAATTGTCTATTTTTCAATTTTGATTAATTTATTACATTTTACACTCTTAGTTTCCATCCTTAACAATTAAAAATTAAAATGTACTTGTTTCTTATATGGTATAAAAATTAAATATTGCTTAATATGCTAAAATTATTATTTTTATACATCATTTATAATTGTTTTAAAATTATATATTTACATGATACCTAAATTTAAACAAAACATAATTTATATCAATTAATAAGGAAAAACTCTAACTAATATAAACATAAATTTAAAAGAGACATATTAGTTTTATACAATATGAATTTTATAACTCACAACTTAAAATTGATTATATATAATTTATTTATAAAAAGTAAAGGGAGTTCAAAACTTCTTTTTTTTCTTAATAATTAAGTTTAATCTAAAAATAAATAAAATGGTTCCATTTTAACAACTATATCATATATATATATATATATATAGTTGAATTTATGTTTCACTAAATATTTATTTAATATTTAAATGTGTGTGCATGCTTTAATATTTTAAATAATACAAATATTATTATTATTAATTATATGTGTGCACGTGCATGTATGTGCAAATATGTGTGTAGTATAATATTTTAAATAACATAAATATTATTATTAATAATTAATTTAAACTTTTGATTTTTTATATTTTTTTAAATATACATTATTAATTTTTAATTCATAATTTTTTTTTTATCAAAAACACTATTTTATTATATATAAAAACGATTTGATAATGGAAATCATATCATCGGATTCTTTCCTATTAATTGGTTAAATTGATTTTATGTTATATAGTATATCAACAAATAGTTTATGCAATCAAATAATATCCTGTGCAAATAATTTAAATCAACCAATTAATATTTGCTAAACATTAGTATTAGGCTGAGCTTTTGTGTAGGAAAAAAAAACACAATCAATCAATTTCAGCATTATTGTAAATCAGTTAGAATACAAATATCAATTAGTATTTGCTTCAAATAATTTAAATAAGTCAAATATTATAAAAATTCTCTAAATTTAGAGTCCAGAATATATATAATTTTAATACATCAATATATATATATATATATATATATATATATATATAATAAATGTTATAGTCATCTATACAAAAAATTTCTCCTGGTTGAAGTGGGCTAGGCCAAGGCTCCTTGTTGCACATTCTGATTGCATTGCTGTGCCACTTCTCCTAATCACAAACACATCAAATTTATTGTCTCATCAGGTTAACTACTCTAATGATCCATTACCCCTTTAAGTTGACTTACCAAATCCACTAAATTGAGTAAAGCAATCCATAGACCCACCAAGTTGACTCATCAAATCTACTGGCACATTAGGTTGATTTGTAGAATTTTCTAAACCACAATTTCCACAGTAATTGCAAAGTGAAGACTCTAGGTTATCTTCATGGCCTTCATTTTCTAACTCATGAATAGTTGTACCAAAATTAGAAGCATCATTCATATATGAAGTGCTCCCAATCATAGACACACAGTGCTGATTAGTCCAATTTATAGTCTCACCAAATTGAGTAGGCCAATCAAAAACCTTACCGTAGTTATTAGTCCAATCTTCAATTTCACCAAGCTGATTGGAGCAATCTAAAGGATCACCAAGATGACTTGTACTCAAATCCACAACCACATTTGATTGATTTGTAAAATTTTCCAAAGCACCAATCTGGTTAGCACAATTATCATCCACCACCCCATTATTCTTTGCCATCAACTGCATAAAACTAGGATCAAAATTAAGCATTTGGGATTGAGAACTAGAACCCCTGTCGAGATTAAGTTGGTAAGATGCTAGCAGGTTGATGTCATTAAGTGGATTCATAGGAGCAAAGATATGTTGGTTCAGAGAGATGGTTTGCATGCAATTGAGTTGGCTTGAGCTTGTGGCAGCACTTGTAAATTGAACCATATTCTGCAAGAAATTGAAGTTGGCTTCAATTTGATGGTTGTGCCTCAACATGATAATTCTTTGATTACAGGCTTCTAGTTTGTCGTCCAAAAGAGCAATGAAATTCCACAGCTTCTCTTCATCAAGGCCATCGAAACTTGCATGCCAAGTTGGATATTTGATGTTGAAAATCTCTTTCTGAACTTTGGAAATCTCAATTTTAATTGTATTCTTCCTATTCTTGAAGAAGTCTTTGAGATCAAAATTCTTAGGAAACTTCTCATTCTTTGTACGCTCATACTTTTCAATGATGGAATGCACCGCAATAGGGTCTTCAGGCCAAGTCACTGGTTGAGCATCACCATCGCCACCATAGATAATCAAGCAACCATTGACACCACATTTGGTACAAAATTCAGACATGTTGTTCAATAGTCTCTTCTTTCGGTTCATGAATCTTACTTCACGCTCTCTCCCATTTGAGATGAATTTTAAGGTTAATTTTGGACGACCCATATTCTAAAACATGCACAAATTGATCAACAAAACAAAACGCGAGTCATACGTTAGAGATACAAATCGAAATAAAAAAGACAACTAGTACACGAATTATATGTTTTGAACACGATATTGTGCTCCAAATTCAAAAGAAAAAAAAATCAAATATAAGTTGTTAAACAAATAGATAATTATCATGGACAATAAAACATATAAAGTGGAAGTTATTCTACAAATTTAAAGCAAGGAAAGGATGGAAGAATTTTAAAGAAGAAAAAGCAAGCAGTTTTCGGATTAACAGAGAAAAGGAAACAATTGAGTTTACATTCAAAGATAATAGTTTTCCAAATAACTGAAGAAAGTTCCTTACTTTCAGTGGCTGGTATTGGAACCTTCACTGCTTGATTTCAGAACTATCCATGAATAAATAAGTATTAGATTTTATATCAGGCAGTGATCTGTGATTGTACTATTAGATAAATATTGGGTCTAACTATTTAACACACTATCAATTTTTCTTCTTTTTTTCCCATATTTTTATTTTGGGAAACTTAAAATGTGGGAATGGAAAAGATCCATTATAATCAATTACTACAAAAGATCTTTGACCAACGAAATTAATAATCTAATTTGGTGTGGCTTGTTATTAACACTGTAATACTAATATGTCTATTTTCTAGAGTTGTTTGTAGTTAGATTTGTTTGTTTTTTCCTACGGTTTATATATTAATTCTTATATATTAGAATTAGTTTTTAAGTTATTGTAAATACATTTAAATTTACTCTTAGTCTTTCAAAATATTTTGATAGTTTTAAATATAAAATTTAAATTTTTACAAATAGTTCATGTTATTACTTTTTGATAACGTGATATGTATTTAAATACTTCATGTCACTTGTCACTTAGAATGGTTGTTAACGTACCATAGTTACACGCATATCAAGTCATAAAAGGATAGTAAAAAAAAATCTATTTCAAAATTTATGAAAATAAAATTATTAAAAATATTTTTAGATGACTAAAATAAAACTTAACTATATTTATAAAAATTAAAAATATATTTAAGTAAGTTTTATATTATAATTTTGAATCTTAATTTTTATTGGCAGTGTCTTTTAGAGCTATTTTTATTTTTTTAAGCCATGGATCTCCTCCTATATTGAAATTTTGATTTTATTTTTGAAATTTTCAAATATTATTTTTTTAATTTTAATTTATATTTAATTTTTCTAAAATTAAATCTTCATACGTTAATATTAAATTAGTGATATTTATTTTCTTTTCTATTCTTTTTTTAGATAAACCCGATTTTATGATTATTACAATCTTGATTAGCTTTACTTTTAAATGTTGAATTCTGACCAACCATATCTATAAAATTATGTGTCTAGATTTTACTAATTTATTTCTAAAATTATCATAAAATATTTTTAAAAAATTTAGTCCATAAATTTAGTATTATTTAATTAATTAATGGATTTTTTTGCATTATGCTTGTATTATTAAATTAAAATAATTAATAAAAAAATTAATATATTACATGGATATTTTTTAATTTAATATATTTTTTAATTTAAAAATAAATATTCTAATTATTGATAGTTAATAATTTATTATATTAAATAGGACAAAATTAAAGAAATAAAAAATAAAAATTAAAGATAAGTTAGATTAAAAAATACTTTTATTATCTTTATGAATATGGTGTGCCAAAATTCAAAATTTAAAATCAAATAAAAATTAGGACTGGTTAAGATTTCAATAATCTTAAAATTCTCTCATTTGATACAATACATTAGAATTTAAAATTAAAATAAAATTAAATTTGAAGAATAAAAGTTATAAATAAAAAGTAAATTATCTACGTAGAAGAAGTCATATAGTGTAATAAATAAGAGAATAACTTCTTAAAACTATTCTGGTTTAAGATAATTCTTAAAAATATTTTCATTTAATACATGAAGACAGATAAAATATTCATTAATAATAATAAAATATCTACTATTTTATTTTATTTTATTTATAACTAATTTATTTAAAAAAAATATTTATTACCTTTTAACCTGATTTATATGCATGTAATATCATAGCTAACCAGCACAGCAGTGGTAACCAGCACACTATCTATGTTAAGTACATAATTACATTTTTCAACTCTTGAATTGCTTGATTCATAAATCGCCTTGATGAGAATGGTGTTCATGTATTCAATTTTGGTCAATGTTTGTATAAGTAGAACAAGTATATGCTTATAAAGGTTCAATCTGCTGCTAAAAAATATTAAAATATCTTTTATAACATTAAAATATAAAAAGAATTCAAATATTATATATGAAAACATAAAAGATAATAAGATTTAAAAATAAGTGAAAATAATTTATAATTATAAATATTATGAATACATATGTGTTTGTTTCTCTTATAATAGTTTATGTATATATAATAAAATAAAATATTCAAATTTACAATAATTTATTTACATTAACAAAACTTTGAGACGTTATAATGATCATAACTTATGACTTCAGCCTTTTTTTAATAATAAATTATACTTATTTTATCTTGATTATGTATGCTACATTCCACTATAGCAGCCAACTTTTTGTTGCAAATTACGACAATTTATTTTCGTATTGAGCAATGTAAATTTAATTAAAAAGAACATTAATATATGGGAAACATTCAATATTAATGAATTATGAAAGTTCACCAAGAAAACACAAGTCATATTGTTGAAAAACAATGAAAAGCAATATTGAGGAATGAAAAGGTTTTTATGTATTCAAAGGCAACCCCTTGGGATGACTACTCCATTGTTAGTTCCACCAGCATTTACACAAGATGATGTTGCAGATCCTTTATAATAAGTTAGCTTTATGTCTTGCAGTTTGATATCCCAACATGGGTTGCTTTCGCTGCAATCAAAATTGATTGCTACTGGGCTTGCTGAAGTTCCCCTTATGTGTTCATATGATACACTGCTTATCTTCACGCCAGAACTCTGCTTTTTTAATATAAAAATAATAAATCACCCATGAAATCAAAGTGATGTTTTATAAGTAGCTTAGTGTTATCTTTTACTTTCTATCACCATTTGAACAAATGTTTGTTTTGAAAAACTATTCCTTATGACACTGATTGTAATAGAGGAGACAGGAAGAACAGAGATTTTTAATGAAAAAAACTTAGATATATTGTTGGCTTAAATTTAATATATATAAAGATGAGTAAGTGACAGAAATGAGGTTGGATTCATGATTTACAGTTTTTGTAGAATTTGGTTTGGTAGCATTGAGTATTTTCCTATTAAAATCGTAATAGATGTAGAAAAGTGACCTGGTTAGGACATTCCTTTGCGGGGCAATATCTTTGATCAACAATGATGGGATGATAAGCATTTTGCATGATGAGGTTTCTGAACACAACGTCTCTTGCATACCCATTACTTGGTTGTGCCCAAGATTTTATCCTAACCCCATTTTCTGTTCTGCTCAACACTGAATTTGTCACTGTCACATTCTGAACTCCAGCCTCCTCCTCGAAGGTGCCCAAGCTCCCAATGCTGTCAAAGTAAGACCAACCAAAACATAAACATATATCTAAGGAAAGGACTTCACTTCACTTGGGTCCAATGTATGAGTAACATTAATATAAATACTGCTTGAAAATTAAGGTGTTAGGATTCACTCACATTAGACTATAAATCAAAATCCATTTACTATAATATTATGTTGTATTATTAGAAGAGTTTCTCACAAATTAGTCCATGATGGTATCAGACCCATCATCAAGTTAGAGAAAAAGAAATGAGAAAGTTACCTAATGCCATGTCCAGGGCCACAAGCAACACGTTCAATCCACATGTTAGAGGTACCTTGGCTTATGGATATGCAATCATCACCAGTCATTATGGTGGCATGGCTTACAGTAACACCAGTTGAAAACTGCACGTTGATTCCATCAGTATTGGGACTTGTACTTGGAGCTCTGATTTTCACATTTTCGATCACAACGTTTTTGCAATGGTCCACAGCAATGTGCATTGCCTTGCTATTTAACGATGTTAATCCACTAACCACTACATTGTTTGACCAACTCAATGATATTGACTGCACTTAATCACAAAATCAATTACTATGCTACTCATCACAAGAAGAATTTTTTTCTATTGGACTATCTTAAAAAATTTTCCATCACGAGAAATATTATCATAACATATTCTATCAAAATTAACTCAATATATGGCTCACTAATTGGCCAAAGAAAACGAAATTAATTTATTTTTTGGCTAAATATAATAATTTAATTTAATTATACAGACCAATAAAAATAGTTGTTTTTTTATGAATACTTTTATTTAATATTATTAAAGTTAATCTCACTATTGATATTTTAACTTAAAAAATTATTATGATTACTACTAATTTATGTATTTTATTAACTCTGTTTATTAAACATAAAAAAATTATTAAATTATTAAATGCAATGTCTTGGTAGATTACACTTTAATTTGTTTAGAAAAATGTGGACTTGAATTTGCAAATTCTTCTAGTCAGCGTGTTTCCTTCTATTTTGAAGAGTAAGCAACATAAAATATATTAAGAAAACAACGTTCTTAAACCGTACAATTCTCATGCAAGGCGTCAAGTACCTTCTTACCCATCATGTTCTTGCCCCTTTTCTACTTTTAATTTAATGTTAAATAAATACACACTCTCCAAAATGCATGTGATTCAAATTAATAAAGTTTAACTCTACTTTTATTTTATGAATTTCATTTATATATGCCGACAATTTAAATATTTTTTATACTGTTTCTCAATCGTGAATTATCATGCAATCATAAATCTTTGTTATATGATGATTTACTATTGTTTTATTTACATTAACAAAGATAATTCCATCGTTTAATATTTTTTATGAATAAATCACATTTTTTTAAATGAATGATATTATTTTTCGCTTTAATAAACTGATTCAATGCAGGTTCTAACAAATTAATCACATCAAATTACAAAAACACAGGTGAAGAAAATCTAAGTATAAGCCTTTAATAAGCTTGTGCAAGAATTTTGAGAAGACTTTACATTTTATTTGTAAATAAAAATATAATTTATTAATTTTTCTATGCAATCTAGTTAGAGTTTTTGATAAATTTGTATTTGGGAATCTAAATATAGGACTTGTTTCAAAATTTGTTCAAATATAATTAGAAATTATTATTTCTCAATTTAATTAGAATTTGATTTAAATTTAATTTATATTAAATGATATGTTTAATATTAGTTTTAGGATTTTATTCGTATTTTATTATTAGTTAGATTGTATTAGGATTTTATCAGAATTATAATAAGATTTTGTTATAGTTTCTAAGATTAATAATTGTGAGGATAAACAGATCATTAAAACAAACATAAAATAATAAAGAGGTATCCATGTTTATATATGCACATACCCTTGCTCCAGCAGGACAATTGTTTGCACCTTTTCTACAGCGCCAATAGTTAGCACCTCTTCCATCAACAGTTCCACCATGTATTGAAAGCCAATTAACCTTCATGAACAATATCCAATATCCTGAATTACCAAGTGACCAATAATCTGAAGGGGCAACAATAGTGCCATCAATTCTAAATTCGATCTTGTTCATGCAAGGACCCCAAAATGTCACTTGTTTTAGCAAGAAACTTCCTTTGGGTACGTAAATTGTGGCTGCTCCTTTTGATTTGCATGCCCAAGACCATGCCCTTAGAAAGGCCATGGTAGAGTCCAACTTGCCATCAGGTTTAGCCCCAAAGCTAACCACATTCACTAAGGAATTAGCATTAGAAGTAACCAAAAAGAAGCTCAAATTGCCCAGAAAGAATAGTATGAAAAAATGATTTGTGTGATGAGCCATGACAATGATGATGCAAATTAGAGTTTTGCTGAGATATATGGTAACAATCCATTAATATTTATACTTGCAAGAGGTTTGGGGACAAACCCTTAAAGGTGATATTTATTATCACATGGTTTCAAGTATAAACCAAGTTAATTGTAAATTAAGTCACTTAATATTCTCATATTGTCGGGTCTTAATTCCCAAAACTAAAACATGTGCGTGCAAGTTATCACCGCCCTTCCTCGTTGCCACTATTTGCTGCTATTTTATGTATAATTTTCAGGTTAAGAAATTTGTAAATATCATATTCTTATAGAGATTATATTGAGGTGCATTAAAAACTGTGAGAAAAATATAGTATTATACTTTCAATTATTTATTTCATTCCTCAATGGATATTTTAAAAATATTAATTAATGTTATCTTTTCTTTTATAATTTATGATCTCCAGATATTCTAACTTAATTATAATAACACCTAGTATCTATTAATTTTACATGAAATTTTATATAAAAAAACTTTAATCCACAATTATATAGTAAATCTTATATTCTATATTAAGTTATATAAGTTTATGTGAATCTTGATTTATTTTAAGAATATAAAATTTATAAAGCTGATGAAGTGTGTAATTATATATGAGTGGTGAGATTAAAAGTCTGTGAACAATTATATAATTACTGAGAAATGTCTATTTTTTAAATCTTATTAAGACAAGAATTGTGGAGTGTGAGTAAAAGTTGATATTAGATGTATCACACACTTCATGGGAAGAACTGATGTTTTAACTCTGTATTAGGTTAAAGGATCAAAAGACGAACAAATCAAAACATAAGGTAGTAGTTTAAGGCTTTTTTGTTTTGAGGTTGAAAGAACAATTCCCACATTATATAATATATATTGTAAACATATGGTTTATATTAATTAAAATAAAAATTTATTTATGTTTAATAATTTAAAACTAATTTTATTCAACTTTAACATAAATGAATTTTAAATCAATTTCGCACCATGGCTTCAGTTAAAGGCTCGTTATTTTGTATTACAAAGATTTTCTGGATTGGACAACTTGTTATCTCGTTTCAATCTATTTCAAAATTTTAGAAACTTGGATGAATTAAAAGTTATAATTTAATTCAAATACAGTGATAGTGTAAAAACAAATTATATTGTTACTTAATTATTAATATAAATAATATATTAAACTCTAAAAAGTTAAAGATATTTAATTGAAAAAGTTTATAAAATCTATAATTTTTTAAAAATCCTAAATGATTAATTAAGTGAAACAAAAATCTCGCATGTCACGGTTATTGATTAAAGTATTCATTCATCTTATAAAATGAGTTAAATGTAATTTTTCAAAAAATAATTTTAAAACTTATTTTACCTTAAATTAGTTAGCTAGACTATCATTTATTTTATCCTGAATTTTTTATTATAAAAATAAGTTTTTTCTTTTCATTATCGTGGTCTTTGGCAATAATTGGGTGAATATTATTGAATACGTGATGTGAAAGACTACATGTGGATGTGGAATATTGCACAGCTCAAGTTTGAGCTCATTGCCAGCAAAATGTCTGAACACACAAAATTTATAAATACGAATTCAATTAAAAATGCTTTTTTTTTTATAATTTGATTTATCTAAAATGAAAAGTTGCAATTATTAAATAAAAAATTAACAGTTAAAATTATAACTAAACAGGGTAATGAACTACGTAATTATATGTATTTTTTAACCGATAATTTTTTAATTCATTGAACTATAATTTTAGACTTTATGTCTTAAAATGATACTTTGGAGAATATATGATTTCTAGTACTGTCAACTTAAAAAAATGAAAATAAAAAGTTAAAAGAATTTGTTTTCATTATATAAGGTTACAATAAAAAGCTATTAAATTAGAATCATTATATTTTGCACGTGTAACATTTCTAATTTTGTTATTTTTAATTTATCCTTTATGAATTTTTTTCTTACATGTATATGATATGTGAAGGTTTATGTTTAACTTTTTAAAATTTTTAAAATAAATTTAGAAGAAATTGGGACAGAGTCAACTCTAAAACAAACACTTAGTCATCTAACTAAGGTAAATTAAAATTAAAGTCTTACTTTAATTTTCTAAACCTTGATTTAGGTTTATAAACCTCTAATTAGATTAAACAATGCTGCATGCTTGGCAAAAATATTATAAGTTATAAAATTCTAAAAATAAAATTTAAACTTAAAATAAGACTAATTTAACCTATTTGACTTCATAATTTTTTTTTATTAGCTTAGAGACTTATATGACCAAATTTTATAGGCTAAAGTGTAGATGTTAGACTAAATTACTATTAGTTGTTCAATTTCAACTAAATTTAAGGACTTAATTCAATTTTTGAAACAATATAATAAAAAAAAAAACTTGATCAAATCTCATTGGCTTGTCAAATTTTTAAACATGAGATATAGAGATTATTGAATAAAAATTTATGATTCATAAAACATACATTTTTATATGCAAGGTGTTGAAAATTGTGTGCTAATGGCAATGAAACACAATAATGTCTAAATATTCATATTTTAAAGTATACATATATGTACAATATATTGGTTTTAACTTTACCTTGTTGGAAAATATTGCAGTCACAAATACTCTCTAAGTATCTATTAAAATAATTTACTATAAGTCATTTATTGTTATTGTGTAAATAATCAACAGTTACCCATTTAATACCATTTTATAAAACAAATACTAATGAGTTTTATTTAATTTTTAGGTTCATTCAAGATTATTTTTATCCAACCAGGTATTAACATTAGTTTAACTAAAATCTAACTTTCTACATTAAAATTAAATTTTTTAAAATTTTCAGAAATTTACAATTTTAAGTTTGAGAACTTATTTTTGGAAGTATATAATTTTAATTTTAATTTTTTTAAATTTTTAAGAAATATAAAAATATAATTTAATAAACTTATTTTATCTCATGTTTTTATTATTATAAACTATAATTTGGAGAAAAAATTATAATTTTTTAATAGAGATGTAAAAAAAAATTGCAAAAATAAACCTACAGCAAACAAAATGATAAAAGGTCGAAGACGAAGAGGAGTTTTTAGATGGGCTAACCCACTTAGCAGAATGACGGCCCAAAGCGAAAAAATGGAAACGAAGTGGGGTTTTACAAAAACCCTAACCCTAGGCCCATCTTTAATCTTACGGTTGTTATATATAAAGGTATAAGAGTAACATTACCAACTTGGGAAACCCTAATTGCGCACTGAGTGAAAATGGCGGTACCGTTGCTTTCCAAGAGGATCGTGAAGAAGCGCGTGAAAAAGTTCAAGCGCCCCCAAAGCGATCGCAAGATCTCCGTCAAGGTTAGTCGCTCTACCATTTAACGCTCGCCATTACCAACTGCTTAAATGATTTTCATTTTTAGTTTGTTTGTTTTTTCTGCGTTAGCTTTAATTGAAATGATGATAGTTAATGTCGCCCCAGTCTTAATTTGCACCAAAAGGTGTAAGATGGTGCTGGACATTCTTATCTGATTATCCTCGTATCTTTGATTTGTTTTTACGGACATAAATTTTATGTTTATGCTTTTAAGTTCTTTTTTTTTTTTCGCTCCAATTTTTTTTTATAATGTGTTCTTTTTCTAATGATGGGGATTTGTGGATCTTTTGCAAAACTCAATTTCAATTTGTGTCTTTATATGCAATGAGATATGATGATTTTTATCCATCAATTCTGCATAGAATGATGATGATTATCAACATGCACTACCATCTGATCTCTTGCTCATTATCTTAAGTAGTGTTTTTGTGAACTATCCTGTGTAAATTATATTAGTTTTGGTCATGTTTATGTAATGTTTATTGCTTTATTTTCCCCCGTTTACGATTGTTGTTATTATGTTAGCTAATACTATTTTGCAATCTTTAATGATTTTTCTTTAGTATTTTGATTAACATGTAATTATTTTACTAAAATCACCATCTTTCGGCTGAGATTGCATATCGGTATTATACTTTGAGTTTATGTAGTCTTCGTGTTTGTTTATTTTCGTTCCCCTCGTTTATGCAGGGTTTTGTCTACTTTTGAAGCTGGGCATTTCGTGTAATATGCTTGTGTTTTTTGTCAGTTTTTAAACTATGCTTATTAGGTTAGATGAAAAATTTCCTTTGAAAAATAATTTCCCATACGATAGTGTCTTTTGTTTTTGCCACTTTAGTTATTTATGCGTGCTTGCGTAGTTGCATCCAATTCATCTGATTGGTTGTTTATGATTGCTTAATATTGTCTAAAACAATTGTTAAATTTTGAATGGTTTGAAATTGATAACTTTTGTTCTAAATTAAGTATGTGTCTTGATTTTTTGTTGCAGACAAACTGGCGCAGACCCAAGGGTATTGACTCTCGTGTTAGGAGAAAGTTCAAAGGATGCACTTTGATGCCAAACATTGGTTATGGTTCCGACAAGAAAACTCGCCATTATTTGCCAAATGGTTTCAAGAAATTTGTCGTGCACAATGTGAAAGACCTGGAACTTCTCATGATGCACAACAGGTAAAGATCTGAAATGATTCAAACCAACTTTTAGGGGATTGTAATTTACTGCTATGCATCAGCTATGCATCATAGCATATGCAGAATTTAAATGACTTCTGTTTTTATGTTAATCCAGGACTTACTGTGCTGAGATTGCTCATAATGTATCCACAAGGAAGAGGAAGGAGATAGTTGAGAGAGCTGCTCAGCTTGATGTTGTTGTGACAAACAAAACAGCCAGACTACGCAGCCAGGAAGATGAATAGGTCCCATTGTCTGTTGATTTTGATCATCCTTGTTATTTTTGTAGGGAGCTTCAGTTGAAACCCTTGATGCTAGATTTTGATCATCTTTGTTATCTTTGTTTTGGCCTAAACCTGTTTCATGTCATACATTTTTATATTGCTTATTGTCTTCTATTTAACAAAATTTTCAACTTCATTCTTGATTATATGTTGGGCTCTAGTTTAAAGTACATGCGCGGGTACAGGTGAAGAAGAGCTTTAACCATGTTTAAACATTCAGTTTGGAATATTCGTCACCGAGATGGAATAAACTGAAAAAAAAGTAATTGTTATTCCGAGGATTTGTGGTTGTAGCTTACGACGGCTAAGTTAACCGTTTGTGGTTTTCTTTAAGTTCTAATAAGGTTGGTTTTTGAATGCATTTAAATGAATGACGGGATTTGTATTCTCCTAGGTTCCCCAATATTAGGGTTATGGATAAAGTTGTGTTGGAACTCATTCAATGAAAATGAAAATACGAGAATCGAACTACGTCCATTTAATATTTACTATTTGCAAGTTTTGTTGTTAAAGGATCAACTTGAGTGTAAATTTTAATGTGATTATTTGTTCATTGACTTTAGAGGGCGGGTATAATAAACAGAACATCACGTTTACAAACAATACTAGCAAAATCAACGAGATGCTTCTAGTTAGGGGTTGCAAGAAAAGAAGAGAGGAGAGTAAGTAAGCGATATGATTGATGGTATAATGGAAAAAAAGATGAGTGTAAAATGAACGAAAGAAAGTATTGGAATTGTTAATCACACTACAGCATAATCAATAGACCAGACCAACATCGATGAAATCAGGATTTCAGAATTAATATGCGAGCTGAGTGAGAGGACTACGTCCTACATCAATGAGAGCAGTAACTTTAATACAAAAATACTATAATAGTAACAATCATCATACAATGAACCCTATAAATTTTTTTGTTTTAAAACTTGTCTACTGAAAATGTATAGTAAAAATTAATATAATTTTTTCAACTCAATACAAAAGTTACAATTTATTATATATATTAATTTTAAACATGAATTTTAAGACAATTAATTTTGATTCTGAACATCTAAATATAATTTTTATTATAAAATCATATTACAATGAAATGAAGTAAACGTGATTCTCCGCTCATTTAATTTAGATGCACTAATCATTTGGCAGCATCTACGAATGGAGAATTTGAAAAAGCAGCGTTAGTGGTAAGCTAGCTACCAGTCCCACTAATATTCTTTTAATGGGCGTTCCTAACAAGTGATTTTGGTATTTATTAAATAATTAATAAATAATAAAATTTTTATTAAAATATATTTTAAATTGTGCTAATGTGTATTTTTTATATTTTAATATTTTTTCATTTTATATTTTAATATAAAATAAAATTTAAATACAAATTTTAAATATTATTAATATTATTTATTAATTAAAATTTTATCTCAGTAAGAAATCTATCAGAAATTAAAAAAAAAAAAAGTAAGTTTTTCCTTTAATATAATTGGTTCGCATTTTTCTTTCATATTTATTCTGCTATATTTATACTTTCGGAAAGAAGTGTGTTGAGTAGAAAGTTTGAAGCATTTTGTGTGTCCTCTAATCTGATTCATTATGGCAGGAGCACTTGTGGGTGGAGCTTTTCTCTCTGGTTTTGTTAATGTTGTTTTTGATCGGCTTTTTTCACCTGAAGTTGCAAGCTTGATCCGAGGCAAGAAGCTTGACCATAAGTTAGTTGAAAGATTGAAAACTACCCTTTATGCTATTGAGGCTGTGCTTAATGATGCTGAAGACAAACAAATCAATGATCATGCTGTGAAGAAGTGGCTTCATGATCTCAGAGATGCTGTTTATGTGGCTGATGACTTGTTGGATGGTCTCTCTACTGAAGCTGCCACTCACGAGGAGGCAAGTAACTTTTTCTCTCGCGTTCTCAATTTGCGAGATAGAAAGGTGGTGAGTGAAATAGAAGACATCACTAGCAGGTTAGAGTATCTTGTTAACTTCAAAGATACTCTTGGTTTGAAAGAGATTCCAAGTGAGAACTTCTCATGGAGAACTGTATCAACATCTTTGCTTGAAGGATCTGGATCTGATATTTATGGAAGGGATCGAGATAAGGAGGGAATGAAAAAACTGTTGTTAGACGAGAGTAGTGAAGAAAATGTTTGTGTGATTCCTATTGTGGGCATGGGTGGTGTTGGAAAAACCACTTTAGTCCAGTGGTTGTACAATGATGAGAATTTGATGGGAAAGTTTGATTTGAAAGCATGGGTTTGTGTTTCTGAAGAATCTAATGTTGTTAACATTACAAAGGCTGTCATAGCGGCGGTTACTCGTGCTGCTTGTGATGCAAAGGATTTAAATTTACTTCAACTTGATTTGAAGGAAAAGTTGTCAGGGAAGAGGTTTTTGGTTGTTTTGGATGATGTTTGGAACATTGATCAACACGGTTGGAATAGTTTTAAAAAGCCTTTTCAATACGGGACTAAAGGAAGTAAAATTCTTGTGACAACTCGACTTGAAAAGGTTGCTTCAATACTCCAAACTGCTCCGCCGTACCGTCTACATGAGTTGTCGGATGAATATTGTTGGACAGTGTTTGCAAAGCATGCCCGTTTCCCAGAATCTGGTGGTGATTCAAATCTGGAAAGAATTGGTAAGGACATTGTAAAGAGGTGTCGAGGATTACCTTTGGCTGCAGAAACCCTTGGTTGTCTATTGCAAACAAAACATGATGTAGCGGATTGGAATACTATATTGACGAGTGAACTTTGGGAAATTCCAGTGGAAGATAGTAAAATAATACCAGCTCTGAAAATAAGTTATTACCATCTCCCTCCACATCTAAAACGTTGTTTTGCTTATTTCTCGTTGTTTCCCAAGGATTATAGATTTTATAAATATGAACTAATCTCCCGGTGGATGGCAGAAGATCTTCTGCGATCACCAAAGAAAGGAGAGACGTTGGAAAAAGTTGGTTCTGAGTGTTTTGATGATTTGACTTCTTGATCTTTTCTTAAAAAGCTCGGAAGGTATTTTGTAATGCATGACCTGATGCATGACTTGGCCAAATTTGTTGCTGGGGACTTCTATTTTTGGTCAGAAGAACTTGGGATGTTTGACAAGAGTAAGACTCTTACTCGTCATTTATCGTATGGAAGGTTGAGTCATCCAATCTCAAAAAATTTCGATGCTATTGATGAATTAAAATCTTTGAGAACATTTTTGCAAGTCCATTTCTCACGTCCTTCCTTCGGCTTTGGAAGTGTCATTTTGATCATATTATCAAAGTTTAAATACCTAAGAGTTTTGTCATTCAAGGATTGTAAAGAACTTAAGATGTTGCCTGATCCAATAGGTGAATCGATCCATCTTCGTTACTTGGATCTCTCTCGAACAGGTATCGAAACATTACCAGAATCATTGAGCAAATTGTACAATTTACAAACACTGAAGCTGTCTTATTGTCGTAGTCTAACAACGTTGCCAAGTGGCATGCAAAATCTTGTGAATTTGCGACATCTTAATGTTAGGGGTACAGGAGTAAAAGAGATGCCTCGGGGAATGAGCAAACTAAAACATCTGCAGTTTTTAAGTGACTTCGTTGTGGGCAAGCATGAAGAGAATGGGATCAAGGAATTAGGAGAACTCTCTGATCTCCATGAATTCCTACGACTCATGAAATTGGAGAATGTTACTAATAGTAGCGAAGCAGAGGAGGCAAGGATAAAGGATAAGACACACATAAAACATTTGTCCTTATGCTGGTCTGGGTATGGTGATATGAATACATCCTCCCACATTGAAGGAGAAATATTTGACAAGTTACAACCTCACAAAGGCCTAGAAGCACTTCAAATCGCTGGGTATAGGGGTACAAGATTTTCAGATTGGGTAGGGCATTCTTCTTACCACAAGATGACTCGTGTAGTTTTAAAATTTTGTTTGAATTGTTATTTCCTTCCTTCTCTTGGACAACTACCACATCTCAAGTCCTTGGAGATTTCATTTTTTGATATGTTGGAGAATATTGGTGATGAGTTTTACAAGAACGGTAATGATGTTTCTTCTCTAGAAACACCGTTTCCGTCGTTAGTGGAACTAGAATTCCATAGAATGTCTTGTTGGGAGGTGTGGCATTCATCTGAATCCTATGCTTTTCCTCAACTTGAGGCCTTAAAAATAATTGATTGTCCTGGCTTAAGGGGAGATCTGCCTCATCAACTTCCTGTCTTGAAAAGACTTGAGATACAACGTTGTCCCAAATTAACAAATCTGCCCAATCAATTTCTTGCTTTGGAAGTTCTTCGAATTGAAAAGTATGAGCTGCTTGTTTCTTCTCTTCAGCAGACTCCTTCATTACAGGAGTTGAGCATATCTGGTAGCAATGGAGTAAGATTGCAAGAGTTTCCTATTTTATTACGGTATTTATTCGTTGAAGGACTGGAGCTGGTGGAGTCCGTGATTGGGGTCATCACCAGCGCCCAACCAACTTGTTTACAATCTTTAAGCATCTCAAATTGTTCGTGTGCCTTGGCAATTTCAAGTGATTGTTTACCAAAATGTTTGAAGAACCTCACAATCCAAAAATGTAGAAATGTACATGTCCCAAATCAACATAGCTTGTTAGAGTCGTTAACAATAATTGACAGCTGCGATTCACTCTCATCTTTCTCATTGGAGGCCTTTCCCAATCTCATGCGTCTGGAAATTAGAAGGTGTTTAACTTTGCAATCTTTTTCAATGCCACCATTACAGTCAAAGGCTTCTATTCTACAGATTCTCCACATTTCTCGCTGCCCTAAGTTTGTGGGGTTCCCAACAGAAGGATTGGTTGCACCCAAAATGACTTCGTTTTATCTCGAGAACTGCCCTATGTTGAAGTCATTACCTTCTCACATGAATACTCTGCTCCCTCGGTTAAATTCTCTTTCAATAAGAGATTGCCCTAACATTGATTCGTTTCCTGAAGGGGGTCTTCCGGCCGACTTGGCAACACTTCAGATTGTGAATTGCGAGAATCTATTGATGTGCCTATCATTAATAGGTGTGCACCGGGGTCTCACTGATTTAACCATTGGTGGTGCCAATTCATCCTTAAGGGAGGATTTGTTGCCTCAGCTTCCCTCTCTTGCCACTCTAATACTACACAAGTTTGAAACTATGGAGAAGATGGATTGCAACAGCCTTCTCCATCTCACCTCCCTTCAAGTTTTACGTATTGGCTACTGCCCCAAATTGAACAACATGGTGGGGGAAAGATTGCCTCTCTCTCTCATAAAACTCGAAATCGATCGGTCTCCTTTGTTGGCAGAACTGTGTGAGAAGAAGCATCCTCAAATTTGGGACAGAATTTCCCACATTTCTGGCATTCATGTTAACGGGAGATAGGTTTCGTGACCTAGGATTGTCAACAGGTAATTCTGATGCACACGTCTTGATGGTACTTTATTGTCATTTGGAAAAGTGATTTACTTGCATATTGATTCTCTGGAAATGTCAAGCTGGTTAATACTCCTTCAGGAAGAGGATCATGCTTTCACTAAATCTATTGTTTTCATTTTATATTTTGTTGTCATATCTTTTCTTGTGGTGTTGAAAGACTCCCGCAAAGGAATCAGCATACTATATTTGATATAGTGCTAATATTTTGTGGACATTATATTCAATTAGAGATTTTCTTTTGACGAGTGTTAGATAATTTTAACTATTTTCTTGTTTCTTGCCATCTTTTGCAGGCAGTTCGAATGAAAGGAGAAGTGTATTGATGGTTGAAAATTCCATAAACATATGGAGATGAGATATTCTTTTTGTTGGTGACCATATTTACACTGATGTACGTCAATCCAAAACACATTTGCTATGATGAACAGTGATGTGTTTGGAACAGAAATAGAAGGTGATATATGGGCAAGTCACTCATATCATGTCTTTATTACATGTTGTGGTCATTTATTAAGTTCGTCAAAATGACATACCAATTCCTAGTGGTGAGAATTTAAGTAGGTCACTCGTATCATGATGAGATTCCATCAGACAAAAGTCTTCTACATCAACTTTTCTCTATAGTGAGCATATATTTTTTTTTTAACTAAGTGGACTTACTATTATTATAATTAATGGTCTTTATCCTTTTGTATGCAATTTAATGCTTTGCAAAACATTGAACTCCACGGTTAGAGCAAACATTTTATTTAGCATCTAGCAATACAGATTATCCATGAAGAGATACAGTCTTCAAACATAACAAGCAAGATGAGGTTGTTGTCTTGTAATCTCAGTTTTTACTGATTTGAAAAGTCCATATTGGAAATTGTTTTGCATTTATCTTGGAATATTTGCTTTCAAAATTCTCTTTTGTCAGAAGTCTCTGTTCCAAGTTTTTTGTTCCAAATAGAGTCAGTCTTCTTTTTTTTTTCATTTAATTTAGTTGAGTTAATGTGTGACTAAGATCTGTTATCTATTGATAATTGATTGAAAGTGTAAGTAACAACAATTCAATCTGTTTAACTTTTTCTTTACAGTGAATGTCATTGCGTTATTTAAGAAAAATTGACTTTGGCAAAGTGGTCTTTATCCTATATGGTTTTCCCTTTTCTACTTACATGAAAAGCAGTAGCACGTCAATGAAGTTGACAGTCAGCAAAGATTGCTTAGTATTTTGAGATGGAGATTCCCCAAGAAGAGATTTTATTATAGAATTTTAATCATTTGGGGAACAAAAAGGATGCTTATAAGTAGGATGAAGTGGTCTCAGGAAATCAATGTTTTCTGTTCTGATAGGTCTACAAGTAAAATTTTGCCTTCTAATTTTGAATACTTTTGGGTTCAGGGGATACTGTCCAATGCAGAAGACCGATATGGTTTGCAATTATTTGGTGAAAATGGAAGAATCATAAAAACCAATGTGTTTTACTCTTGATTATGCTGTGGAAACGTTAAAATTAAGATCATGGTAGATGCTTAGAGTCAGATTGAAAGGATTTTTCTATTTTTATACTTCTATTTAGAGTGGTTCAATGAATTTCTTTGGTTCATTAAGGCACCCCATAATGCATTCTTTTGTTTGAAAAAACAACTTTGAATACTTTGATAACAAAATGTATTCCTTTTACCTTTTCTCCATGATTTTTTAACATGACGTGTTTCTCCATGGGTCCGTATGAGCTGTTGGTCAAGGAGATTAGGCAATTAGCTTATATATATAATTTGTTAATGATAAAAATAACATTATATTTGAAACCTTTAAATTTATCATGTGGGCATTGACAAATTTATTGAAAATGAAGCTCAAATAATATTATGTAGATATTAATGATAAAAATTTATGAATACAAAATCAAATAATGTAGAAAGATGTATCTTATATAAAATTGATTCATATATACAAAATCAAAATTATATATTATGAATGCCAAAATTATTTTCACTCACATATATATTTGCCGTTGCCGTAGTTCTCCAGTGAGCTAGCCCCATCTCCACTAGCATTATTTTTAAAATTATAATTATTTTAAACTATAGGAAGCATTAAAATAATTATAATTATACGTTCTACACAAGCATTAGTTTGTGACTTGATATATATGCGAGTCATCAAAATTAAAAAGTTAACTGGAATTGCATAATTATTTTTTTTCTCACTGACATAAATTTCCTTATTAATTACGTCATATGTATTACACAATGATATGGTTTACCAATCAGATAATCACTCCCATCCATTGATTCAAGTGGTTAAGCATCTAGTTTTCCCCAAGTCTCATGGTTGAGTATTGTGAATGATTTTTTGAATAAATTAATATGAATTTTATTTCATGAGATTTTTAGGAACGAATCTAATAATAATAATAATAATAAAGAGTGTGTTAGTATTTCTTATAAATTAACATTCTAAAATCTTCGAAGAGTTTAGAATTATAAAATCTTCTAACAGTTCATTTTTATTAAAAGGAATGTTTAAGATGTTTTAAAAATAACTAAAATTTTTGAAAGACTGATAAAATGTTTTAAATTTTCATAAAAGATATAACATTTTTTAAAAATATTTTATCCAAACACAATATCAAGTACTTGCGAAAAATATACTTCCTAATAAGTATTTTTCACTTCAGTGAATTGCCTATTAAAACCCTTTGTGACTGTTAAAACCTCACGTGTCAAAGACGCCACAAGGGCAAAGAACTCGAAATCTTTCAACAACTTTTGGTCTAATTTTAAGGGAATGCTCAAAAATCCTATAATCAATATATTCCGACAAAAAAGTTGGTGCACGATGCCCGTAGCCTTTCAAACGTAGTATAGTTTTGATTGTAAATTGCAATAAACTCAAGATTTGAAACACTCATCAATTTCATCGACAGAAATAGAGTTGTTAATTGTTGATCATATGTTTAATGCATATCTTGTTACTAATGTATTTAGATATTTTATATGTATTACACATAAAATAAAATGATATTATGTATATATAAACATTAGCCTGTAAACTTGATGTTCTGTTATATTACCCTCACATGTTAAGCTATGTTTAGGTTGAAAATATCATTAGAATCATGATATTACTTTTAAGAAGAGATATATCAAATATAATTCCGTTTTAAAAGCTAATTTTTTTGGTGGATCCAAGAGTAAAAGGAACCATTTGAAAAAAGGAAAATCAAACTAATAAAAATAGCTAAATAATAAAAACATTAATTAGTGTGACAGGGACCATTGCAAGTGAGAAGAGTCCTCAAAAGGCAAAGAATATCACTTGCCTGAGATAACAAACAACTATGCAATTCAATAAGGTACTAATACTATACTTAAATAAACAAAGTAACAAACCTAAAAAATGTGAGACAAGTAAGAATCAGGATCAGGCATATATTTTTCCCTTGCCTTGAATTTGAAGCATCACTTATCACCTTTACAACCCTGCAACAGCAGCCTTAGCAAGTAAAGAACCAAACCTTTCATCCACTTTTCATATATAAGAGCTCTCACTTGCACCAAACACATGCATCCACCTATGTTCAGCATTTGAGGCCTTGCTTCTCAACTTTTTAGGCCTCTAAAATTCCCTTAGCTCTTTCTGTTTGTTCCAATCAGCTTTTTCCTTTGTCTGAAATCCACACATAATAAAGAGATGGCAAACGAGCAAATGAAGCCTGTTGCAACGCTTCTTTTGGGGCTCAATTTTTGCATGTATGTCATAGTTTTGGGCATTGGTGGATGGGCCATGAACAAAGCTATAGATCATGGTTTTGAAATAGGTAAAGTATCTAATTTTATTAACATCTTTGTAATAAAATTACAAAGTATTTGTCTTTTCATTTTTTTTAAACATCTACATAGAAAAGGATAAAATATAAAACATTTTTGCTCTTTATTATATAAATATTTTTAAAAATAAGAAACAACCAAAATTAAAGTTTGTAACTATATGCAAATATAATAATATTTTCTGAAACAAGACAAAAACTTCTTCAGTGTGCTTATATTGTGTGATTACTATGGCAGGTCCCGGACTGCAACTTCCTGCTCATTTTTCACCCATACAATTTCCAATGGGAAATGCTGCCACTGGATTCTTTGTGACATTTGCTTTGCTTGCTGGAGTTGTTGGTGTTGGATCAATCATTTCAGGAGTCAATCATATCCGTTCATGGACTTCAGAGAGCTTGCCATCTGCAGCTTCAGTTGCTGCCATTGCGTGGGCTCTTACCCTTCTTGCCATGGGGTATTCTCTTCCTCCTTCATACAAGCAAATAAATAAATATTCCTAAGAAATAAAAAAAAATATATATTAGTTGTTGAACTTATCTCTATTAATATATCTTTTGTCAAATGAAAATTCATATTTAGTACAAATATTGTGAATATATACTAAGGGTAAATTAATATTGATATATATCATGGTGCATTGCACTATTAATGCAGATACATAATGTCTGGAATTTAATTTTAATATATGTTAGTATAAAACATTTTAGATTATCAATTAGTTGAAAATGATATTAATTATACGATCATATAAAAAAAATATTCTAACAAATAAATATTTCATAAACAAAATTTATATTGACAGAGATAAGCTTAAGGACTAATTTTTTGTCTAGAGATATGACCCTTTTTTTAGTGATAGAAACCATCACAAAAAATTGCTTTGCATTGAAAAATCAAAATTTTGTTATATAATAGTTATTGACATAACTAAAATATAATTTGTGCAGCTTTGCCTGCAAAGAGATTGAGCTTAACGTGAGAAATGCCCGCCTGGTAAGATATGAAAGTTTCATTTGCTGTCATTTTCTTATAATTGAGGTAGTTTATAGATTTTCATCTGCCAGAGAAATTCCCTTAATTTACAAGAGCTTTGAAATGTCCAATTTTTGCAGAAAACAATGGAGGCTTTTCTGATTATCCTCTCAGCTACACAACTTTTCTACATAGCTGCAATCCATGGTGCTGCTGCATACAGGAGATAAACTTGATAGTTGAGTGATGTGATGTTGTGATTATCTATTTTTTCTTCCCCTCTTATCTCTGTGATTTTATTTTTTTTCTTTTTGTCCAAAAGTCTTCCCATTTACAAACTTCAATGAAGATATGGTGTGATTTATTTCATGATTGGATTTGTATTGATTGGAAATAACCTGTGTACAAAAATAATAACAGAATATCTTTTGTACCATTTTTTTTTTCTTTCCATTTTTCTTTAATGTGCCACCTCCACTGTAGCCATTAAAGAGGTATATTGTAAAACTTCAATCGTGACAAACATCATAAGTTAGGATAGCAAGCTGCATCACATTGATAGACATGTCTTTAACAAACATTAAAAAAATAAAATTATGAATATTATTAATCAATAATTTCAATTTAAAATCAAACAAAAATTATAAACACTTGGAGCTTAAAACTTCAAAGAGATTCGTGTTTAGATATCCACGCAAAAATAAATTAAGAATAAAAGATCAAATTTTACTATCTTTTATATAATATCAAGAAAAAAACATAAAAAAGGTATAAAAGAATAAAATATGAATATTGAAGAGGAAAACGGAGGGGGGAAAAAAACCCTATAAACATATTCTCATGCACATAGAAAGGGAAGAAGAAACACTAAATGTTTAAATTTTTCAAAGAGGTTATAAAAGAAAAGGCATAGAATATGGTTGGGACTTAAAGTTAACGTAGAGATAATGTTGTAAGAAAAGAAAAAAAAAGATGATAGGGTGCCATTGCAAAACAAAAGGTACACAATTAAAAACATGATAATATTGTATTTATAGTTTAAGGTGAAATATATATAAAAAAACACAATAAATAAAACTTATTTAAATACAATATCTAATTAATTATTTTCCTAATAAAGTTATAATTATGCTTGTTACAATAACAATTCTAATTATGATAACATTATTTTATTAACAAACAAATTAAAATTACAAAACTAACCCTAAATGCTTAATTATCATATTATATAAATGGGTCTTAAATTATCATATTATATATTTTTAAGAATTTGAGAAAATCAACTAACTCTAATTAATTTATTAGTTTGTGTGATTTAATTAAATACTTTGTATTATTTTTAGTCCATTTAATTTGGTACGTGTGCAAATTTAATCTCTTTAATTTTTGTTTGAAGTTAATTAAGTGGTTTGACTTTTATATTTGTGAAAAATTGGTTCCTTCATTAATTTTGTCGTACTTAAAATTCTCAAATTTTTTATTTTTATATTTCAAAGATTTATAATAAATTTATTAATAAAATAATTCTAAATATTTAAAATTAACAAGGTTTTAAAAAAAATAAAGATAAAAATTAAGGTGTCAAAAAGAAAAAATATATTTTTTACTGAAATTTGATATTTGGATTGATGTATTTTAAAAATAAGAAAAATTTTAACAATTTTACTAATGCAGTAGAACCTTAATTGAAGATAAATGAGGGGTATTACTTTGTCCCATGTTGATTCCATGCTTAAAATAACTGGTTACACATGTACATAAGGTGATAAACATTAAATCTTCATTGTTACATTGTAAATTTGTGGGGTGGTTGGGACAAAACTAAAGGAGAATAATAAATGCAGACTAATAAAGATGTAGTTTGATAAGTTTTAAAGACTCAGATATATTGAGCTGAAACTGTTGCTAACACAATTAATACAACAAACCTTTAATAAACCTCATATGGATTAATTAGGTGGGTCTCTTGCCCATTATTTTTTGGAAAATCTTAAAGAAGGCATCTAAATTAAAATATCACAAAATTTTCTGAACGGAAGTCCCAAGTCTTCACAAGTTTGGTCCATTAGATGAGATCCTCGTGCTTGTATTTCTGCAAGAGAAGCATATGGCCAACGTTGTCAACAAAAACTATATATAATTCTAAACTATAATAATCTTCAAGATCAGAACTATACAAACAATATAAGACAATTCATAAATTGATGGATAAAGTTGTAAATAATATGCATGCAAAGAAAGCAATACACTACAGACATACTATTCTTTTATGTCAAGAAGCTGTCTTAATCCTGGTAAAATTTTAAATATAAGAGAAACCACTTGCAAGTCAAGAACGATAAAACTAATGAGAAAGTTAAATAATTTTGCAGGAATCTTAAGTATTATGCTGCATGAAACCAACAAGATAATAGGGAAAATGGAATATTAAAAATACATTGATGCCAGAAAGAGGTCGTGAAGTTGCATAAACAGGATACTATCTACTTCTTTACCTACTCATATTACGCTGGCAATCAAAATGCTAAGGTATAGCAAACCAGCGAGCTATTTAATTTTATGAACACCAAAGCAAAGACTGATAACTTATTTCTCATTTAAAAGTGCGTGTAGTAGAGAGTGTGAGAGAGAGAGAGAGACAGAGAGCATCCGAGAAATACATTCACTTATTAGTTTAAGGACAGTACGGTTCAATATATAAACTAATTTTAGGGTCAAGTCTTGTGCACTAGGACTATAGGCACTAATAGCAATAAGTTAAAAAGATCAACAAATGACTTTTGTGACTGCTGAAAGTAAAAACAGTGCCAATCCTGGACTGTTGGTAGTATAAAAAATATATAATATCACTCGGATGTCTTCCCCTAATAGCTTAAGCTTTTGGGATAGTTGGGTCATAACAAGTAGCATGGAGAGAGAAGAAAATCTCTATAATTGGCTTTCCATTTCTTTTCTTAAGTTTATCTGCAGCAGGAATTAGAGAACAATTTGGAAAACAAAAATTGTCAAAATCATCATATTTCAAGAATGGAAAAGCTTGAAGGGAAAAAGGATGAGGAAAAGCTGCAATGGTGTGAACAAGTGTTTGTGTGGCTGTGTGTACTCTCATCAACAAAAGATAGAGTTATTAAGGTTATGCTGATGTTTACAGCTCACACCCCAAACCTAAGGTTTAAAGCATGAGCACAAGTCAAGACAGTAATAGACAAACAAGGGAACAACTATCGATATTTCTGTATTCAGCAATGAAGAGCAATCATAAAGATTTCTTAACTCCAAGCATCGCTTTCATTTCACCAAGCACAATTTAACAAAGTGATAGGTTTCCATTAAATCATGATGTCTATATTCTAGTTAATTGAATTTGACGACCAGCACTTAATGTCTTCCAATAGCATAAATAATGCCACTAGAGATGGGTTAAGTGCAAAAAGTCACTCTTGGTCCATATTAGACTCTATGGTCAAGCAGTTCTTGAACTATGTCAAAATATCATTGACCAAGTGCTTCAAAATTCAATCTTCACCAACCCCAAACCTGAAATTAAATTTTAATACAAAACCATGTTAAGTCTCAGGCTCATAGCTAGAGCTTTTAGGTATCTTTAATTTTAGCCTATAGAGTTGTCAATACTTCAAGCACAATCAGCTTTTACGTGAGAGCAAATTGCAAAAATTCTAGAGCTTATACATGACAGCTTAAAATTTCCGGTCAAGCAAATATTCAAACAGCCATTTCCTATTGTTTGGCCTCAAAACATCAAATATTACCAACAATTTTATGACTGAGTGTACATACTTGTGGATTTCAAAATGTACCTTCCTTTTCCAAACCAACATCCACAAATTACATAAAATTCTAAATCCTCCATCCTGTATCCTGAAGACTTTATGATTCACTAATATTTTCTAATATTGATTTTCAGCAGCCACAAGCATGTTATCTCCTAATTTTGTCATTGCATATCCCATTAATGGTTAAATAGATGACCATAAAAAACCAGATTACACATCATACATAAAAACAAAAAAAGAAAAACAGATGCCAAGAAAGAGGACCATAACCAACTGGGCAGTAATTAGTGAATACAATTAAACCAATAAACTACTGTTTGAAAACCTAAATATCATAAATGGAAGAAAATCCCACCCGTTAGCATCAATGTAACAGGGTAAGCAACTAAAACAATTGCAAACAGGTAAGAGGAAGCAGGCACACATACACATAAGGCAAGTAAAACTTTTGAAGTTGACAGAGAGTTCAAACTTCAAAAAAAAAAATATATATATATATATATATATATATATAAAATTTTTCGATATAAACTAATTCCGACCTGAACTCATCTGTTGCCTGGTAGCACTTCAAACAGTCCACAGCAACTCAACCAGGAAGTCTTTTGCACCACCCGTGGAGCTGATGCTACCAAAGGCTGCATATCAGTTTAGCAAAGAAAAACATTAAAAATAATTGTCAACAAAAAAAATCACAACTAAAAGCGTCCAATATCAAAACTTCTATATATATGTATGATAAAAAAGAAGAAAAAGAGGAAGAAGAAGAAGAAAAAACCTGGTTTTCAGATAATTCTGGAGTATCAGAATCTTTAACATGTTCAGCACCAATAGCAGATTCAGGGGTAGGGCTATCAGACACTGATGCTGATGATACTTTACTGTCAGATTCCCCCGGTCTTGGTTCCTCCAAAATTGATGTTGTAACATTCTGATCAGAGAAGGGATATACTTTATCCTCACTTTTCTTTGCAGTAAGATCAGTTCCCCCAACTTGAGAGCCCATCGATTTCTCTACTAAAACATTTTCAGTGTCACTGTTTTTTACCTCGGATATAGAGGCCGCTGCTTTAACTGAATCAACAGAAGATTCTGCAACCAAATTACCAGCCTCCTCAACCGGTGCATTTTCAGCAATTAATGTCATTTTGGCATGCGAAGAATCTATGGACTTATCCAACTCATCAAATGCAACTGTCTCCTTTGTTGAATTATGGGACTCTTCCATTGTGCTCTTCACATTTACAATTTCATCAATTGAACTACCGAAGTTTCCATTCCCATGATCAGATTCCTTGGCAACATCTTTGCCCTCACAACTCTCCTCAGATTTCACATCCCACTCTATCACAACAACACCTTCCTTTCCTCCTTCAGTTTCATCGATCTTAGCAGCATCAATAGGGACTTCATCCAAGTCCTTGGAAGCAGCAGCAGATGATTGAGCAACTGAAGGCTCTCTCTCCTCCACCTCTTCATTCCCCTCATCAAATGGATGATCATGGTCACCATGTGCAGGTGAACCACCCTCACCAACGTCACTTCCTTTCTCATCTTGGGACTTCAACTCATCATTCCCTAACATTTGCAATTGAATCAATCAGTTTCACTACCATTATCAATCAACCACCAAATCAACACAAAGAATCATTAAATTATTCACAAAGTTACAGAGTATGTTCTGATCTCTTATGAATGACAAAGACTCGGAAGCTAACAGTACCCCGAAATCCCAACCAAACTAAATGCTACAAACGAGAAGAATAACAGATACCCATATCCCCAAAATGACCAAAAAAGTAATAGAAAATAAAAAGTATAAATCTTTGCATGGAAAAAGTAGAGTGGGACAGTACCTAGAGGTAGGTTGGTTGAAGGGTTGGTGTTGGTTTCAGTTTCCTTTTCCTTCTTTTTCTTGGCTGCTTTCCTCTTCTTAGCACCTGATGGCATGATTGAGTGAGGGACTAACCACAAATGGTGGGATGTTCCCCTTTTGTCCCCTGATTCTCTCTCTCACTTTATTGTTGTGGACAACACAACACAAAGCAAAGATATATCATAGAGTCGAATTGAAAAGGAGGGAGAAGGATGAGGAAGATTAGGATGGAGATAGATCTTTGGATTTGAAAAATTGAAATTGTTAATTGGCAAATGAAATGATGGTTCAGTGAGAATGCATGTCCTTCACTCCCTCTTGACACTTGGATTCTGTGACGTACAACCAAATGAAGTCTATTAGTCTAGTGTTTTTCTGCGATCAAGGGAAAGTGTTCTGTCATCTCGTTATTAATTATGATTATTATTATTAGAATCTGGGAAACAATTTTATTGTTTAAATATTCACAAATTAATTAATTAATTATATGTAATTTATTTTATTTTAATCTTATATAATTATACTCACATTTTAAAAATATATTTTAAAATAAAAAAGCAACTTTTTTTTCTTCACAAAACATTTTCCGTTTAGTAAGGCAGTACCTGGTGAAAGGTGGAGGATGAGAAGGTGAGGTTGGGTTTCATGATTCAATATTTGGAATCTACTGGGGAATGAATGGGCATTGGGATCTCAAAAATGGACCAGGCTTTCTTCCTCTTTTTTTTCATTTTCTTTTTCAAAAGATAAATGCTAAATATTAATAAGGGATATTTTTAGGAATTTTTATATTTAAAATCTATTTTTAGGATATGTGTATATAAAAATAATAACTATTCTAATATTATAGTAAGGTGTCGATTTTTAGTCATTTAAATAATGAAATTATTTTTTAATATTTTATAGTTGTGGGCATTTTTTTCTTTTTCTTTTTGGCAAATTCAATTGTGTGAATGAGAGATTTAAGGAAATTGAGAGGTCTACATTTTGCCAACTCAGTTGATGCATGATTTATGAGATATTGACTTCTGGTGCATTGTTTGATCTCTTCAATAGTAGACAGGTATTTTTTTTGTTATTTTCTTATAATTAATTTATTATTTTTATCAAATTTACATTTGTCATATTTCTAAAGGGTTTCTCTATAAACGTAAATAAATTAATGGTTTTTATTAGAATACAATGAATTTAGAAATGTGTTTAGAATTATTAGAAACAAAATTAATTTTGATTTGAATTATTTTGAGTTGATTTTGACATAAAAGTTTATAATTAAAGCTCATTAAGAAAAGTTACTACATAGTATTAAGTTTAGCTGATTTTAAAGAATATATATATTTTTATCAACTTTTAAAAAAGTAATAAAAAAAAGGATTCTTTCTCCATGAAAAACCTAAACGAAACATGGGCTCAGCGCCGTGAAGTCACCCAAACAAAATTTTCTTGGAAATAAAAAATTTACCTTAGAAAAAAGTGACCTGTGTTCCTGCATTAAAAACTTTGTAAACGTTATTCTGTGAGTAAAACAAACAGACATTGATATGAAAGTTTAAAAAATATTTTAAAATGAGAGAAAAATGTCACTGTATAAGAATAGTATGTATACCTGTTATAAGAACGGGGATTCAATTTTATTATGTGAAGGTAAATAATAGAAATTGATGAAATAATAATATAATAATAGTTTTTAAATCATGTATTACTTGAATTAATTATTAATTGATAAAATTTGTTGATATAATCTGTTACAAATTATTTGCATATAAATAAATAAATAATGAAACTGGGTATGAATGCATTTGACATAGAAATAGTCGTTTTAGTTAGCTTCATCTATGATTCTGTAGCTCCATAAGTAAACAACGTAGGATGTTGTCAGGTTCACGCAGACATGCTCCACACTCACCATTTGTTTCAGCTCTCTAACATTCCCAAAATCCCCAACATTCTACTTTTCCAAACGAGGTTTTTCAACACTTCCTCTTCTATATTAGATTTTTGCACCAAACCACAACACCTTCAACAAGTCCATGCCAGGTTCTTCCTCTATGGCCTCCACCAAAACTCATCACTTTCCTCCAAACTCGTGGATTCCTATGCCAAGTTTGGACTCATGGATTTATCCCAGAAACTCTTCTACTTCACTGAAAACCCAGATTCAGCTCTTTATAATGCAATCTTAAGAAACTTGTCTCAGTTTGGTGCATATGAAAAGACCCTCTTTTTGTACAAAGTGATGGTTGAGAAATCCATGTGCCCAGATGAAGAAAGTTGCTCTTTTGTTTTGAGATCATGTTTTTCTGTGTCTCATGAACAAGGGAAGATAGTTCATGGGCAGGTAGTGAAATTGGGTATGGATGCATTTAACATGGTGAGGAACGCTTTGATGGAGTTGTATGACAAAAATGGGTTTTTTAATGGGCATGAAACAGGAGGAGGAGGTTCTGTTATGGAATTGAATTATTGGAATAACTTGATTTCTCAGGCATCTGAAAGTGGGAAAATGGAGGGAAGTTTTCAACTCTTTTGTAGGATGAGAAAAGAGAATATCCAACCCAATTCAGTTACTGTGATTAACTTGTTAAGATCAGCAGTTAACTTGAACTTATTGAAGATAGGACAAGTCCTCCACTCTTTGATTGTTGTGAGCAACTTGTGTGAAGAACTAACTGTGAATACTGCACTGTTGTCAATGTATGCAAAGTTGGGTAGTCTAAAAGATGCAAGAATGCTATTTGAGAAAATGCCTGAGAAGGACCTTGTAGTTTGGAACATAATGATTTCAGCATATGCTGGGAACGGGTGCCCTAAGGAATCCTTAGAACTTGTATATTGCATGTTTAGATCAGGTTTTAGACCTGACTTGTTCACAGCAATCCCCGCAATTTCATCGATTGCACAGTTAAAATATACGGAATGGGGAAAGCAAATGCATGCCCATGTGATAAGAAATGGTTCAGATTATCAGGTATCCATTCACAATTCTCTTATTGACATGTATTCTGCGTGCAGCAACTTAGATTCGGCACATAAGATTTTTGGATTGATAGGGGACAAGACTGTGGTTACATGGAGTGCAATGATCAAAGGATATGCAATGCATGACCAATCTCTTGAGGCTCTGTCTCTATTCTTAAACATGAAGTTGAGTGGTACTAGAGTTGACTTCATTATAGTCATTAACATCTTGCCAGCGTTTGCAAAGATAGGGGCATTGCATTATGTAAGATACTTACACGGGTACTCATTGAAAACCAGCCTTGATTCACTCAAATCCCTTAAGACATCATTTCTCAGTAGCTATGCAAAGTGTGGTTGCATAGAAATGGCCAGAAAACTTTTTGATGAAGAGAAAAGTAGCCATAGAGATATAATTGCTTGGAACTCTATGATCAGTGCATATTCTAAACATGGAGAGTGGTTTAGATGTTTTGATTTGTACAACCAAATGAAACTATCAAACATTATGCCAGACCAAGTAACATTTCTGGGGCTGCTCACAGCTTGTGTTAACTCAGGCCTTGTTAATGAAGGCAAGGAGATTTTCAAGGAGATGGTGGGAATATATGGTTACCAACCTAGTCAAGAACACCATGCCTGTATGGTTGATCTACTAGGACGCGCTGGACAAATCGATGAAGCCAGTGAAATAATAGAAACTATTCCGTTCGAGTCAGATGCCAGAGTTTATGGCCCCTTGTTGAGTGCCTGTAAAATGCACTCTGAGACACGTTTGGCAGAACTTGCTGCTCAGAAACTTATAAATATGGAACCTAAAAATGCTGGAAACTATGTATTGCTCTCTAATATATATGCTGCTGCTGGAAAGTGGGACAAAGTTGCTAAAATGAGGAGTTTTCTCAGAGAGAGAGGACTGAAGAAAACACCAGGTTGCAGCTGGCTTGAATTAAATGGAAAAGTACATGAGTTTCGTGTTGCGGATCAATCTCATCCAAGATGGGAAGATATATATTCAATATTAAAAGTTCTTGAGTTGGAAGCAGGGGATATGAAAGATGATGATCTTGAACTCTTTGACACTCCTATCATTAAGGGATGTGAACTGTACATGAATCAACTCAAGCACCTATAACACCTTACACCTAATAAGCTAAATTCAGTGGACATTGTAATTGTCCTGTGACCTCCATTTTTACCTTGGAGTTGAAATTACAAATTACAAATTGCAATTTCCAAACTTTTATTCATCATAATCCTTTATTACTATTACCAACAAAAGGGTCATAATCATAATTGCGTCTTGGTTATTCTTTTTAAGTTGTTATTATTTTTATTTATTTTGGTGATATTTATGGTATCATGAATGGCGAGAGAAGATCATTCTGTGCTCATTTTTCCTTTTGCTGAAACCATTAACATGTCTGTTTAATTCCTTTTTATCTTTGAAATTCTAAAACCGATGTAATTAACTTTTTAATGGTATTGGCGTGTTTGGTTTAGAAGTAAGACCTCTAAAGGCCTCCAATAATTTGAAATATGTTTGGCATTGCTTCAAACCGTGAGGTTGGCTTTCGTTTCTTGGTTCATCTCCGTTCACGTTGTGGTACTCTGCTGTTCTATGATTTGATTTGGGCATTATGTCCTATGTAACAAAATAAAAAAAGTAAATTTGTAAGTTTGTTCTTGAAACTAACTCTTTATTTACTTTTATTCTTTAGAAGTTCTATTTGATGCAGTTTAGTCTTCAAATCTGTTAACTTGTTCACATTTTAATCCTTAATGGAACTAATTGGTTCCAAAAATGTTGTTTTGCATAATATAGTCTTTGGATATGTTAATTTTGTTTACATAATATAGTCTTTGAATGTGAGTTAGTTAACACATTTGGATACGACATTATACAAAACCAAACATTCAAGGACCAGAGATAAATAAAATATCATTTTGACACTACTTGGATAAAAAGGAGTGAAATAATGAAGGAAAAAGATAGAAGGAAATAGGAATGACAGAAATGGAAAAGAAAAGAATAGAAATGGTACGTATTTGGATGAATAAAAAAAAGAAGAAAAATAATTTTTTATTTTAATTTATTTGAATGAGTGAAAGAGTGTATAAATAATATGAAAGACTTTTTATATTAAATTTAAAATTAAATTATCTTATTAATAAAAAAACTGAATTTTTATGACATCATTTTTCTTAACATAAAATTACTTTTGTTTAATATTTTATATAATATAAGAATGATTATATCTTTTAAAATCTTAAAACTTAAAATATGAAAATCAGTCGAGCATCCCCTTGGTAAAATGTGCATTCAGGATTCCACCCAGTAGCTCAAGAAAATCTACAACTGCGAAACCCACCGAAATTCTCAGATTTAACTCATTCATTACAATTTACTCGAACTGTAGTAGAAGTGAACAAAAATGAACACATTTTAATCCATCCTATTTCAACCCCTCTCATTGCATTGGATACAAACATACGGTTAAGAATCAAATCGTATATTTACTCAGAAAATAGTTACTCGTTGGTAAAATTCCATTCCTGCGTGTTGAGGAAAATAGTATTTTTCTTTTTCTCTTTATTTAAGATCATAAACATTGTCCATTTGCAACAAACTTATTCGAACCAAAAATATTTACAATATTACGAGACCAACTCCTAACAAGAGATTTCTTTTTCTACATACCTTATTCAACCACAAGACCTTAATATATCATTTAAATCATGAATGACAACATAAAACTTTTATAATATAAGTGCTCTTCGATTAAACTTCAAAAAAATATTTTAATAATTCTTACCAGAAAACATATTGAATAAAAGTAAAAAGAACTTTTAAGAAACACAAGTTATCTACATAAGATTAAATAAACAGTAAACTTACTAGCGATGAAAAATTAAACATGTAAGAATCCTTTTCTGTTATCAGAATCCTTTTACAAAAATAGGCCATAAGCTAGCCTGTAAGTACCTATGTATGAGGCTAACAGTAACAGCAGTGGTGTGTTTGACAGAGGGGGTGCAGAACGGGGAGGGTATTCTGCAACCCACAGATAGAATAAACTGGGCCCAAGCAGCAATAGATTTCTCATCGCAATGGGATGTTAGTGCCACTTTTGTCAATAAGCAAAATGATTTTCTCTAGTATGCCATCTAGAAAGCTTATTCATCTTCCATTGTTTGATCCTCTACTTCTGATTTACTCTCTCCAGCTTGGGGTCGTTTCACTGTAGAAAGAAATTTTAACATCAAGGTAGAGAACCAAGTGTATATAAAGTTGGGATACAACGAAATGAACAGGCAGAAAGAAAAGTCCTTAAACTCCTAGTCAAATGAAAGATCCATTTTCATAAAACTTAACACATCAGCCAGTTTGGCAGGTTATATCTATGAAGTATTTTAACTATTAAGTTCCTCAAAGATTTCAAAGGTTCAAATCCCTCGTGAGTGCTCGTGAGTGAGTTCCCCTCCTGTTTTCATTTATTCCTATAATTCATGTAAGACTGGAGACTCAGAAAACACCATCCTTTACCTACCCTCTAGTACCGAGTTATTAAAACTGTCACTCTCCCAAAACCACCAAATCGCCCTGCCCTTTGAGTAAAGACATTCATAGGCAATTAAGGTTAAAAATTACAACAGCAAGTTCAGAGCTAAGGCTCAGGAAACCTCATAGATGAGACATATGTCTAGACTTCATATTCATCATAGACATCAGCCAATGATTTTAATTTCTTGCAACACAGTAATAAACAATGTCATTGAATGACAAATAAAACAAACCTTTTCCAATTGGGTATAGACAGCACAAAATTATAGGCTGCTTATAAATAATGACAGATAAATGTTGATAAAAGCGTAACTCATCAACAGCAACAGCTCATGATGGTTCTTAAGGAAACAAATCATGCAGCCAAAACATGCAGTACAGTGCACTACAATGGGAAATTGTAAATAAAGAAGAATAATTAGTATTTACAACTTACCTTTCAAACATGATCCAGCAAGGCATGTCAGTCTTGACTGTGTCTTACATTCAGCTAGTGGATTTGGCTTCTCTGTGACAGCCATTCGAACATCCCAGACACGTATAATCCCATCAGATGATGCAGATGCCACTAGGTATGGTTCATCATCCCCTGCACCACCATCACTATCTGTGAGTGTAACAATACCTTTCACACGGGCAGTATGTGCTTCTTCCAAGCAATATGCAACTTTTCCACTCTTTATGTCCCATGCTGTGATGTTTCGGTCTTCACCACCAGTATAGAGAAGTCCATTCTGCAACATAGAATATATTATAGGTGTAAAGAACAAATTATAGATACAGTGTTCATTGATTGATATCAACCCGCAGATTACACTCGCCTACTAAGGGGTCGAATCAAAATGTTCCCGCCCTCACTACCAACCTCCTTAAAATAAATAAATTCCAGGAAACATAGTAATTATGCAGTGTTGCACGTAAAGATCATCTATGCCAGAGATAGTCCACTTGACTGAAACTGGCTATCTAAGAAAACTTCACTCTAAATCCTTTCCTTCCTCCTCTTATATTTCATTCAAATCAACTGTTAACAAATCCTTATCCAAGATCACATGAACATTAACAATAAAGAAACTAGCTCTTTTCTTCTTACAAAATATACCTAATATGCCATTAACTGCTAAGATAACTCAGAAACAAAGAAAACCAATTGCCAATCAAAGAGACCAGATGCTCTACAACTCCATAACCTTAATCAATAACATATTGTGAAAAAAAAAAAAGGAGATAGAACTCGATGAAGCACAAACCTTAGCGGGTGCGGCGCAGAGAACACGCTTGGAGCATTCCAACTCGAACAACAATCGCGCATCCTCGGCCTCGTGGACGGAGACCTTCTCTTCCGTTGCCATGAAGAACTTCTCGCCGGCAGCATCGAACTTCACCAAACTAGCTTCCTTTCCGAGCCGGCAGCAGAAGCTCCGGCGGCCCCTAACGAGGTTAACCATGGCGAGGCACTCGTCGCGGCCAACCGTAAGAGCGAGCTTACCGGAAGGGTGAAGAGCGAGGTCGTTAACGGCGTTGCGGTGGACGGAGAGGGACTTGAGGTGGACGAAGGCATCGGCGTCGAAGATGGAGAGGGAGCCAGAGGCGTCGGCGGAGATGAGGTTGCGGGGAAAGGGGAGGTGGGGAGGGGCGTAGAAGGAGAGGGCGGTGACGGTGGCGGAGTGGTGGTGGAGGGAGCCGATGGAGGAGGCGGCGGAGAGGTCGTAGAGGTGGATGGTATCGTCGGAGCCGCCGGAGGCAACGACGGAGCCGGAGACGGCGAGGGTTTTAATGAGGGAGAGGTGTGAAGGGTATGAGAAAAGGGGGGTTAGGGTTAGGGATTGAGGGTTTAAGGTGAAACCCCATATGAATCTTTCGTATGAACCTGCTACCAAACTCATTCTTCTCTCTTCTCTGTCTCTCTCACACCCCTTAAACCCTACCTCAATTGTTATTGTGAGTGTGTCTCTGCCTTTTCAATATTAAAGTTTTTTATTTTTAATTATTTGAAGAATTATATTAGATTTTTAATATTGTAAATAAATTTTACTTTTAATTATTAATAGAAAAATAATTGTTGTATTATTTTAAATAATTTTAAAATTAAAAATTAAAATATAAAAATTAAATACTCAATATAAAAAGTAACTCTTAAAAATATTTTAATTTAAGATATTTTTTAAAAAATAATAACTTGCATTTTATATATAGAATTGTTTATTTTAAGCTTTATTATTGATTTTAGAAACCAAAATAATAGCCATTTAGTAACATAAATAATTAAATGAAAATTTTTATCAATAAAAAAAGTTATCATTGCTTAATATTTTAAAAATCTAGAAAGATATTTTAGCAATTAAAAAAAGTTAATTGATTTCGTAGTTTGATTTAGTAATTTATATTTATAAATTATAAGAAGGGTGACGGTAGTTGGAGTTGAAGCAACTGAGGTCTGAGGTAAGAGAAGAGAAGAGAAGAGAAATGAAGGTAGCTCCCATGGTAGTGTTGATGTTCAGAGACACAGAGGGCTTCGCCTCCGCTATCTCTGAAGCTCTCCACCCTGACCCTTCTTCCTCCTTTACCCGCCTGTATGTAACCTTTTTCTTCTTCAATTTTTATATTCACTGAGTGAAGGATCTTCAACATTGTTTGATGCCTTTTCATGTTGCAGAGAAGACTCCTTTGATCTTTCCTTGGAGGGTTATGGAATCAAGCACATCAAAGCATCTGCCACCGTTTCTCACTTCGTCGATAATCAGGGCACTTATAAGGTTAAGTTCCTCTTTTTTCGCAACCACCCTTTCACTCTTTCTCTCTCATCTTCACACATATTGTTATTAATTCAAGAACTGGACTTACTGTCAGCAGAAAATTAAGATGCCCATTTGCCTCAAATAGCCAAATTGTCATAATTGAGGGCAAATGTTTAGATTAGATTAGGGAATCACTTCGAATGTTTAAGATGTTTTGTTTCCTTCCCTTTACTTGTATATTTTGCTACACTAAAGATCACACCTACGATTTTTTGTTAATAAACACTGCATATGCTATGAAATATGAATTTATGAGTAATTTTTTAGCTTTATCTATGTAAATTATGTGCACTTGTACAGATTATATATTTATATTAGAAAATTTTAAATAGCAGTCATCAAATCCACTATAGCATTTTGGGAGTCGGATGCTACTTATTGCTATCCGAGATTAATAACTATGCCTTCCACATTAAGATTGAAGATAATTTCTTATCCTTACACAATAGTCTTCCTTACAGACACACGATTCTCTTAAACTCTGATTCTATGTTGAACTAGTATTGCATTTCATTTCATTTCAAAATTAAGAGGGTAATGCCTAGAGTGATGAATTATTCTTTCAGAGACTTGGAACTATTTGCTATTACTTATTATCATGTATACTTATTCATTTATTAATTATCAATCAATATTGGTTCCAGTGATTTACAGCTTGCAGTACCGCTGTTCTAATAATTTGTTCCTTGGAGATCCTGCTCCAAACAATCAGATTTAAGTCATATTAATGGTTAAACTTCAACTATACAAATTATCTTCCAAGATAATTTGTTATCCTTGTTCTTTAATCTTCCTTCTAGAAATACATCCGATTCTGTTATACTCTGTATCCAGGTGTCAATTGTGGTTATGCAACATTATGAGCCACCAGTACTAGCTTGTGCTCTTAATGAGGTCCTTAATAATATTGCTGGAGATAAATCATCCTTGATGCCAACTCTTTTGGTACCATTTTTGGTGGAATCATCCAAGGTTAAAGGGCAGAGTAAATCCCTAAGATCAGATGAAAGCAAACCTTTAATTTTTGGCATTCGGATCGGTGAAAATACAGACATAATGCAGGCCTTACTCAACAAAACCCACGAGCCACCGCCTTCGTTGCAGATTCAGCTTGAAACTTTTGCATGTTTTCTTCACTTTGTTCGAGTAATGAAGTTACCAACCTTTTTTCTAATTGGACAAACTAGTCAATATATGGAAAACAACTCCACTAAACCGCATGAGGTATTTATTTTCCTTATCACTTTTAAAGCACATGACCTTCATTGATTTCTATAAAAAAAAAATTCTATTGTTCGGAGAATGGTTGGGCTCTATGGATAGTGTAGCATCTGGCAACCTTCCTGTAAAGTAAACATGGGAACTGTTTACTTAATTCCACTATTTTCACTGTGCAGCAGCAAAACATTATTTTAAAGAACTGTGGCACTCTTTTTTTTCTACAATAAATGGGTGCACATTCAACAGCTAATTTATTATGGTTTGTGCTAGGTAATTCATGTAATAGGTGAGATTTTGGCTAGCACTACAGGTCTGCAGTTTTCAAAAGAAAGGGTGGTGTGGAATCCCAAAAAGACCTCAGGGGAAAGCAAGGAGCCGTGGCGCGCATTATATGGTTGAATCACGAGTTATTTACATGCTAACATGGAACCGGTATTTTCATGGATCTGATTCTCAGAACCATTGGTGTTTGTGCATGAATTGTTTCCTTAAACATTATTATAACCCCCACCTATTTTCTCTATACTTCCTTGAAGTATCTATTGAGATATCAAGTCCCATGGTGGGTCAATAACAAATTAAAGGCTATATAAACAAGAAAGTTTCAATTTAAAATTGCCTAAAACGTTTTGTACAAAGGAGACCACTCAAACTTTTGCTCAAGTTCTCTCCATCAATATTGGATCTGGCTCATATTTTAATATCCCAGTAGTATCTTAGTATCTTGCAATTTGTGTGTTAGTGGGATGAATGCTGCCATAGCATGTAACTGCATGTCCTTTGTATACTTGTGGGTTTTATTTGCATTTACCTGTCCAAAGGCTTAGCTTCGTAGGTTTAACCAAGTCATCCACCACATTGTATACTACTCACCAGTGTCTTGACTCCTCTACAACTGTTGATGGTATATAAAGATGAGGATAGCGAGTTTTTGAATTGTGCTTCTGCAATTGAAACACTTCAACGATGAAACTAGTTTATAATGTCTATGTTTTAGTAATGCGAGGTCCTCCAAAAAAATATTCTATTGTAATTATGAGTGCTTAGTATTATTTGGAGTGTCTTGTTATTCCCAAGTGTCTATTGTTAATCTTATTTAAATAATTTATAACTATAATATTTTTTTCTCTCTTGTAATCATATTAACAATATGGGTATTTTACAGAAAAAAAATAAATTAAATAGGAGTGACAATAGAAGTGATAATAGATGGGAGATGATTTGGTTATACCCTATTTTTGTGTCAGTCTGACCATGTGTTGACTTATGGCCTCCGATCCAAAGGACTGCCCAATGTGGCGGGATAAGAAACAATTAGATATTTTTAAGTTAAGACAACAAATCATTTAAATTGAACAGTACCAATGTGTGTTAGTCTAAGTAAATGAGTGGAAAGTCCTTGGGGTCCTTTTAAGTATGTGATCTTGAAAAAAAAATTGAAAAAAATTAGAAAACTTAATTTGGAATTTTAAAAAAAATTGAATTAGAAGACTAATTATGCATATAAAAGGTAAAAATTTAGAACTACAATACCTTTGATAAATATCATAGAATGGTTATCCTAAGTTAGTTATGTTAATTATTTATAACCTCAAATACATTTATTCTACCCGTTTAAAATGACAACAAATTTAATTAAGATTCCGATTTCTGTCTAGGATTAGGTGTATTTTTGTGAAATAGGGAATGATGGAAGAAACATTTACCGCTAACCGATAATGATACAAGATAGGTCCCCGCAAGTCAAAGCTTGAATTGTAAACAATTTGCACCTAAATAATCTATCATGTAATGTGCTTATGCTAGCAAGGGAATTATTAACATCAATAGCCCTGCGATAACAAGGTGATACGTCCAAGTCATGAGACGATGCAGTGCAGCTCCACCAATAAGGTAACACGCAAAAGGTGTAATTCTTTTTTCATTCGACTACCGGATTGAATGAAGTCTGCACCCTTATCACGATGATCCCTCCATAAATACAAGAAAATTTATTCGACCCTGTATTCTCAGGCTCCTAATCCAGTCAGTTCCAGAGTGAAAGTATGGTTCGTTAAATATGACAGAAGTCAGATGAGAAAAATTTCTGTGTACAACACCATGCCACCGGCATCTAATCTTTTGGATTAACTTTTGGATAATCCACGGGAAGCTTATGCTGCTTAACATGCTAGCTCTGCCAGAAGGGAAACATTAACTCATATCCTTCCATGACACCAGAGATCAACCAGTAGTTTATCAGATGTAGTTAATGAGCGCAACACGGCAATTTCTATCATCACACCGCCTTCCCCACGCTCAAAACACCTCTCATCCCAAAATTACTCATATGGGCCAAATCAAAATGAGAACCCTTTTGCGTCTCACTTTCATTCCAGCTCTTTCCAGGCATCTTCTTAACCCCTCTATCTTCCATCAACTTCCTGATCTCCAGCGCATCATTCCATCGGCCAGCAGCTCTGTAAATGTTACCAAGCAGAACATAACTCAAATGGAAATCTGGTTCTAGCTCAATCATCTTTTTTGCAACACGCTCTGCGGTGACATAGTCAGAACAGTTGGTGCATGCTCCAAGAAGAACCGCCCAAATTGAATGATCATATCTGCAATCCGCACTCTCCAACAAACTTTCAGCCTCCTCAATTAGCTCAGCACGGCCTAGAAGATCAATCATGCAAGTGTAATGCACCACCCCAGGCTTAATCCCATACTCCTCCATCATCAAAGCAAAATACTTCCTCCCTTGATCAACCAACCCCGTGTGACTACAAGCAAAAAGAACAGTGACAAAAGTGATATGGTCTGGCCTCATCCCCTCCTTAACCATATCCTCAAACAATTCCAACGCCTCTCTCCCTCTCCCATTCTGTGCAAACCCTCCAATCATCGCATTCCAAGTGATCAAATTCCTAACCTCCATACTGAAAAACACCCTGTGAGCGAAACCAACACACCCACATTTCGCATACAGATCAACCAATGCTGACTCCACTATAACATCCCTCCAACCACCCTTCCTCACATACTGACAATGCACTTCCTTCCCTTGCCTCACCGCGGCCAGCCCTGAACACGCACGAATAATAGTTCCAAAACTATAAATCTCAGCAACCCCCCTCTCCCTAACAAGCTCAAGCACATTCTCACACTTCCCATTCTGACAATAAGCACCAAGCATAGCACTCCAAGACACCGAATTCTTCTCCCTTAACCCATCAAACACAACCCTCGAACACCGAATGGCGCCACATTTCCCATACATATCCAACAAACTACTCTCAACAACCACATTCCCACACATCCCCAACGTAACAACCTTCCCATGCACCTCTTTTCCCAGCCTCAACCACCCCAAGTTACCACAAGCAGCCAACAACGTCCCAAACGTGAACCCATCGGGCACCAATCCAAAACCTCCGCTATGCATAGAATAAAACAACCCCACAGCTTCCTTAAACCTATCGTTCCTCGTTAACGTGGAAATAACCGTAGTCCAACACACCGCGTCCAGTTCGGGCAATTCATCGAACACCTTCTTGGCGTCGTCCACCACGCGATTTCTCCCATACATGTCAATCAACGCGCTGGAGATGACATTGTTGGAGTGGAAGCCGCGGGTCAATACGACGCCGTGGAGGCATTTCCCGAGTTTGGAGTTGCCAAGGTCGGAGCAGGCTTTGACGAGGGAAGAGAGGGTGAAGGCGTTGGGCTGGATGCCGAGACCCAGCATTTGGGAGAAGAGTTGGAGGGCGTCGTTGGGCTGGCCCACTTGGACATAGCCAGAGATGATAGAAGTCCAAGCGATAACGTCTTTAACAGAAAGCCCATCGAAGAGGGAACGGGCCTGGGGGAAATGGGGGCCCAGTTTGAAGTAGAGGGAGAGTAAACTATTGCCGACGAAGCGGTCGGCGAGGAGACCGGATTTGATGACGTGGGAGTGGAGTTGGGTGCCGTGGGAGAAGGAAGAGGTTTTGGTGCAGGTTTGGAGGAGGGAGGCGTAGAACACGGGCTTGAGAGAGGGGTTGAGGGCTTGGGCTTGGGCTTGGGCTTGGAAGAGGGTTAGGGCTTGGGGAAGATAGCCGTTTTTGCAGTGTTGGAGGATCTGAGACTCGGTTAAGGAAGGGGTGATGGTGGTGAGCATGCTGCAGTGGCGCCTCCATTGGAAGCGGATCTTCTTCTTCTTTGTGAACTGTCTCGTTCGCTGCATTGCAATTTTGATTTTTCATGTTCGTTCGTTGTGGTGTTGGGAATTTCATCGATACTCTCAGGTCACTTTTCCTTCCATGGCGAGGTAGTGCCATATAAGACCATCAAATTAGGATGTTATGGTACTCATTTTCATATTTATATTTCAAAATATTGTATAATATGAACTTTTAATATTGACGTGTTAAAGTTAAATATTATAAATTATAATACTGTTGATTTAGAGTTAAAAAAATATAGGTTTCGGGTAAAAAAATTAATAATATTAGGTAAAAGATTATTATAAAACGATATTAGGTAAAAAAGAAAATAATGATAAATATAGTTATTAAAAATAAATATAAATAAAAAGTTAATAATAAATTTTAAATTTAATATTACATTTATTTATTATGCGGTGCAGTTTTTTTACGTACCTATAAAATATATACCCATTTTCATTCGTAATTAGAGCATGCAAAATAGGTTTGGTAGAAATCCACTTAATTATATGATTAGGTTTTAAAAAAGTTATATATATATATATATATATATATATATATATATATATATATATATGAAGAAAACAAATGGGCTCTTAGACCGAGTAGTAGTTGATAATTCCGGTGATAGTTATGATGAAAAAGAAGAATAATATCTCAATATTTTGATAAATAAAAATTTTGCAATTCTTCTGAAATTTGAGTCAGATCGATTTTTTTTTTCAACAAATAAACACGTTACTTTTAGGAATAACTACTTTTGCACATTTATAATGGTTACGTTTAATTTATTTTTCTTACTAGAAGTAACCTCCCTAGTTTTAATTATTAGATTTAATTAAAATAATAAATTCTCATTCGGAGAAAGTGTGAAAATGTTTATTTCAGTTCACAAACAAAGAACTATTTCATTAAAAAAAAAAACATTTTATATTTTCACTTTTAATTACAAAATCATCACCTTAATGTATTTTATTTTTTGTTTTAAAAAATCTGCAAAAAAAAATTCTGATAACATCTTTTTATTTTTACTAATTGAAACAAGAAAACAGAATTAAAAACAACATAATTTTGTAATTAAAAATAAAAACAAGGGGATAGCTAATTGAATTACAACAAAATATTGTACCAAAAAGTTCAACAAAATTAGTGGGGATTCTGGGATTACATCCCATTCCCATAACATATCTTCTATTACTTTCAAATATTATAAAATTTATTTTCAATTTAGAGTCATTTTACATACATTACTTTCACATCTCTCGGAAAATTTTCAAACCATGGCAATGGTTTCCTAAGTCTAATAATCTCTTCAGTAGTTGGAATCATAAAAATCATTACTGTCACCAATTGCAGCCTGCAGATGCAACATGCAATGCTCAGTTAGGTACACCAAACCAATAAAAGTAGAGGCACAACACCATAAACTTAGACGAGAGCATGTTACCTATGTCCTAAGTACATAGGACCAAATTTTTTTCCATGACTTAATCAGAGTTGTATGAGCAGAAAAATGTCCTTCCATGATTCTTTCAGCTGTTGGTCCCATTTCATGCACGAATTTGACAGATTCCGAAAGTCGATTGAGAAGATTCATCAATGCAATTACTTCATTCCTTTGCAGCTGCAGCTAAAAGACCATCAAGTGCAACACAAAGGGCATTGGTGAGTCGGCCGTATTTTACTCTCACCAGCCATGTATTTTATTCTATTTTGATAAGTTCATCCTCATTTGATTTTCATTTTTATTTTCTTTAATGTTTTCACAAAGTTCCATTGTTGAGGGACTTCTACATGCATGGATGACTCTGTCAAGATTACAATATTCCTGTATATATATATATATATATATATATTATTGATAACAATAAAATTTGACATTATGTGATGCAAACAATAGCCATCATCTGTCTGGAAAAACTAGAAAATTTTCAAATACAAGAGAAAAAACTCAGTAGATTACAATTTCTTAACTATGAAATTATGTCCAAAGGCAAGTCAGGTGGAATTTGGAAGAAAGACATGTACATGGCAGCAGAATGTATTTAAAGATCACTGCAGAAGTGATTAGATTTAAGGTACATGCAAAAAGGGTAGCAGCCAAGAGAGGAGCACAAAAAAATCTAAAGCAAATGTACTTACTGTTTGACCCGAGTTTTCTTGACCATCAACAGAGAAAAGAATCTTCAATGCAGTTCCAAGACCAAGAACCTGAAGCTTTCCCCATAATCGACACTTCTCACATCCTACACAATCCATTAATGCACTGCATTCCCCAAAAAATTATTCCATAGCCAATGAGATCATTAATGAAGCAGCATATAAACTGAATCGGTATTCGAATAATAAATGGAGAACAAATAAAAGGAATGTTCATTTAGTTGTTTTCCTACGGTGAAAAGATGTTCAGACTTCATATCAGCACTTGAAAAGTCCAGATAAACCTACTTAACATCCATCAGTATGTGGAAACTCAAATAGCGACTTTCAAGAAAAATGGGAGAATAAAATTCCAAAACACAGATGAAAAGCAGAACCATACTGCAGGACTAAAAACGTCAATGGCAGTATTTGTGTCAAAATCCAACCAATATATCATAATTCTTTCCACCAAAATGGTTTTGTAAACATTTACTATGAACCATTAGTAACTAAATGTCTTTCCTACATATTTGTTAGCAACACAAAGCATGCTTACAAGAGACTAAGCCATGACAAAGCCCATCAAGTTATCAATGGATAATATTTAGCTAGGCCGGAACTAATTCCACTATTTTATAGTAATACCTGATGTTTCTGAATTGTTGCTGAATTTTCAGTTTTAGCTCAGGTCCACTTTGGCCTTTCCACAACTTAGCTTCATCAAATGGAATTGGACACGCAGCTTGAAGCTTGGGGTTGTAAAGGAGCTGTTTTATCAAGGATTGTGTTGTAAGGTCCTCGTTGGGATTACTTGTATCATACTCTGCCTGTTCCAGATAATCTGAAGCCTAAAGAGGTATGTAGATTGCATCAAGAATACAGTTAACTAATATTTCCAAAAGAAGAAGAAAATATCAAGATTGATATATATATAGATGTACTGTTTGTGATTTTAGACTGACGCAATTTATACTCACCTTGGTTACTGCTCGCAGGACAAAGAGAAAAGTGAAATACAAATTTCTGACACGATCAGGGTATTTTAGGACTCTATCATACATCAAAGTGATATTTTGGCCCCACTGGAATAATAAAAAAAAAAAGAAAGAAGTTAGATACTGAAATATATTTTTCTTAAGTTACAATGTATTATATTATAGTAAATGTGTATGCCTCGAAAAAATGCAGGTTGTTTCAAGATGAGTTCCATCCAAATTATTTTAGTGCATAAAAAGATCAGTACAAGGTCCATTATACCAAAAGAAAAATAAGTAGAAAACTTTTAGGCAGTGAAACAAAAACCAAACAGTTGTCTGCCTACATGATCAAACATGCAATGTACTCCATTAATTCATCAAAAGCAATAATATAGGCATTTCTTTCAAACAGAAAATTAGCTACTTCGGGAAAGAGGAATGTAACATTTACCAAATTTGTAGCTTCATCAAGTAGATAATCAGCAGCTATATGTATTGAAATGGAGGAGTGAAGACCTGATATCAATTTATACAAAATCTTTTCCTCATCGCATAACTCTTGAGATGGATCTACAGAAGACAAATTTTTTCTAATTATAAAGGATGCACAGCATGATAGCTTAAGGGCTTCATATACTGCTCATCATCATCAATGAACCATAAGGCACCAAAGAAAACAACAACTCTTTTATGAACAGTTTAAAGATATCTTTCAATAAAAGAAATAAATGATAAGAACACGACTAATATCCACTCTGGGTGAAAAACAAGAGAAAAATAATGAATAAGAGAGAAAGAGAGAGGGTAATAATTTGCATTGAAAGTTATTGGTTTGTCAATGTTTGATAACAAGAAAGGCATCATAAATGATCAAACTACCAAAAATTATACAGAGAAAGCTTACATTTGGGGCAGTTTTCAGTGTAGACAGCATCCCATATCCTTCTTGCAGATGGACCAGTGTAACCAGTATATCTTTCAGGATTCAGTTGAAGATTCACATATGTCATCTCATCTACAAATGCAAACATGATTTAAATTGACATGCTATTTTCTTAGAAAGATGTTCAATATATTATAAAATGATTTTAACTACGACACACTGAAAATGTAAAGAAGTATAAATACTACTAGTGAATCCTATTTTACCACCTATTATAAAATAGTTAAAAGCTTTTAATAGAAGTAAATGCTAACTAATACACTGTTGTGTCACCTTGCTTTCAGATAGTGAAAAAATGTTGCACCAAGGGTGGATCAAGTTGAAATTTAATCATAAAACTATCTTAGTGGATTAAAAATCAAAGAAAACTATTCAGCACGACAAACTGATTTGAACAACATAAGTAAATCTGATGTCACCCAAAATAAAATGTATGGATCCTAAATCATAATTTCTATACTTCACTATTAACATCTAATATTTCACACAATTAATCAGATAAACTATAACAATGACCAAAAATAATTTAAATATTAGTATACAGATAGCACACCATTATCAGTCTCATCGTCATTTGTCCATGGATTGTCTATTTCTGTCCACCCTCTGAAAGCTTTACTGTCTAAAGTACGGTCAACAGCTGCCTGAGGTTTTCCCTCTTGACAAACAAGATCATTCATTGAAAGGCGATGGGGCTTCTTAAATGATTCGGGGAACTCATTTTCTGGGCATTCACACACACTACAGTCCCGCAACCGGCACATACCATCATCAGGCCAAAATGGGCAGTCACACCATAACTTAACCTGTAGATTTCATCCACTAGTCTTTAGCACAAAAGGAACAGGTGAGGCTCACCAAAAGTTAAAAAAGAAAAGCAATTCCGTAATTGGTATGCCTACATATAATTTATCATCACAGGCACAGTTTAAGTAAGCTAGTCATGGTTTTAAAAACCAGACTGGATGAGACAGTTCAATCAGCATTACTCACTCTTAAGTCAAAATTTGTAATTCAATATAAGCAATGTTTATCCTAAACGCCACACAGCATCACACATTAGTTTGCCAACTTGACAGGGGTTGAAAGTTCAACATTTTAAAATCCATAATTCAAGAGAGAATAGCTGGAGATGAAGGCCACTATGTTGTTCAGTTATTCAAATAGTCATGCATGGACTCAATTCTAACACTTTAATGCGTTTCTACAACACGTGATTCTCTCTAATTTCTTAAAGCGTTGGTCATATCAAAATTCAAATATTCCAATGATCAAGAAAACCTTTAGAAATGATTAATCAAAATCAAGCTGAGAACCATCAAAAATTGTTGTGCTGCTCACATGAATTGGATGCTAACTATCTTTACAGGTAATATAAGGGATATGTTAGGAACCAATACAAGTCAATTGGAACAGAAAAAGCATAAAAACATTAGAACGGCCTATTCAAAACATAACGGTTTATCCAACTCATCAAACTCGAGACAATCGTAAGCATCAACAGCATAGAAGAGGCAACAAACAAACCTTAAAATATCGAAAGAAAGGCGTTTTCACAAGCTCTTGGAGGGACGGGTACAACACATCCTCATTAAGACGGTCCACAGTTTCATAATCACAACAACAATCCTCCACCATACCACTGTACTTTGGTGTACACTGCAACAAATAAAAAGAATAATTAAGCTTAGAACAATTCACAAAACAAACGTATCTCCACATTTCCACTGTTAGGGATACCAATCACCACAAAATGCATTCTTTTCCTATGTTCCATGCTGAAGTCAACGCAAGAGATTTTCACCACAATTATCAATACAAGCCACACTCACCTTAGAAGAGAAATAAATTACAACAATCCGAGATTAAAATAAATAAACAGAACACCCAAAAATCATATACACTCTTTGTGAAGTGCACAATAGATTGAGATTCACGATTTCACAATTCAAGACAAAAAAAAAATAGAAAAAGAAAAGAAATTACCCGTGCACATTGACACGCTCTGTCAATGGCTCCAAAGAGAGCTATTCTGGGAGAAGTTTTGGAAGACATAGCCATTGCAACAAAAATTGCGACGAGAGCAAGCACCACCCAAAGCCATGGCGTTCTACGACCCTTCTTCTCAGTCTCTGCTTTCACCATCACTCTCTTCTTCTCAGTGTCGGTGCTTCCCAAACAAAGCACCGAGCTTTTCCCACACCCAGAAGAAGATCGATGCTGAGTCGCCGAAGAAGACGAAAACCCACCAATGGAAACGCAAAAAGACAATGTTTTTGCGCGTTGATGGATCCCAGTGGCGTGAGTTTCGAGGAAGGAACACTGGACGCGTTTTCAAGGAGTTTTTGGTAAGGTTTTTGCTTTGTGTGTTTTTCTTCTTCTTCCTATGGAGCGGTCAAAGGTCGTAGGAAATGAAACTGAGGGAAATTAATGAGGGAAAATTATGGGCTGCTGATGGTTTTGTTTTTCCTTTGTGCCAAACACTGTTTTGTTAGAAAATTCCAGAAACTGTGCCAAACTGTATTGATGGCTGTTGAGAAGTTGGGCCTAACTAGATCCACTGTATTATTATTATTATTATTATTATTATTATTATTATTATTATATGGGAAGGTTACAAATAATCTATGGTGTGTCCAAATTTATAAAAAAAATGGTTTTAGTGTTTGTAAATGTAATTTGTTTTATCAACGAGTACTTTAACTAACTGATATAAACCGATTCAGTTTAATCATTAATTTTTAGTTTGAGTAGAATTATGTTAAATACTAAAAAGAAGTTTAGATTAACAAGTAGAGTAATTATAATATTTATTTTTAATTTATTTATTTATTGACCATTTGTTTATTTTATATTTCTTAAAAGAATAACCCAATTAACTTGTGATATAGTAGTATTTATAAGCATTTAATGTTATTTAACAATTTAAATGTAATTCAATTGGCTTCAACTTTTCCATTCTCATTAACTATGCATGTTGAATTCAAATTCAAGTTTTTTTTTTACCTAAAACTAAAGACGATATTCATTTACTTTCGCAGTATTTTTCATAACAAGTGTTATATATTATTGCTCTTTCTTTAAAAATTTATAAATTTTTCATGTTTTGCATTATATTTAGAAGGCAAGGTTCTTTAAATGTCAAAACGAATTTTTTAATATAACAGTAAATGTATATTTGTATTTCCTTTTTTACATTAAAACTGTTTGTTGGTCAAAATAAAAAAATAATAGAAGATAATTTATTTTATTCAACAGACATTGAAAAAAATCATAAGATAAAAGTAAGTTTGTTTTCAATGCTTGTTAAATAATAAAATATAATGAGAGTGATAATAATTTATTTTTATCATGATATATTATATTTTTATTCGACTTTTATAACTTATCACTTTTATTTTATTAAATTCACCAAGTAAGTCCTCCTAAAAAGGTTATATCAAAGAAAGAACGTATAAGCACTTGTATTGACGTATGAAATTAACTGATTAATGTAAGATATATCATTGTGTTTTTTTTTATAACTAACGCAAGCATAAATTTTATGCATAATTATTATAATTTAATTTTATAATAAATATTTATTTTGATGTTTGAATTACAGCTAGGCTTATAAAAAATTGGTTTGAGCCTTCAAATATATTCCTAGAAAACAAGAAAAGTCCAAAATATCTTATTAAGCACAGATAGAAATTTTGAAAGAAAACATAATTTTTTTATAAGAAAATTAGTTATTATGCCTAAACCTATTTAGAAAATTTTTCAAAATTATTTCTAGGTATGAAATACCTTGAAATTGTATTTATAATAATTTATTAGACTAAAAAATTAAACAAGAAAATAAATTTATGTAAGCATTCCTTGAGTCACAATTTGTTTTCTTTAGGTGTTGGGTGTACACGGGACTTGTATATAGAAGCATTCCTTGAGCTTAGAAAAGGCTCACACTTTAAGAAAGCTCACATCAAAGTTTAAAGAGGAAGGGGACACAACAATTGTCAAATAAGTATGATTTATTTGTTTTTTGTTTTGTTATAACTTTCAAGTACTTATTTCTAGAATTTATTATATTTTTTTTCTGAAAATTTATTTCTCAAGAACAAAGCACTTCCCAAAACTTATTTCAGAATTTACTACTATATACTTCTAGAAGCTATTGGAATAGAATTTTGCACTTCAATTTTTGAAACTTGAGTTAGAATATTGAAATATAATACAATTGAATTATTTGATTTGTTTTTAGGTTTTCTCACCAATAGAAGTTAGTATGGAAGAATTGCGAGCTATCCGATGAAGATGTCAACTAATCAGCCAATTAATGGGGAAGTAAGAAATATTTTATAACCATTTTATTGCACCAAACCTAAAGTGTTATGCTATTATTAGATGAACTGATTGGTTTTTAAATGTCTTTTAGAAAGAAATGTGTATAGAGATGTTGGATGTTTCACCTTTAAGATTATGAATTATATATAGTGATGCATTTATGGCTGAAGAGGTAGTTGGTTGAAATATTGTTATTAATTATGAGTGTACAAAATTGTAGACCTAACATATCTTTAATTGCAGATTTTTTCAACTTGGGATAATCCATTGAATTGGACTAGATCTAACATATCTTTATTTCTCTCTTCATTTCAACCATTTTATCGATCACATTTATTATTTTTTCTTCACTTTCTTTTCCTTCTTATTATTTCACTCATTTTATACGAGACTGTGAGAAAAAAAAAAATACCCTTTAAACGTTTTACAAACTGCTGCAAAGCCGATTCATGCGTAATGATTTGAGGAACAACATAGGGGGAAAAAATGGATTAACACTGGCAGTCAAAGAGTGTGGAAAACGGTCAAATGCAAAGAAAATAGAAGCATAGAGAGATTGGGATTCTTGTTCTTTAAAAGGTCACATTCACATCACTTGTGTCATTCGGTTGTTTTTCCATTTCTATGAATGGAAAGAAGAACCACCGGTCAAATTTCATATCCTTTGTTCATGATTTCATTATTGGGTATTTCCCAAAATAAAGAAACATGGAAAACGAAATGCCTCCTCCTCCATAATCAATGACGATTTTGAAGCAGCTAAAGAAAAGGGCACAAGAAATGAAATCTGAGTTTCACCAGTGATCACAACAATAATTTTCTGTGCAGAGCTTGTCTCACTTTTTATCTGCATGGCATGCCTTGTCTTTTCTCTTTCTAAATTTCTCCCAATACATGCATGCCTTTATGTGACATAATTAACCATATATTAAATTAATAATTGCTATATATATATGGACAACTGCAGCTCTTTTATGATAAATATATTGTAATCATCAATCCCACCACTATCTGCACCTGAGAATCAGGGAGATTAATTTTGGGTTTTTTTCACTCAAGCAATATGTAAAAAGTTAAGGATTTTGGTTTGAATAATACTTCCACAGAATGATGATTAATTGTAATGATGATGATTTCATATAATTAGTAGTAGTCAATGATGATTATGTTTTTTTCCAATGCGCAAGGTTATTCAATCATGTTACTATTTTATCTCTCGATATATTTAGCTCATCCGAAGAATGCTGATCATGCAAGCTTATTTGAGATGTTTACAGACATTCATTTCGTTTTTTAACTTATCTGCATATAATAAAAATTAATAAATAATATATTTTTATTAAAAATCATATTATTTAATACTATTAATGTATTAAATTTATTATGTTTTTTAATTTTAACAAAATCTTACTGTACACATATTCTTATTTTGTGTCTTTAGACACATGAAAAAAATGGTAGAAGTTATAGATAAAAAGTTAAAATTGATGAAAATTATATTTAAAACTTCATTCTATTTTGTGAAATATTGAAATCAATAATAGAATATTCAAAATTAGTTGCTAGTGATGCTAAAATATCATTGAGAGATACATCTCTAATTATTTACTACTGCTAGGAAATTTGTTAAATTGAAATAGACTAAAGTGTAACTTATATTAATCTTCTCTTAAGCGAAGTGTATATTTTAAAATAAGAGAGATGAGTATAATTGAAGCACTTTCAAAGAATGAAAGTAGAATTGATTTTATTTTTAACCGAGTAAATTTTCTCAGTCTAATTTGATAATAAGCATTGATTGGTTAACTTAGTGCTCGACTCAACAAAAGTCAACCATTTGCCTTTTTTTCTATTTAAACGACAGTCAATCATTCGTGAGGATGCACTGCTTTCTTGTATACAACCTTGATTACTTCAAAAGAAAATGCAAAATTTGCCAAGAGCACATATATATAATCTAGTAATCTACTAGATATTTGGACTGTACTTGTCAACTTGATCAATAAAAATACAGAAGTAGTGTATTAATCTACCTAGCTATCAACATATACTTGCAGGGTTTTGATCCCTTACCCTTTTTAAGGAGCTAGGCTTGCCCGTGTTAGAAGAGCCTCTGTTCTTTTTCAGGATTTCGTCCATGTTTACTTTTTATCATAATGTCAGTGATTAGGTGTAGGATGTAATCCCTTCTATTTATATAAAAAAAGCATATAATAATGAGTGTTCGGATTTAACTACATATATATAAAATATTTCAAGAGAATTTTTACCCCAAAAGATATTTGAATCATAGACACAAATATATACATATATATATATATATATATATATATATGAAAATATTTGAATTTAGGCTATTTAACATGGCATGACGATGAGGTCATTCTGCAGGCTTTCCTCAGCAAAATAACAAACCACAGAAATGTGGACGAATCGAAGATACCCAATTTGGCCAAACGGTTTTCTTGAAAATCCGCATGGCATGCGATGCATTATAAAGAAATACACACACAACACATGTCCTTTATGCTATCATATTCTCCACAAAAGCTCCCATTTTCACCAATTATCTAACTCGTGACGTGTCAGAACAATCTGCATGCATATCGTTACAATCCTACTTTCTGGAATTTTCCGGCATATCTCTGATCTAAAGGCCGGCAATCCCCCAACAAATCTCCGGCCATAGTTTCCTTTTCTTTTATTTTTCTTAATTCAGTTTTCACACCCCTAAACGTGAAGAAACATTTTTTTTCAATATTTAATTATAATCAATCTGGTTAATTAGTTTGATACTTTCTTTTTTCTTAAAAAAAATTATGCTGATGTTTCTCACATAAGAAAAACGCAACTAATAAAGAATGGATTGAATCAATGCTTAGAAATACTCTACCGTGGATTAAATATAACGATATGGTCATTAATTTTACGATCTTTTTCTAACACGTAAAAATTGCTACAAATATTCAGAATGACCCCTCCAAGCAAACATGAACATAACTTGCATGTGTCACTCTTTTGATTAGCACATACTCACCTAGCTATTCATGTTCACATATATATCAATTTCATAACTAGATCCTATATCTAGCATAACCTATTTGTGTCATGTTTGAGAAAATTCCAACGAACAAAGAAGGGTTGCTTCAGAGCCAAAGAGCCCCGGCTTCCTTAAGGAGAGGAACTAGAGTGCCGTTTATATGGCTGGCCATGAGGGTTTGCACCCCACCAAGAAACTTGCCACCAATGAAGACAGCAGGAACAGGCTGATGCGCCCCGGCAAGCTGGTAGAGGACTGACCGGATGCCAGGGCCATCGGCCTGCTCGTCGAGCTCCACCACGGTAGGGCCGACGCCGAGGCTGAAGAGGAGGCGTTTGGCCACCGTGGACATGCAGCAATCGCTCATGCTGAACACCACCACGGCGTTGCACGATGCCAGGTGGTGTACCATCTCATAAGGCCTCATGTCAAGCTCCAACGGTGATGGTGACAGTGGTGGTGGTGCCTCTATTTGAGAGATTGATTTCATCACTTGCATGATGGTATGTCACTAGAAAGAGAGGTTTCAAGAAGTATATAAGAATTATTGGGTAGAAATAGAAGGAGTGGAAACGGCGATGGAGGATACTTTTATATAGAAAGTGAGATATATAGCTGAGGATTAAGGTGTGATATTATGTATGGGAATGTTTTGGAACACATGAAATAATGTTACATGATATTTATTGCATGGAGTTTTGTGCATGTAACGCGGTAGCATGAGTCAAAGTACATATAGGTGAGAGAGTGAGTGAGTCCAAAGGCACAAAATGAGTGAGTTTCATACAAAAGTACGAATATAAAAAAGCTAAGTGAGAAAAAGAAAAGAGGGGTTATTAATTTGTGAATGGGTGATTGGTGTTTCATTCTCCTTTGCCTCGATGAGAGAGAGAAAGTGAGAGATAATGTTATATGGCGTCACTATCTATCTCCATCTAAGAAGAGGTAAAAAAGAATGAGAGAAGAGAGTGAGGTCCATGTTTTGAACATAGAAGATGTTGGGTTAGAATTGAACCGTATAGAAGAGGGTCACGCGTTTGTTGAAGGGGAAAGAGAAAGCGAATCAGAATTCAGAGTAGACTGACACAGTATAGCAGCTGCTGGTGGTGGCTGCTATTGCATGCATGATGAGTAACTCATAAGCAAAGCAAAAGCTGGTACACATGCATACCACATATATGATACTAAAGTTCCAATGCCTCTCTCATGCGATTCCTCTTTCTAGGGTTGTTATGTTATGTTATATGTGTGTGTGTCATATAAGAGGCAACCCAAAGTAATTATTAAGTAGTTTATTAGCTTCAGAAAATTAATTAAACTCAGCATCGTGCCACCATGTTAGGAAAAAAGTTAATAAACTTGTCTTTTTTCATTAGTGATATATTTAAATTGAGATTACATTCACTTAAATAAATTTTACATTATTTTGGAACCATATATTGTCATCATTGTTAGTAAAATGAATTATGAAACTTGTCTTGTTTTTGTATTTTAATATTGTGAAGTTTTCAAACATAGAAAACGTAAATAAAATTTACATTAAATTTACTTAAATTCTCTTAGTAAAATAATTCATCTCATGGAAAAAGTATGTCTTCTATGTTTGAAAACTTGCTAGTATTCGGATACAATTCATGAGGTGTTGACAATTGGAGCTATTTTAGATCCTAGATAATACATGACATATTCTGAATATTATACATTTTCTGAAGATGAAGATGTTAACGATGCGAAAGTAAATAATTTTTTTTAAAAAAAATTTATCTTATTGATACCACAAGTATGCATATTTATTGATTTCATAATTCAATTCCATTACAAATTCTCCAAAAAGTTAGATAAAAACAAAAATATGAGGGACTTTAATTTAAGTAGAAGACAATTAATGGAAACCAAATTTATATAATTTTAAAATAGGACTTAATTAATTAAAAATTTTAAAAATCAAAATCTCATGTAAGTTAAATTAAATTGACTCAAAAGTATAATCAAATCTAACTTTTTGCTTTGTTTTTTAATCAAGCCTATTTTTCTTAGTGCTTTATGTATCCTCCTTTTTTTGGGTCATCTTTGTGTATCCCTTCGTAAGACACATGAAGCAAAGACCAGTGAGACACATTTTAACAGATAAAAACTGGCCCATGTGATAATAGAAGCAACATCAGCTGGTCCATAAAGAAGGAGAATGTAGAATGGGCTAAAGACCAATGGCCCAATTCCAAAATTAAGAGGATGGAATCAATCGACAATTGCAAAATTAGTGTAAATTTGATTCCTTAATCCTCTGATTATTTACCCTAAAAAACCATTTTCTAAATATGACTTTAAGGAGTTAAATCTTAAAATTGTTTGGGTGATATTTTCAAATGAAAAAAAATAATCTGTAGTGATTAGAGTTTATTCTTAAAAGGTCGAACAAATTACAATTTGCAATGAATAAAATTGATTTTAAAAATAAAATTTACTTAATTTTTAAAAAGCAGACATATTTTAATATGTGTCACCAATTAACTGTACCTCCCATTATCAAACATACATAGAGCATTAGATGTTTGAAAGAGTTTCCTTGACTTTCTATCATAATTTATACAGAAGATGAGAAATGTGTAATAAAAAAATATGGTAAACATAGTGTGGACAAGTTACATGTATCATGAAATATTTAAATGATACTTAGGTATGAAAAGAGAGGTGGCTAGAGTATTTATATATATAGATGAAGGTGAAAGTTAAATGACATTTTTTAAATGGGTCTATCATACTCAGGCTCATATATTCAGCTAATATAAGAAAGATCTCGCGTAACGTATTTGTAAAAGACCCTAAGAATGTAATTCTCTCATTTCAATTTTGAATTTCTTTTTAATTGATTTTATAAAAGTGATGCCTTCTTCGAGCAAACATACACTATCTTTTTGAAAATTTATTCGTTTGCTACAATAATAATTAAGTCTCATTCAGTTAAATCATCGTGCTATTTTATGGCTAATCTCATTCTTGAATGTTCAATCTCTGACCCTAAATTCTATTACTTTCTAAATGACAATGATACCACTAAAACATGTATCCAAGTATGAGTTTGAATTTTTTATGAATTCAAATTTGATCCTAAATGTAATTTGATTCAATGTTAAATCAAAATGACTTGCTTAAACTTTGATGGTGCTATACAATTTTAGCAAGAATTAAAGCATGAAACTCTATTCTAATACTTTGAATGATCTTTAAGAATTCAAACATCACCTTATGTGTTTATGATTTACAATATTAAATTAAGATGACTTGGTTGACCCTTAATGACGCTTTATAGTAATTATAACATGAATCTTCATTCCAATATGTTGAATTCAATTTAAATTTGACCCTCACTGTTGTTACAAGTACAAAAAATATGACTTGCTTAACCCTGGACAATGCTATATAGTTATAGTCTCAATTTTTATTTAGATTTATTGGCCTATCTAGCTTATCCCGTTTTGGCTCGCTAAAATGTGAGTTAATAATAAAACTAGCTTATAAGGCCTATTTTTTATTTTTAAAATTTTTTAAATAATTATTTATTAATTAAATATTTTTATTAAGATAAATTTTTTATTATTTATTGTTTTTTTTAATTTTTTTAATTAATTTTTTGTGGATTAACCCATTAATCTAATGATCCATTAATTTTTTTTGTTTTTTTATTTTTGACTAGTTAACTTGTTAGTCCACTTTTAAATGAGTTGAGTTAAAAAATTAGTTTATTTTCATACAGGCTTGAACCAGCTTGTTTTGGGTGGGCATTTAGCAAATTAAGTATTAACTGGCCTGTTTTGTTACTCCTATCTTTATTTCAATTATTTAAATTTTTTATGAATTCAAAATTGACCCAAATTACAATTTTCAATTCACAGTGTTAAACTAACATCGCTTGCTTAGTCTGTGATGATACTATGCAATTGCAATATGAATTGTTGTTTGCAAAAATAATGGAATTTCCTTTAAATGATGATGATATTGGACAAAGTTCTATTATGCTAAATGCTCTTTGGAGAGTCCGTATTTAACGACTAATCTCAATCTTGATTTCTCAAGAACGTTAAATCTTGAAAAACTACAGTGTCCACCCTATAAAACTATAAGATCATTATGTTACAACTTTTTTCATAAAAATTTTGGCACAAAAATGTGCATGAAATAATGTTTTTTCTGCTCTTTTTATCTCCAGGAAACAGTGTAAGAACCTGTAAGGATTGCTGTGAATTTTTCTTCGATTTTTTCTTATGAAAATTTTAGCAAAAAAATTTAGGAAATTATGAGCTTTTCCTACCTTTTTTCATCTTCTAAAATATTTTGTAGAAAACTTTATAAATTACTGCAAATTTTTCTAAGAGTTTTGTCATAGAAAATAATTAATTTTCATTAAATTATTATTTTCATTAATTTGCATAAAAAATTGTAGAAATTTTTAAAAAAAAATTCGTGCAAAAAATTTTCATGTAATAACCATAATTTGTTGGTAGTGTTAATTTTCTTTAGTATGAATTGGTTAAGTCACTACTACAAAACCTGCATATATAAATAGATTTATAGATAAATTTTTAAATAATTACAGACAATTTTTAAATTACATAAGGATTTACATACGGACAACAATCGTCTATAATATTCTTATTGGTAAATAATTACAAATGAATTTTACAATCCATCTTGAATTTACATACAAAAAAAATTATCTATAATTTATAGACCAAAAAATGGTCTGTAATTTACAGACAGAAAAAACTGTCTGTAATGTATAGACATAAATATTTGTCTGTAAGTTATAGACAGATTTTTTCGTCTATAATCTGTCTGTGATATATTTTACTATTTTTGTTACTTTTTGTTTATATACATAGTTATTCATATCTGTTCCTGATTATCACAATTTATAAATATAATAAAAACTATAAAATTAAATCTAAAAATTCAAAAATAATTTATAAAATTTAAAATTTAAATGTTATTACAAATGAAGACATAAACATCCAAATAAATAATATTAAAAATAAAATACAAGTGTCATCATGAATAATCCATATGATCATCATCCGAAGGAACATTGCCATCAGTAGATGAGGAGTCAGAAAAATAATGACGCATGGAGCTGAAAACTGATAGAGCTGAAGTTGATGGAGGAGGAGGAGGAAAAAGTGTGGAGCTGTTTGCTCTTATAAGCTTAAAATATGTATGTATCTGTTGCATCTGCATATGTTGTTGCTTCATTTGCTATCGGACCTCCCTTTGCATCATCGATGCCACCTTCTTCTCCATTTTCCTTGTCCACTTCTTCTTCCATGCACTTTTCTTACTTTTCCACATCTCCTCATTCTGCTTTTAGAGTTCTTAATTGAAGGCATGGACTTGAGTGTGGACCATGTCTTCCACTTCCTCAGGTGCAAGAGAAGAGACATCTCCGGTGATAGTTACAGGAGACATGAAGTCTGCAAAGCGGCTCCCATGCCATAAATGCAACCT